CCCCCCCCCCCCCCCCTCCGCCGGTTAAGGTTTGGAATGGGTGGTTTTTTTTTGCTGACACAGTGTGGTTGGTAGTACGCATCTTGCGTTTACGCTCCTGGACGAGGCCGTGGGGGTTATGTTTCCGGATGTTGTGATGAAGTGAGAGATAGAGTGCCGTGCGTGCATCGCATTGGTGGTGTTTAGGCGTTTGAGCGTTTGAGCGTCTCGTTGAGGTGCGCGGTTGATCATGGGGAAAAGAAACAGGGGAGCATTGCAGGCGTATTTGGTTCCGTACTTCGGCAATAGCATTGGATCTTGCGCATTTAGACGACATGTCTATAGAAGGCCATCGCTAACCTCTTGGCGTGGTGATATGATGTTGCTATCTGACTACAGCAATAAGGCACGTCAATTCACTCTAGCCATCATGATAAAGGTCATATTATGGTATACGCAATTCATTACAACCCCCTTCGAGCCGCGCCCTTGTCTCTATCGCACAAGTCATAACGCCCCTTGAAAGGGCTTGCTCGCTCGCTCGCCTGAACTCCATCCACAGCCTCGGCCTACACGAACTGGCTCTAGCCAGGCCCAACTGAACAAGCATCCCATAAGACCCCTGAAAGGCTGAACTCCCCAATACCGAAGCCCCCTTGCCCACCACCAACCACCAACAGAACCCCCGTCATGATCGATTTCCCAATGCAAATGCAGTGCACCGTCCAAAAGAACACCTGGTATGCTCGAACGCATTAACGCCACCGGCCGCCGACACCAGGAAACAGAAGAAGAGAACAGGCTCCCAGCACCTAGCAGCTGCATCTCAATGCCTCACTCTAACCGAGAACGTCTGCTCGAAGTCCTCCACCGGCTGGACGTCAACTTTCTGGTCTTTATCCAGCATCTTGTGGTGCAGGGTCCACCCGGCGCGGCGGCAGAGCTCGCCGACTACAGCGTCGCAGTCGCCGAGGAGGTTGATGTCGAAGTTGATGTGGTGAATAGGCTGGGTCTTGCGTTAGTTATGTTCATGTTATGATGAGTGGTGGTAGGAGGTGATTACGTACATCACGTGAGATGTAGATCTGAGGCACGTCTGGTGGGATGATCTGCGGAATCTCGGAGACAGGCGCGACCTTCATGCTCGTACCGATTACGATGACGAGGTCGGCTCTGTCTCTATCTTGCTCGCGGAGGCGGTCGAAGAATTCTTGGGGGAGGCCTTCGCCGAAGAACGTGATGTCAGGCTGCTGGGATGTTAATCGAAGGTCACTATACATTGCAAGCTTTAAGGGTCAAACAAACCTTCATGACCCCAGGCTGGGGAATATCATACGCCCCATCGGAATCGTCGTCGTCGTCTGCACCAGCCGGCTTTCGCTTACCCTTCGTGCCATTCGAGCTCCGCTTCCGCTTCATGCCCGGGCGCGGGACTTTGAGATCGTCCTGCCGCAGTCGCTCTTTGCATCGCTCGCAATACGCGACCGTGTGGGATTTGATTTCGTCGAAGATCTCTTCACCCGGGATCTTGAACTGACACTTCCGGCACGTCGCGGTCGCCCACGAGCCGTGGCATTGGATCAGCTTGTCCCTACGGATTCCGGCGTGGCTTTCCACGTTGTCGATGTTTTGGGTGTAGTTCGTGAGAAGTTGGCCCCTGTCCTGGAGTAGTCGGATGAATTCGTGGGTTGGGGTCCATTTTTCCAGATCAGGAAGAATGTCTCCAGCAAGATTGTAGAAGACGCTGTAGATACTTAGAATTGAAGTACATTTGACATGTAGGAAACACTTACGTTGGGTCTTCGTCGAAGTTCTTGATGTCGAATACTTGCTCCGGCTCGTCGTATCCCATCTCTTTTAGCTTGGAGTAGAACCCGGTGTTTTTCGATCGGAAATCGGGAATGCCGAGGCTAGTGGAGATCTAGAGCAAATGGTCAGTACCGGGATTAAGAATGCCTGGTTCGATTGCCACCGGCATTTATCTTGGAGATACCGATGATATGGGCTCCCGCAATATTTTCCGTTTGCCTCGTGCCATCAAATATAGAATTACTCACCCCGGCGCCAGTTATTACTAGTATATTCTTCTTCTCCCGTAGCAGGCGCGCAGCATCGTCAATATCCTTATACTGCGAGAGACGACGCCGCTTGTTCAGCTCCCTGCTAATCGCATGGCCGAGCAGCTGGTAGTAACTGGGATCGGGCAGTCCTTCCAGAAACTTGGGTATGCGAACACCGAAGGCAGTGCATAGCTTCTTCGCCGTGATCTGGCCCTTGGTGATGTACTCGAAGACAAATGGCCCGGCGCCCATATCATGCAGTTTATGGCGGTAGTCGCGCGCTTCTTGAGCTGTGCAGCAATCCTTTCCTGAGGCAATTGTTAGATAGTGCAATCGTGCAATCGTGCAACCGCGGGGCAGTGAATCCTACCGCAGTAATCGAAAGCGTCGACCTCGTCGAGGATCTCCTCAACTAGCGACGACGTCTCCCAGTGCTCCCCATCGTCGTCTTCCATCTTGGGCACTATGGATGCGTTGAGGCTTGCTCGTCTCGTACTATACGCGCTGTCGGGGGAGGCTTCGGCAGTCAGGTCAGTGATGGTGGCGGCGACGGGTTCCTGCACCAGCACTGGAGATGTAAAACTTGAGGCCATATCCAGAAGGAACTGATCACCAGGGCCGCATGGGGGCTGGTGGGGGAATTAGAAGGAGGGCAGTGTAAGAAGTAGCGTTGTGGTAGAAGAGGAAGCGGCCATTGGCGAAACGCTTACCTTATCTCGCTCTAGCCCCATCGGGTGTGGCCTATATATTTCTGACACTATTTATTGCCACTGTTCTGCTATAGCGCTAGTTGGATCCTATAAACAGAACAAGAATCTGCTCACTTTTGCTCAATTTGAAGCATGAAGGTGAAAGGTGCGGTTGTCTAATCTAATCTAAGAAGTAGTTCTAGCTGTTCAGATTCCACAGTCAGTGAACTACGGGCATCTGTTGACCGTACTCGTGCTCTACACAGCTGCTTTTCTAGTTGCCTTTCAATGTATTGTGAAGACTAGAAAAGCATCTCAAATGGCTCCTAGTACACGCCTGAGGGCGGAGAAGACGTGTCAGTCTCACGATCCACACATCTGAATAGCGACGCAGTGATAGGTGGGAATTGTCAATGTATTAGCCGAGACTATAAGTGTTCTTTCAGGCTTCAAAAAATCACATAGAGAACAATGCTTCCTGGTAAATGAGCTGTTATCTCTCTAATCGAAGCTCGAGTTGTCCTACGTGCATGTAGATTAATCGATTTAAACAGGTGTTCCAGTGGCTTGCAACACTGAACTCCCAATTAGGTTCTAGACATGAGTACAGGTCACTACAGCCCCATTCTTGCAGCACTTCATGTGCGCACTGATTCATATTAGGAGAATTTCTGTTGCTGTTTCGGCAGAGCCATACTCCTACGCGATTCTACCTTTTCGAGCTGCATGAAGCAATGCACTCGTCGCATACTACCACAACCAATCCTTCCTTACGTCGCGTAACAGAATCGGGACCGGCGTTTTGGTGTGGGTGGACAACGGAAACCAGGGACCTGTGTCGTGGGACAAAAGTAACGTCACTGAATCCCGAGAACAGTACCTCTAAGATGACTACTGGTCAGAAAACATGAGGCTGAATACTGGTAATACAAAATTATCAATTAATGTTGTAAAGCTACTACCTACTCGCATAAATACTTTCATCATGTCAACAAAGCGTGGGATATCGGAAACGTAGAAAAAGCGCGGCGCTGGGAACGAAAAGATTCCAAGCCAACAAAAAGTGTGACGATCAAACATGTTTTTCCCCAATCCGTAACGTCGTTCTCCTTTCCCTGCAGTAAAAATGTTCCCCAAGCCTCTCGTGACTCCTCTTCTCTTCTTTACTTGACTCTGTCGTAGGTAATGTAGAAATAGGTCAAGTGAAGGTGCGCCGTTTCTTCTCTTCCCGCTCTCCTACGCTGGTTGGATGACTGGGTATCGAAATTGTGATGCGCGGCGGAGTAGTTGCATTACATGGCGAGCATGCCGAGGAAGCCGAGCGCGCCTGCAATGCCAGCGCCCATGACGGCGGTCGGGTAGGACGCGCCTCCGGTTTGGGTGGACGAAGCAGCGGCGCTGGCGCTGGCACTGGCGCTGGCACTGGCGATGGAAGACTCGCTGCCAGCGCTGGTCGCGCTCAGAGTCGGGGAGTGGACGGTGGAAATGACAGTGCCGTTTCCGGATGGCGAGATGGTTGCGCTAACGGTTCCGACAGCGGTGGAGATAACGGTGAGGACAGATGAAGACGAAGATGGCGCGGGCGTGCTCGAGGCGATGGAGCTGGACGACGGTGTCGGGGTCGAGGTCGAGGTCGAGGTCGGGGTCTGCTCGGCGTATAGAATGGGCAGGTAGCTCTTCACGTCGTTTGGTAACGCTGAGTACCAGCCGGGAGTCTCGCCAGCGCTGAAGGAGGACGCAATGATGCTGCCAACCTCGGCCTGGTTGGTGATGGCGATCTGGAGGAGAGAAGAGGGCAGGGCAGTCAGGAGGACTGAGAGGACGGAAGCCTCAGTGCTATATGTCAATTAGCAAGGCTGGATCCTGGCTCATGCGAAAGAGGACCACGAACGGGTTTACGACGACGCTGCTGGCTTGCCTGTTGGCGAGGTCGGCGTTGGGCGAGGCAATGGCCACGGAGGCTAGGGCCATGAGGGCAACAGTCTTGAAGTGCATGGCGAGGTTCAAACGAGCGATGGCGACGCGATGCGACGATGAATGAGTGTGGGGAAGCGAAAGAAGAGGCTGAGCGCTCGTATATGTGCGGAGACACGGTGGATGCAAGAGGTGAGGGCTGAGACAGGTGCAGGGAGGCGGGCTGGGGGATATATGGGGCGCGCTCTCCGAAACCAGCGCACCATGGCTGAAAGTGGCGGTTAGCACCAGCTTCATCTCCAATGGCGCCAACAGCCGACGCCGGTGGGCGATTCACAGGTGCTGCTCGCAGCTTCTATTTCGCGCGGCGTCGCACCGGACGCGTGTCGGGACCGGCTGCATGCATCAACTCGAGCCGGCGTGCTGGAGCTGAAGACGCCTGCAGCTGCCCGCGAAACTCAGCCCTCGCAGCAGTTCTCGCGCAGTCCTCACAGCAGGACCCCGTTGCAGACCTTCAAGCAGATGGCGCACGGGTACGGCGACGGCGATGCTCGAGAAGGAGGGCGTTGCATCCTCATTCTAAACTCTTGCGCAGCCAATGGCTTCCCTGTCCTCCACACTGCTCGGCCATCTCATTTCCACTCGGGCCGAAGCGACTCCAGTCAAGAGTGCCGAGACCCTGCATGCGCCGTCTCCCGCAGGCCGCGAAGGGCAGTCTTTGCCACGCCGACGGCCAATCCAAGCACCCGCTGCAATGGTGTCTGGAACGTGCGAGAGCACCTCATGCGCGACACTGGCCCATCGCCAATCCCCAGACCGTGCTCGCCTCAGAGTCGATAGCTTCGCGATGCTTAGCTACGTTCATTGGGACAAGTGGAATTTGCAGTCCTCTCTCCTTGACCATGGTATCGTCCACGACCATGGCCACCGCGGATACACGTGTTTTCAACGCGCCAGGGGTTTTGTGTTCCTACCCACCGCTTGTATCACGAACTCTGCACTTGACACACTGGTCAGTTACGGAATCTATTGCCCTTTTCGAGCTGCGTGTTTCTGGATCATCATACCTAGCTCACCTTCAGCGTGCCTTTGGACGCTCGATTATGGGTTGCCTTTCATGCTTTCCCGATATCTACATCTGTATGTACATACATACTCAACTATTTCAATTGCTTCTTCAATCGCGAGCTTCTTCTCCATCTGTTGCATCTCATCCTTTATGTTCTGTATCAATCCTTGTCCGTACGCGAACACGAGTCGTGGCTGGGATGGCGTCCTTCTACGCGTCTAACCCCACCTATGCCCACTCGCCTGAGAGCGCCTCGCACCATCCTGGAAACAATAGAAGCCGCCGGCGTCTGGCGCTCTCCAAGGTCCAAGACTCTGCCTCTGAGCCTCGTTGCTTTTGCAAACGACAAGACTGCCGCCCGTCCCCCACGACGCTGAGCGCAACACCATGCTAACAACGACAATAACAACTGTGAAAGCCCTGTGAAAGCCCTGTGAACCTCATCGCAGCAATACAACCTCAAAATGCGCAGTACGCTTTTCCTAGTTTCAGTGCTTGCCGGCGCTGTCTTCGCCAGTAACGTGCCTTTACGCCGACGAAGTGTGAACGTTCTGGCCGGAGGGGTCGCCCCAACTACAACACCGGCCCCGGTACTGGAGGCACCAGATCTTAAAAAAAGACAAGCCAGTACTTATGACATGTATGCCGGCACAGTACCTGCCATCCACACCTTTCGCTAATAAATGCCAGACTCAGCTCAATTCTCGAGGAGCAATCCATCTATGATGTCCTCGCAACCGCGCTCCCACTCTCTTTCTACGAGATCGCCATTACAGACCCCGGTGCCGTGAGCTCCATCTTATCCTCCGAGTTCGCCGCCGGCGAAACACCCTCTTGGTACGAAGCGCTCCCAGCAGACGTCAAGACGTACCTTGAAACCGCGACCGGAGGTCTATTCGGAGACTCTACTGAAGCCCTTTCGTACTCCGTCCCCTCGATCTCGATACCAGCAGTCACAGATGCTTCGTATGCTGCAGAACTGAGCTCCATCCTCGCTCTATACAGTTACAGCTTCTCGAACCCCTTGCTCACAGCAGTGCAAACAACGGACTCCGACGGTACTCCAGCAACCTCTGTCTCAGTAGTCACTGCTTCAGCAGCCTCTGCCACAAATACAGCGGTCTTCGTGCAACAACAGAAGAGCTCCTCTGGCCTCTCTACTGGCGCTAAGATTGGCATAGGAGTCGGTGTGCCAGTCGCTGTTCTCGGGATCGGTGCCATCGCGGGCGTGTTCCTTATCATGAGCCACCGAAGGAGGAAGCAGAGGAATGCAGCAAATTCGATAACTGTGGGCAACTTTGAGGCGAAGCCGGTGGGCATGCCGCCTGCGCAACCGCAATATCCTGGACAGCAAATGCAGTATTACCCTCACGGGCAGGTCGTGGAATTAGAGCCACAGAATAACGTTCCGGAGCTACAGTCGGCGCAGCGGCCGCTGTATGAGATGCAAGGGTGAGAAGAATGGTGCAATATGAAGTTGCAAGTCAGATTATTTATTGGTGCCTGGAATAACTCCTACCGCTCTTATACATACTTTCGGTAATTTTGGTCCCCGAAGAAAGCTTACGTTTCCTCCAACTGTCAGTTCTTTCACCATTTCCCGCTACCTATCGGCTGCCGGGTATACTCTCCGCCTCTTACGCGGAGGTACCTCTTTGCCTCCTTTAGTTGGAAAGACTCCCTAAACAAACCACATAAGATCTTTTTTGTTAGACGTATCGTAGACGCAGCGTGGCACACGTCGTGGTCACTCGTTGCTAAATAAACAAAGGGCCCAAGTTTACAAGAACTCAAGCAATCGACCGTCGATAGCTCTTTTGGACAGACGCGGTGTCTACAACTAGTAGTACTTCCCCTAGTTACTTCTTACGCCTGGTATCTACTCCCTAAGCTCGCGTTCCAGAACTGAGAACACCGCCATCCCAGCTCCAGGAGAGGGCTACAATCTGCAATGGAAGCATCGAGCTATTAGCTTTTAACACCGTTGCCATGCAATCGACCTTTCATGTCACTCTGAACACGGTTCTACCACACCCTGTCCGCAAGAAGACCGGCCGTTGACAAAGTTGATAGCACGAGTGGTGGCCCAGGTTCCACGTGCAAATCTCTCAGTAGTGCTAGTGTATGGCTACACACATCTACGATTGCGGTCCCGAGCTCCTCGCTCGTCTTTCCAATTCAGCACACAAGCGCTTTAACTCCTCCTCCTACTACTACTACTTCGTCAAGCTCACCCCCACTCGTCTCCCCACTCGCCTCAGCCGCTCCACTGCCCCTCTTCTCCTCAGCCCCATCTTACAGTGGACTCTCTGTAAACGCTAAAGTTGAAGTCGGTGTCGGCGTCCCCATTGCTGTACTCGCAATGGGTGCGATTTCGGCGCGTACTCCCGAGTGGCTCGCAAGAGGAGTAATCGGAACGTCGTTGTTGAAGATAGGGGTGGTGCGGGGGTAAGGAAGCCTGAGTTAAGTGGGAGTGCGGTAGCGGAGGTTGACTTGCGGAGTGAGGAGGGGATGAGGTATGGGAGTGATCAGGGTGGATCACTTTTGGGGTATAGGCAGGCAAAACTTGGTGTGAGAAGAGGGATGCAAAGCGTTTCTGGGGGTCGGAGGCGGCGAGGTATGAGATGGAATCCTGAGGCGGGTGGCTTATCAAAAGCTAAGTTATGTTTACTATCCATCATTTCTGCATGGCTGTCTTCACGTGATGCTGTCTCGTCGCGATATAATTACATCTCCTCCACTGGTTTTTCCTCGTTCGTCAGAGGATGAGGACTGGCTGCGGGGTTTGTTTGAAACATGAAACTGTCACGCACAATGTCGCTGCTGGAGTGGAGCCAGAAAAAGGAGGTAACAAAAGCAGCCATGGAGCGTCGGCATCGAAAAAGGGACAGTGGTGATCAAAGGAGAGGTGGTGGTTGTTGTGAGCTCATAATTGATTCCAGAGGCAGTGAACAATGCCGATGGTCACTTCTTTCCAGTCTCGCCGATTCAAAATCAAGAACTCAAGTCCTCGTAAACTATCACCTTTCAGCAACAGATCATTTCATCATTGCAGGACAAAGCTAGATATCAGCTCGATCCAAATATCCCTCCTCCACCGGAGCCATCTTTGATGCCTTCTGAGATTTTCGATCCTCCCCCAACTCTCCATTGGGGGGCTCCATTGTACCATTTTGACCCCCTCCCAACCTCCACCGCACCATTCGTATTTCGCATTGAGAGATTTGATCGTCCACTCCGTCTCCATGGACGAGTTGGTCGCGTATTTCGATCCCCTTCCAATCTCCACCGCGCCATGACAGTCTTTGTAACGCTGTATTTAACCCCTCCAGCTCCCCAGCCCCATGGCAGGATTTCTCTCCGGGTTTCGATCCCCTTTCACCACCACCACCACGTAGCAACCCACTTCCTTTTAGTTTAACCCACGAGCTCCACCACACCATCAACGGCATCGTTCTTTGGGTTTTGATGATTCCACACCGTGGCTGTGTACCGTGTGGTATTTTACTCCTCCCCCGTCTCCATGCGAGACCTCGATGGAAAGAAAAGAAGAGTTCAGGGAACGAGCGAAGGGTTTTGTACGGCTGATTAGTAAGGAACATGTGGGCTCTCTAGCAGCACGTGGGACCACCTGATCAGAAGGCCTAAGAGGCCCCGCCAGGGCTCGTGATGCATATCTGGGAGCAATATGTCACGTGGAACACGTGAGCTGGAGCGCATAGAACCTATTTAAGCGACTTCTTTGTTTGCTGTTGGTCTTTCTTTCTTCGGGATTCTATCATATTTGTCCTTGAGCCAAAAAGGATGGATATCTTGTCCATGGTGTGGGGAAGGTTTTGGGGGCCGGTGGTACTTTTTTACTTGGTCTTAGACCATGTTGGTGTGTGAGTGTTTGGAGGGCTGTTCGGAATTTTCGAAGCAAGATAGTGATGCTCGATATCACCTCTCGTCAAGGAGAAAATAAACCTCAAGAGCACTATACAGACAGTCAGCATATCCCAATACCAGTACCAGCAAGAAGCCGTACCTAGATCCAGCCATCATCAGCATCACAACGCGATTGGGAGCAACATTGAAACAGTGCGGCACTCCCCCTCCATCACAACTTTCCCTACATGTTTTCAGCTTTCGTCCCAAATCCAGACCCCATAGAGCTGGTCGTAGTCGATTTTTGATCTTCCATGGCCGAAGGCCCCCCTAAGGATCTCCGAAAACTACCCCTGAGCCATAAGGAAGTTGAGTTGTCTCTTTGCAACGAACAAGTTGCAACCGCCATGCCTACCTCAAGCCCACGGGGGGGAAGATTTTATACCCCGTCAGAGAGCTGATTACGTTATACGCACGTGTCTTTCGGGGACGGGGGTCTGTGAGCGAGCACCTGACCTTGTTCCGGTGTTTCAATCAGCATAGCCCAAGGGACGACAGGGGATGTGGGGCGGCAAGAGAGGATGGAGAACAGGTATAGAGCTCAGGTCGAAGTCGTGGCAACGAAATTCACGATACCAGACTATATGAATCACAGCGATATCCGGAAAGAGTACGTAAAAGGACAGATATTTAAAGATGCTCTGACTATGATTGAGGATGTACCCTACTAGGCCATGAGTTTGTGCACTCTCTTTCGCCTGTACAAGGATAGTGTTTCTTTTAGAATTTTATGGATGCATCAGGCTACCATAACCAAAACGCTATGTATAGATCCGCGTGGATGTCAAATAACTCGATTGATTGTTGGTCGGAGATTAGCGAAACGCTTAAATCCACCTCGGATATATGTGGTTGACGACATGTACCTACTACCGCACTCAGCGTTTTCTATTCCACTATAAGTTCTTGTATATAAAACCACCAAATCACCATCTAAACTCCCTCTATGTATCATATTTACGCTTCATGTAACCCTCGAGCCGTATTCTAGATATAGAAAATGTAAGTATTGTTGGTAGGTGTTGATTCCATAGTTCTAGAGACGAGCGGCCCCCAGCTTAAAGGCCACGCGGCATGCCACAACATGAAAGAACAAACCAACCAACTAGATTCTGAACCGTTCGTTGATCTCCGCGGCGGAGATAGACACTTAAAAAAACCCCGAGGGGAACAATATAAAAACGACGAATGCCGTGCAACACAACGTCACATAGTCAACCTCACAATGTCTGCCCAAATCCCTTCCATCACCCTAGAAGAGCATTTCACTTCCTCGGCAGCCGCCAAAGTCTATGGCACCGCGGCCTCCGAGTTCGGCCCCGCCATTGGCGCCAAACTCTCCTCCATCTCGACGCCACGGATAGCCGACATGGATGCCGGCGGTGTCGGTCGCCAGATCCTCTCCCATACTCCATTCCGCACGGCTCCCACGCCTGAGCTGTGCGTTGCAATCAACGATGAGCTCCACGCTGCTGTCAGCGCCCACCCAGATCGTTTTACCGGGTTTGCTTCGCTCCCAATGACGGAGCCTCGCGCCGCGGCTGAGGAGTTACGGAGGACGGTAAACGACCTCCACTTCGTTGGCGCTCTCGTGGACAACCACTCCGATGGCGTCTGGTACGACGGGCCCGAGTGGGATGTGTTTTGGGAGGCGGCGCAAGACTTGGACGTCCCGATCTACCTGCACCCCTGCTTTGCGAGCGAAGAGATGATGCGCATCAACTACAGAGGCAACTACAGCGAAGACGTGGCGAAAAGTCTGGGAGCTTTTGTGTTTGGGTGGCATGCTGAGACAGGGTGAGTTCTTTGGATATCTGTTTATTGAAGGCGTCGCAACTGACGAGAGACACACGCAGCTTGCACTTCCTTCGCCTCTTCGCTGCGGGCGTCTTCGACCGCTTTCCGCGGCTGAAACTTGTACTCGGCCATATGGGCGAGATGGTACCTTTCATGATGCAGCGCGAGGAAAGGGCGACAGGGCGGTGGCAGCACGTAAAGCGGCCGCTGCGGGAGGTGTGGCGGGCTAATGTCTGGGTGACTACGAGCGGCACGTTTGATATTGCGCCGCTGGCCTGTCTGCTCAAGGTGTCGCCGCTTGCTCATGTGCTCTTCTCGATTGATTATCCGTTTTCGGACACCGAGAAAGGGAAGCAGTTCGTGGAGGAGATTGAGAAAGAGGGTCTGCTAGGGGGGGAGGAGTTGAGGGCTTTTGTGAGTGGGAATGCGGCAAAACTTCTCCGAGTGAAGGAGTAAAGGTACGATGATTACTACACTTGACTTTCGTTGAGTGCCTGCCATGCGCTGTCAAGGCCTTGGATCGGCTTGATTATGGCTAGATATTGGTCCATGGCTAGATATTGGTCCCCAAGTCTTGAGCGGAAAGTTTCGTCAGTACGAGGTTGAGTGATCTAGTGAGTGATACCCGCAGTTCGGAACCTTGGGTTGCATTGTGAAAGCTCTCTCTCTCAACTGTGTGAGCCCTTGGATATCGCAGAGTGGGTTCGAAATGACGGAGGATAGGTGATAGATCTGGAAACTGTGAAGGATGGAAAAGGTGGGAGGTCTGTGCCTTTTAACTCAAAATCACTCATGTGACGGCTCAATAAAGTAGACAACAGACCGATATTTAAAAAAATATCTCGAAATGAATTCGTAGAACTCTGAGAGTCTGCAAAGCTTGCAAAGTAGGAGTACGGATAGATCGGCACTGCTTATCACGGGTCCTTGCGAAAAGATCTCCTGGAACTGTGCCGCACCAGCCACCTCAACGATGACTCTACATCCTCAAAATCAGCGAGCACGCCGCAGCAACGAACTGGCCGCAGCTATCTAACTTAATGGATTAAACCGTGGGGGAGTGTTCGAGCTGACGTCCCCGCGAAACACTTAACAAAACCCTGGGGGTTCGAGAGTTCCCCAGCGGTATTCAATTTGGCCTTGTCAAAAGGTTCGTTATTATCGATATAGTTTTGGATGTTGAACCACGACGCAGAAATTGTATCAAAGACAACGGTCTAACATCATGTTTCCTTTACGTTTTTGAGGTGGTTCAATCCAGCGTTGGTTTCACCACGTCAACTAAAATTTTCGATGAGTTTTCGAATGCCTCGATCAGGAGAAGTTCATGGTGGGTGGTGCTACAAGGGTAGTAGCAAAGGGCGCATTTCAAGTCCTATCATTGGTAGACTGCCTTCCGTCCCAGTTGCACAGTAGCCGCCGGCCCCTGGAGCCCTGAAGTCCTGAGGCCACAGCCTCGAGTGATGCGGCCTCTCCATGTTTCAGAGAAATGCGCGTGACCGAAAATCAACATTCTTCCGACGCACCCAATAGCCTGGATCGCAAGCGACAGATTCAAGTTCAGAGTCTAAAGGATCAAGTCGGGTATTGCTTTGTGGCCGTTTTTTCTTCCCAATCAATGTTCTTCACACTCTTCTTTCAAATCGTACCGCTGCGCCTTGTGATATTCATTCGAGCATTAATTGTGGCTTTTCGACCCCCCACACGAACCCCCACAATGCTGCATACGTCACGGTGGCTTCACCTTTTCAATGCATATCTCTCGACCAGCTATAGCGAGTGGCGCAGGGCATCTATGCCGAAGTGGGATGGACCCGTTAGTTTCGCGTTTTAGGCGACAAGTTCTCTACCAAAATACAACTGCTTCGCCTCGTTGCCCAGCGCGATACAAATAAGTGCGTTGGTCAGGTTTCCACTTCTGCCTTGTATCCCAAATGCCCATCTAATTCTTCTCTTCTATTCCAGTCACGATGAGTCCAGCGCGATCCAGTAATTCCACAGCACACATACCTAAAATCACCGAGCTTCGTGACCTACTGCATTATGGAGTTAAGCGGCCTGCCCTATGTAACGACCTCAAATCATTCATGACAACTTATCGCACATCGGATGATCTCTCGGGTGTGGAATTGTATAAGTGGGTCGAGCACCAGACTGGCCTTGAGGAGATGACATCCGCATTTCTGAAAGGCAAAGGACACACGTATTGGCCAGACGAAAGAACTTCAGCCAACTACAACCCTCTTCATTATTCTAGGGACCATGCGAAGTGCGCCGCAAAATCCGATTAGAATATGCGTTTGCGCTAACCTTGAAAAGAATAAACGGCCTCGTAAAAGAGCTCATGTTTCGTTTCAATGAATCAAGGCATAAAATAGAGCGAAGAAGAAAACAGAAAAGGAAAGATAAAGATGAGCGTATCATAGAAGGAACGCCTAGTCGAAGCGCGACACCTGTCAACGTATCCAGCATGAGCCCGAAAAGTCCATTCGGGAGCCATCCCGGCATGCTGCCGAGGTAGGATCTGAGCTAAACATCTATTTATATTATATGAAATCTCTAACTTAGTTAACAGGTTCAGCTCGACACGAAATCCGGGTGATTCAAGAGCATCCACGGCCGCCACAGATCCAGCAGACTTGACAGTGGACGAAGAATCCCCTGTTATACCCCACCCAGTGGGTAATGACGAAGAGAACCTCCCTAGTCCGCAGCCGCGGAGTTATGCGGTAAGTCTCTATGAGAGCGACCAATGCAGCATCGATGACCGACAGTGACAGTGCAAAGCTAACGCATCGTAGAAGAAAAGTCGCAATTCATATTACATTCATAAAGAAAAAGACAGCACCACAAAGACTACGAGCTCAAAACGTTCTGCAACAGCCGAAGATCTCCCTCGACGTAAATTAGCGAAACGAAGCAGAACCTCCCACTTTGAGTCCGACGATGACGATTTGTATTCGGATCTTTCAGCTGCGGCCCCATTAGCATCAACATATGAAGGTCGCACAACGGGTCGCGACAGGAAAGGCCCAACAAATTATTATGCAACAGAAGCGGAAAAGCGATTGATCGAGGCCATCGAGTCTCAGAGGTCTGGCAGAACAGTTGACGACGACGTGATTGAAAGTCAAGAGAAACCACTGCCAATGACGTCGCGCTATGCTATAGACCTGTGGTCACAGGACTCCGTGATAGATCGAGGGATTCCAGCGGGTGAAACTTCCGCAAAGGCCCAACCCACTCCTCTATCCCATGTGGAGGACGAGTGGATGACTGCTACTCGCCCGCCTGCGGCACTACGTCCCACTACTCTAGCACCCGTAGAGGAACGTCAAAGCAGTGGCACAAGAACCCACCAAGCCACTCCCACAACACCTCGCCTTCCAAGACCAAAGCTCAACTACTCCTATAGCATCATCTTCTCCCGCACTCCAGTACTGTCGACCAAGAACTGGTATCCACAAGGCAGCTTCCAAGACAAGACCCTGGCCCAAGTTTTCCTTGACTTGGAGCTCGACGTGAATGTTCGTGGCGTGGTCTTCACGCTCGAAGGACCTGATCTCCGCTACGAGGGGGGTCTAATCGACCGAGGCGACGAGACGAAGTTCCAAGTCATGAAAAGGAACCTCACTAGGTGGATCAACATATGCAGTGATAGTCACCGGGGTACTAGCGAGCCTCTAGATCTCTTTATCGATATCGAAATTCTAAGAGACGAGGAGGAGGGTCTGCATGTAGATGAAGAGGATGCGGAAATTTGGTGAAGAGTATGCGTACTGAGAGCTGTTGAATTAGATCTTCTTTCCTAGAGCTCTGAGTTTCCTGTTCATTTGGGAGGTTTTTCGCGCATTATACCATTTGCTATATTGCTTACGTTTATCGACCACGCTGGAGGTACAGGGTTGAGGCGCCGTCATGCGCCCTTAATTTTGGAAGCTAGAGGACGTAGAATTCTGAGAACTTTGATGCGCGGCAACAATACGCGGTATATCATCAAGAAGCCATGAGTTGATGGACGTATCGGGCCCAGTTATTCGGTTCCTGTCGGCTTCCTCAGGCATATTGGTTTGCTTGGGTAAACTGCTATATTTTGGTCAGCAGTGCTCAGCTCTGATTGGTCTTCACTCTAGAAAAGCGGAATGGAGGTTACCTTTCAGCTTTCAGTGCTACGGTCCAGTCGATTTTGCTGACGAGCAAAAACCTCGCAAAGGCAACCCAGAGCAGGTATATGAACTGTCTCCTAGTGCCAAGGAAGGTGATGTTCTCATCGCGAAGACGACCGCAGAATTTGCAGTTACCGAGCTCGTACTCTTGCCGATCATTCTCCGAGGCATACGCATCAGCTTTCTTGCACTGAGGGCAAGAAATGCACTCCATGTGGTACGGGAGATCTGAGACCATATAACAAGCCCCTTCTACCTTTGTACCGCAGCAGTCGCAGTCGTCTGATGAGTTCTGTGCTAGTTTCAGCAGTCTCTTTATCTCTTCTGCATTTGAAAAAGGCTGTCGTTGTCCTTTTGTGGGGACACGATCGAGGAAAATATCAAGAGCAGATGACTGAAGTGCGCCTTGTAAGCCAATTCTGATGAGGAGCTTAGTATAATGCGCCAAACCCGTAAGAAGAGATAAAAGCTCTTGTGTGACGCCAAGCTTATGTCCCGAGGTGGTGGTCATGACTTGGAGAATCGTCACAAACTTTTTGCAGAGTAACTTGAACTCGCGCGATATCATAAGCCCTATTCAGAAAAGCGTCAGATATGGTGAGATTGGCAACTTTGGATACGTACTCTCAAGCCCCCTTGACGTCCTGACGATATCTACGGCTAACAAACATTCGATGTATCCGCTTATGCTGTCGATGAATCTGGCCATTGGGGGCGCGGCGAGAAGAGCATCCCCATTCGAAACGTGGAGCAAGAGGTCTGATATCATTGTGGTAGTATACTCCTCGAAACCCGAAAGAACACTCCATATTTTTGCGACTCTCTCTTCCGCTTCTTCCAATTTTCTTCGTACGAGATCCCGGGTAACATCGTCAACCTCGCTTCCCCGTGGATAGTCGCTTTTCGTCACTGGGCGATACGTCCCAAGCCGCGCATTCCAGTGCTTTTGTATCATGTAACATTCAGGGTGCCAGGACTGATTCTGACCGTTCCTGAAAATTTCAACGAATTGTTTGAGGATGGCGGTCTGGCATCCTGAACAGCATTGTGCAAACCTAGTGCTGTAATCGTAATGACAGTAAAGGTTGCCATCGTGTTCGTAGTAGCAGCCCCCTTCATCTTGCAAGTCTTTTGAGCAGAGCGCGCATGTGAAGTGTTCAGTGTGGTACTTGCGTCCAAGTGCTGTGACATAGTATCCCCGGAGAGCGCCACCGCAGGTAAAGCAGAGGAGATCAAGGCGGCGGAAGTAGTCAGTTTCGCAGAGGGCTTGGTCGGGTCCTTCTTCGATGGGAAGAGGAAAGAATTTGTTGGCCACGATGATGCCGCAGTCCTACGATGGTATGAGAATCTGCGGTCTAAGTTCAACTACAGCAATAACTCACAATGCATGTGAAGCAGTCAAGATGATACATGCCGCCTAAAGCGCGCACGAATTGACCAGTTAGATTTTGTGTGCACTTGTCACATGTTCGAGGGCCGCCGGTCCATTGTTTCTTTTTCTGAAAAATAGTAGATTTACTACCAGACGGTTGCTGCCCTCCTTGCTGTGGCAGTACAGCATCGAATCCAGTTCCTGTCTTTTGGTAGCTCTTCTGATGCTTTAGTTTGACTTGGCGAGGAGTTGTTGTATGACCGAGTGCTGGTCTAGATTGGTGAGGTGCGCCCATCACATCACCCTCTATATTCGGGGTTGCAGCTGGAGACGCTTCGGGCGACTTGTGCCCTACATTTGCTGGTGTAGGCCGGATTCCAGGTGAAAAGGTTTCTGTGTTTGGATCTATTGAAGATCGAGTCGAAAGTGTATGTTCGTTGATGGACTGGATGAGAACTTGCGGAGTTAAGTCTGCCGGAAGTTCGCCTGAGAGGGTCAAGCCAGCAAGCTCTCTAGTGGCGCCGTGTATCGAGGATTGGTCGACTGTCTTCTGAGTTATGGTAGCAGCGTCCGAGAAATCAATCAGATCACCCCCGAACACGGCTTGCTCGTTCGTCTGACCGCTGGTTCCATCTACGGGTTCTTTGCCCGCTCTCGCAGCTGCAAGTGCGCGACGATAGGCCTTACTGTTCACTATAAGATCGTCGAAGTCGAACTGTCGATCGGACCAAATGCTGGCTGCATACTCCTCAACTTCACCGCCGCCCTCTCGATCGTCTCGGGAGTATACCGACTCAGGAACGCCAATTTGCGGATACGAGGAGCGAAGAGATTGCGTTCTCTGGATGGTATCTGCAAATGCAGGTCTGCCTTCTTCGACTATCTTCTTGATCTCCGCAAGCGAGTCTCTATAGCACAAAATCATTCTTGGTTACTTCGCCAATAACATACTGGGTGACGAACACTTGTAGAAGCTGTATGAGCATATTCATCGACATCTGCAATCCGCGCAAGGCTTCAAGTAGCTCTCTTAACTTATCTCTATTCCAGACCATTCGCGCCTTGCTCCTCCACGATATGGCTCCAGGTTGTGAAGATGCGGTTATGTGGCTCATTTCATCATCTAGACAACTGAATAACACCATACATCCTGTCAAAGCAGCATCTAGCGCCGCGATGAGTTCTGGTCTCGATGCAAGGAGATTAGGAAGATCAGGTTCGCGGAGAAGTAGGCTCTGGACGCTCGATAACGATGCACTGATCACGGTGGTCTCTGAAGTTATCGAAACAATGTACATGGGAGCATCCTTGTACTTTGCACGAACCTCGTACAGCATCTTTGCGGTTGATAGGCATGCTGACGAGACTTTGATCTGCCTGGTGTCAGCTCGACAGTAGTCGGCGTCTACGCAGAGCTACTCACCACTGTCGTGGTTATCGTGAGGGGATCCATGTTGAGAGACTTAATGTAAAGAGCGAGACTAATTCATGCTGGCAGAGTAATACAATATGAACTCTTAACACCCAAGGCGACCACCTCAAGACTGGGCTGGGTAGGGCTTCCCCGAGCGCGCGCTAACTAGTCCGCGGGGCGGATAGGCGATCGTTACTTTTTCTTAGCTCAGCCTTGCGGCTCGTCGCGAAACGTCGATGGCAAGGAGAAGAAACTCGCAGAGGGGTGGAGCGCGATTGACCAAACTTGTTAGTATTACAAGAGCGCTGTTAATGTAACTTAGCATGACGGAGGAAAGCCAGATTGAGATATATTTGATAACAATAGCGTAAAAGGAGAGTTTATCACGTGATACCATCTCTTCTATACACCTCGTAGAAACAGTATACGCTCTGACATAGGCGTGTAACAGCTGCATATGTATCTATCCTAAGCTTATACGTTTACATCTTATAAAAGCAAGGAGAAGTTACCATGATTATAGCAGTAGTAGCATTAATACAATAGTTTCCTCGTTGATGAACATTAAGGAGCTTTCAACGAGAGCAGAGCTCCCGTTTATATTAAACTTTCTGACGATCTGAAAATCAATAGAAGAAGATCCAAAAATAATCGGCGTGGATGGGTAGAAAGAATGTGTCACGAGTCTTGGCAGATATCTTCCTTTCCAACTGTGCCGCACCAGCCACAACGACACCTCACGCCCTGAGGTTTCCAACAACCACGCCGCAGCCACGAAAGCGGCACAGCCGCCGAAATTTCCCCTTGTTTCGAGACGAAGCCGACTGATGTCACCATTAGGAGAGCAATGTTAACGGACTCTGCTAGAAATCGGCATCGACATAGGCGACGCCCATTGAATTGAATAACTCGCGGTCCTCAATGGCCCAATTCTATTTATCCTCTGGATTCGCGCGGCCGGTATGGAACTCTCTGGTGATCTTCAAGACTATCGGGGGTCCCCTGGCGCTTAAGTTGCATTGATGTTGCATCCGTCTCAAGCTGAGCAGAGGGGCTTTGCAAGCCCCTGAACAAATTGACTACAGCCTCGACGTAGCATCAAATTAGCAAGGTTATCTCATTTAGACCGGCAGACACTTTCTAGTCATCTCTCGTTCCTTCTTCATAGAGCAGATTTAGGATCACAGCTCGCAAGAATTCACAACGGCCTAGAATAATTGGCAGGCTTCGTGTCCCTTGAATCTTTCCATTGCGGGTCAGGGCACGGCGTTTAGTTTCAGTCAAGGGTGAGCGATCTCTGGCGCTAAGCTCAGCCGCCTTATTTGTCGCTATGTTTGTCGCCGCCGTGGCAGGACTACGGCGCAGCAATCGCAGTCACTTGTCATACACCCAATGTTGCATCGCAGCCCAAGCGTCTGGGTCTTTAAGAACAGAAAGTTGACATAAGCACTGTATAAACGAAAGAAACATGTTCAAATATAGGACAATATCACCTAAAAACTTAAAGAGATTTAATTTGCAGCAACGAGAATGAACAGGGCATTAAATGAACGTAACGACGTAGGAAACAGCGTAAAGGCTCCCGCAGACCCTTACACCTAACGCATCATGTAGCCGCTAAGCCATGGTTTGTGGCAGTGTGACGGTATCAACGATAGCTTTGCCCCGCCTGATCGCGTCAGAGCCCTTCGAGCGTTCGAATAGCCCTTGCTGCTTGTTGGATATCCAATCCTTTCGGAAGCGCCAAACGTGTGGACTGTGAGGTAGAGTATCAGCATCCTGGCTCGAATAGAACTACGTTGGGCAGGGCTTACCTTTGGGTTCAATATCAGCTCGTACGGGAAGGGCACTCTATGCGTTTCGCCTTGGCCATCCGTGTAACACCTCTCAGCGATGGAACGGTCAATCGTTTCGTGCGGAGCCACGTTGCGGTAATGCTCTTCTACAGCCCTAGATAAGTAATGACACCTTCAACTGCAGCATCAGTATGGCCATACCTAGTCTCTGAAAGTCAGCTCTCGCTCGAGGCCTTCCGAAAACCATACGGTCGACAACCACGGCGATTCCACTCATAGCGGTCATAGCTGCAGCAAGAACAGTAGTTTGTACCAGGGTAGAAGAGCTTCTAACGATCGTCGAAACGTCCATCTTGAGGAAGATTTGTGGGAACCGGCAGTTTTCAAGAGAGAGTGTGAAAGATGAAGGAAACAGGACGAGGAACCCCAAAGGCAAGCGACAACCCCTTTCCAAAGAACGGACTCGACTTGAGAGAGAGCAAGGTTGTATGAGTCAGGCAACAATGCATTCACTCAAGGCAAACATTGTTGCTTTTCTTAATCCTAATCGAGTGTCGGCGGATCCCCCGATACACTAGGTGACCAACTCCCTTGTCTTCCCGTACAATAGCTGGCTAGTCTGCCTTGCATTCACCGATCAATCTTCAGCTCCTTATCTTTGTCCAATCAATGTTGGCATGGGGGCTTAGGAGGTTTCCAAGTTATTGCCGAAGGTGGTTTAACTTGCATGAGTGAGTTTCAGACGCAAGCCTCTGTGTCTGCCTGGTGCTTCGCCCCCATTGCACTTGTAAAGAGAGCAGAAAGACGGGTTCAGCTCATCCCTCAGACTCGTTTCTGTCTTCCAGTATCATCACACCGTGTTCTCACCATTCTCATCTACACGTACCTACATCATACAATGTCTCTGACGAAGACCATAAGCCCCGCGTCAAGCGTACCTAACATCACTGAACTACGTAGACAGCTTCAGTACGGCAACAATCATCCCACCTTCAGTGACGATATCAAAATGTTTAGAAAGAATTATCGAACACCTTCCGGCCTCGTGGGTATGGACCTTTATGACTGGAGCTCTCCGCAGCACCAAGCTGCTCTTGAGGAGATGACCAATGCGTATCTCGAGCAAGAAGGCCGTGGGAACCTGTATTGGCCAGACGACCGGACTTCAGCCAATCTCAACATTTTACAATACTCGAGAGATCATTCAAAGTAAGCATGCAAGGCTATCTGATGGCCTGTTTTGCTAACTTTCTTAGGATCAAAACCCTTACGAAACAGCTCATGTTCCGCCTCAACCAACAGCAATATCGCAATCATAAATACAAAGGCAAGGAAAGGTCTGGCGGGGACGAAACACACGAACGTGATCGGAGCGTCACAGACCCCATCAACGTGGATGGTTCCGATTCTAAGTCAAACAATCCATTCGGAAGCCACCCTGGCATTTGGATCAAGTAGGTCCTCAACCGAGCGGTTTTCTGTCCCTGCCGCAAACGTTCTGATTTTGTGAATAGATATGACACCGTAGGAAAAAGCAGCTCTTCAGAAAAGAACCGCGTGTCAAGCACCACCGCTCAGGCGAACCCAGCATCGGTCGGAGTATCCGTGAACGTCTCTGGCACGAAAGACGCCGACGAGGAGGATGTTTATACTGTGCCTCTCAGCCCAGAGCCATTGACTTCTACAGTATGTCTTCAACACATCATATGTCTGATCGTCGACTGCGACTGTGCAGCTGACACCACGTAGAAGCAACACCGCATCACAACTTTACAGTTCCCATCTCAAAGTGCGGGATCAAGCGACGCAACGGCCTCGAGCAACAAACGCGCTGCGGAGCCCGTAGACTGCAACCAAACAGCGACCTCGTCGAAGCGAACCAGACCATCGAGCTTCAAACCCAATGGTGACGGCTCGTACTCCCTCCCTACATATGCGGCTAAGAAGAGCGCACCAGGCTACATGCCTCGTAATTCGCCAAGAGGCAGGAAGGCACGCCAGAAGCCAGACTGTGCGACGGACGAGCAAATACGAGAGGCTATCGGATCTCCAACGGAAAGCGAAATTCAGGTCACTACCGAACAAGATGAAGCACAAGGCCAACTGTCAAATGCATCGACAGACACTCATGTGGAGAATGTATCTCCAAACTTAGGAGATCAAGCAGGACAACCGTCCACGGAGTCCGGTTCGAAATCTACGATCGAACCCGAGAATACCACGACGTCGGCAGCAACCCCTTTGAACACTGCAATAAACCCCCTATATTCAAGCGTCCCGCCTACGCCAACGTCCATGGAAGGGAGCATACAACCAGCGACCAATGAAGCAACTCCACCGAAACCCACCCCAGCCCCTAAACCGACTATCAGCTTCGTCTACAGCGTAATCTCATCTCGCGTTCCCATCCTCCAAACGAAGCTATGGCAACCAAAGGGCAAATTCCAAGACAAGACCCTAGCCAACGTGTTCCATGAACTAGAACTCGACGAGAACGTCCATGGACTTGTATTCACCCTGGAAGGACCGGGTTGTCGCTCTGAGGGTGGCCAGATCGATCGCGATGACGAGGTGAGTTTTGAGGGCATGAAGCGAATGTTCAATAAGCAGATCAGAGCTTGTGTTGCTAGCCATGCTAGCAATAGCAAGCCTTTACTTTTTGAATTCGAGATTGAGCCGCTGAAAGGGGAAGAGCCAGCGAGAGGGCCAGAGGCGGAGGAAGAGGATTTTATTTGGTAGAAATCATGGGTGCTCGGTGTCGAGTTGGGACTACCTTCTCACATTTTAGGTCTCTTGACTTCCTTTTCGCCTGTCACTTGTTCCATAATAGCAGATATTATAGCGAGATTCCAATATATTAGTCTATCATATCATTCATCAAAAAGACCCCAGAATCATAAACTCCTTCCCACTCTGCCCCGAGCCCCGCAAGCAGATGCACCTCCTTTAACCCAGACCGAGTACCCACTTCCAGCGCCAAAATCACCGCTCAAAAGAAACTCCCACAAAATATGCCCCCATTGCTTGTCCCGAATGATCAATCTCGACTCCCACTTCTCTCATCCCTTATGTCCGCCTCGCAGGTGCGGCGTACCTGGCATTGCGGAGTCCGGGACCGTAATAGATATCAAATGCAGCATTGACGCTCCGGTGGTGTTCCTTGGCGTGCTGAACAACGGCTTTGAAGATCTTCTTCGCAGATGATTCGGATGTGGTGGCCTTTTCCGATGAAGATGTGGAGAGCAGGCTGGTGGTGGAGGCAGAGTCGAAGGAGTTCTTAGGAGACGACATGCTCTGGGAAGACATTTTGGTGGATGTGGGTTTCGCTATGTGGAAGAATTTGTCTTTGGGAGATCAACGGGCTTGAGATGCGAAGCTGGAGCTTTGTTTGGATCGCGAGGAGAAGTTGTGGTTTTGGTAAAAAGCTGTTGGTGGTAGATGTTTGATTGAGGAAATTGATTGAAGTTGATAATGATATGTGAAGCTCGAGTGTTGACTGTAGACTGATTGCTGGTTGATTTGCTTTCTGATGGTTCTCTTGAAGGCCGTCAACTCACCCTCCTTATATACACTCATCCTTTCAAGTCATTCCTCACGCCCTTCGCAGTGTCGGTCATAGCCACATGTCTACATTCACATTTCCAATATTCTTCCATAACCACCTGCTAGCACACCTTCAGCGCCAAAATATTGACAAGCTGACTCCACCTACGCCCTCCACCGTCCGAAATCAGCCCTATGACACCATGCAAAACGCGTCCTGGTTAACAAAGCAGCCAATCACAGCAAACGATGACACTCGCTTGCATCAAAGAAAGGCGTGTATGTCATTCTGTAGCCAATCACGGCACGCGGCGGTATTTTTAAGCAGCTGAGCATGACACGCCCTGTGGTCAATTTTCACATTAATAATAGTGCTGTGGCTGCCCATAGAATAGAGTTAGGCACTTGGCAACTCTGCACATTCATGCGCTCGACACTTTCGTTTTCCACCTTTGGCCTCAGCCTAACGCGCAATTCTGTTGGAAGTCTTCGGCCCTTAGGAAAAAGAAGTTCTTCGAATCTCAGCGAATATCTAACTACAATACAGCCGCGTCTCAATCGACGTCATTTCAGCTTGTTGACTCAGAGAGCCGACTTTCGAGATGTGCCCTCCAGACCCGAAAGGCGAACATCGTCGTCTACCCACGGCATCTATCCACGACACGCACTAATTCGACCGCCTTACAAGCGGGATTGTATTAATCGTGCTCACAGTGCTGTTTGCTTACAAAGACAGAGCCTGAGCAGAACTCAAAGCCGCACGCGTTAAACTTTTCGTGAACCTGCACTTTCCTAGCGAGTCGTTGCTTTTTAGAATCCTCTCAATGGCAGACGGAAATCCTCCTCGCGGGACAATCTGAAGCACTTAGGTTAAATTGATGTGAACTCTGATTGTATTCTCGTGGCCGTACGGGCCGAATATATACTAATAGGAAACGGCCCACCCCCTAGGTCTGTCAGCCCAGCTGAATAGAGGCCAGCTGAAAGGAATGGACCCTGGTGTAGCTGAACAGAGGGCCTCGCCACGCGTCACCTTGGAGAAGAATGTTGCAGAAATCACATGCACGCTCGGCCACTGGGATACGGACGCTGACTGGGCGGTTTCCCAGGCTCTCTCCGGTCGCTTCCCCACGTAGGCAAAGTAGAGTTTTGGATGCATGGTTGCTCCATGCGCGGAGCTGCCGACGCAATAGATACAACATCCTGAGGAGTGCCCGCAGTGGGGATTTCAGCACTGCAGCACTTCCTACGACTTCACCGAGGCATCTTTTACTGCGTGCGAGACGGTCGGCCGAAGATTTCACCACGCCGCGTTGCTACTAGAATACTAGGGAGTGTGTGGGAGCATGACGTTGGACCCGACACTGTACGAGACGTTCACAAAGGTATTTATATTCTTTCTTTTCCACGTACCGTACTCGACTTTGTTATATTAAATCCCTTCTCTGGGATCTTCTAGCTAATCTGGTCAAGAACCACTCTACCATGCCTGAACCGCTTCCTATTCCGAGTCCGCCAGGTCTCCCTATTTTTGGCAACACCCGTGAGGTCGATCCAGAGCTTCCAGTTCGTTCGTTTATGCATCTTCATGAGCTCCACGGTTAGTCGCCATGCTTTGTGTTTTCTGAGAGGATTTGGAGGGTTCATCCGAGTCCATGATTTATCGATTCTTCCCTTTCATGATATTTGTTGTACTGACTCGTCCTACGTCTAGGCCCCATCTACCGATTATCTTTTGCCGGAGTGCCCAGGTACTTCATTGCCTCGCATGAGCTGATGAACGAAGTCTGCGATGAGAAGAGATTCAGCAAACACATTGCCGCTGCTCTGCAGGAAGTACGGAATGGCGTACATGGTAAGCGAATCTCCGAAAAGGTACGATTTATTCTGCTAATATGACATAGACGGCCTGTTTACCGCGCTTGGCCCTGAAGAGAGGAATTGGGGCATTGCCCATCGAATTCTGGCACCGGCTTTTGGGCCCCTGTCAATCAGGGGAATGTTTGACGAAATGCATGACATTGCGTCGCAACTGGTGATGAAGTGGGCCAGACATGGACCAGATCATGTGATTCCCACATCGGACGACTTCACAAGATTGACTTTGGACACCCTGGCCCTGACAGCCATGAATTTCCGCTTCAATTCATATTATCATGAGGAAATGCACCCTTTCATCGACGCCATGGGAGCCTTCCTCCGAGAATCTGGAGACAGGAGCAGACGCCCAGCAGTCACGCAAATGTTTTATCGTGAGGCGCAACGCAAGTATGAGGAGGACATTGCTCTTCTACGAAAGACAAGCGATGATGTGATCAAAGCCAGGCGAAGTCATCCTTCTGACCGAAAAGACCTGTAAGTATAGATTGTCAAACGGTCTACTTTATGGAACAGTAAGACTGATTTAATGCAGCCTCAATGCTATGCTGAATGGGAGGGACCCCAAAACCGGGGAGGGCATGACCGACGATAGCATCACTGACAACATGATAACGTTCCTCATCGCAGGGCATGAAACGACTTCAGGCTTGTTGAGTTTCGCTTTCTACTATCTTCTCAAGAATCCCGCTGCGTATCAAAAAGCTCAACAAGAAGTTGATTCGGTCATTGGAAAAGACCCGATCAACGTTGATCATCTTTCAAAGCTGCCCTTCATTAACGCGATCCTGAGAGAGACGCTTCGGGTATGGCCAACCGCTCCTATGATTTCTTTCACACCAAAAAAAGATGAACTACTTGCCGGGAAATACCAAATTCCGAAGGGCGAGGCCATCGTAGCGGTACTCCCAACCATTCAACGAGATCCTCTAGTTTGGGGCGAAGACGCCGCAGAATGGAAGCCTGAGAGGATGCTCGATGCCGAATTCGAACGCGTTCAGAAAGAGCATCCGAATTGCTGGAAACCATTCGGGAACGGGATGCGCGGATGTGTTGGTCGCCCATTTGCATGGCAAGAGGCGTTGCTAGTAGTTGCTATGCTTCTCCAGAATTTTAACTTCTCTATGTCGGATCCGGCATATACTTTAGGCATAAAACAGACCTTGACAGTCAAGCCTAAAGGCTTCAACATGCGTGCGCAGTTAAGGAACCAGGTTACTCCGACATCGCTGGAACGCTCTTTAGCCTCAGCATCACTCAATCCGCCTGCTGCGCTTCCAACGAAAGGACGATCAAGTGGAGCCGCCAAAAAACCTTCAATAAATGGTAAGCCTTTGGCTATTTATTACGGATCCAACACAGGTACCTGTGAGGCTCTTGCACAAAGGCTCGCGGGCGATGCACCGAGCTATGGGTTCCAAGCACAAGTCGGTACTTTAGATTCTGCTAAGGAGAATCTTTCGAGCGATAAACCTGTCGTAATCGTCACAGCATCATACGAAGGTCAGCCTCCAGATAACGCTGGCCATTTCTTCTCGTGGCTAGAGTCTCTCAAGGACTCGGAGATGGACAAAGTATCATATGCGGTCTTTGGATGCGGTCACCAAGATTGGGCTCAAACTTTCCACAAGATTCCCAAGGCTATCGACGACATGTTGGAACAGCGTGGCGGCCAGCGTATCGTGGAAATGGGGAAAGCGAATGCTGCAGCGGGCGACATGTTCACCGATTTCGAAACCTGGGAAGACCAAGTCTTCTGGCCAGCCATGACAAAGAAGTACGGAGCGTCTGATCTACCCGAAGGGGAGTCTTTCGATGCCAGCCTTAACATAGAAGTATCCGCTCCACGCGCATCTACTCTTCGACAGGACGTTATGGAGGCCCGTGTAGTGGACACGAAGGTCTTGTCCACACCCGAAGTCCCCGAGAAGAGGCATATCGAAATTAGTCTGCCTTCGGACCAGGCTTACTCGTCGGGCGACTACCTAGCAATCCTTCCCCTAAACCCGAAGGAGAACGTCCATCGTGCTATGCGGTACTTTGGCCTGCCATGGGATAGCATGCTGACGATCTCAACCGCTCATCCTACGACTCTGCCAACTGATTTACCTATACCCGCCGCAGACGTATTCGGAGCATACATTGAACTTGCTCAACCTGCCAGCAAGCGTAACCTCCTCGCACTGGCGGAACTCACAAAAGACGAAGCAACCAAGGCCGAACTCAAGCGCCTAAGCGGTCCTGAATTCACAACCGAAATCAGCACTAAACGTGTCTCCCTCCTGGACCTCTTGGAGCGTTTCCCTTCCGTAACGCTCCCGCTCGGTCCCTTCTTGCAAATGCTTCCCCCAATGCGAGTCCGCCAATACTCCATCTCTTCCTCTCCCCTCTGGAACCCTTCCCACGTCACTCTTACATACGCCGTCCTCGACCAACCAGCCCTCAGCGGCCAAGGCCGCCACGTCGGCGTAGCATCCAGTTACCTCTCCAAGCTCGAAACAGGCGACAAACTGCACGTCTCAGTCCGGCCATCACACCAAGCCTTTCACTTGCCCAAAGACGCGGAGAAGGTGCCCGTGATCTGCATCGCTGCTGGAACAGGTACAGCGACCCGTCCTTCCCTTCATTCTTCCAAAGACATGGCAAGCACTAATGGCGCTCAGGCATCGCACCCTTCCGCGGCTTCATCCAAGAACGCGCCGCCCAACTCGGCGCCGGTCGCCCCCTCGCCCCCGCCCTTCTGTTTTACGGCTGCCACTCCGCCACGACCGACGACCTGTACCCGGCCGAGTTCGCGCGCTGGGAGGCTATGGGCGCCGTGTCGGTGCGCCGCGCCTACTCGCGCGCTCCCGCTGAAACGAACAATTGCAAGTACGTCCAGGATCGCCTCTGGGCGGACCGCAGAGAAGTGGTGGAGTTGTTTGATCAGGGCGCGAAGGTGTTTGTGTGCGGGAGTCGGGGGGTGGGCGAGGCGGTGGGGGTGGCGGCACGGAAGATGTGGTTGGAGCGGGCGAGGGAGCTGGGGAAGGAGAGGGGGGAGGGGGATGCGGAGAGGTGGTTTGAGGGGATTCGGAATGAGCGGTATGCTACTGATGTGTTTGCGTAGGGGGGTTAAAAAGGGCTGGGAGGAGTATGAGGGGTAACTACACCTAAGGTTTGTTTTGGTATGATTCGGCTGTGGGGCGTTACCTAACGACTTTCCTATTGATTGACCGGCATCGTTGAATGGATGGCCTATGACCTATTGCTAGGTTGAGTTTATCATTTGAATCGTGAGGCTAGTAGAGCAACCCTTTGCACCAAGGCAAAAACTTGCGTTTACGCCGCGTTTCCCAAAGCACCCTCTCAGACGGCTCGATCCGTAAGTCTTTGCAGCATTCATTCGCAATCCCCTTCTAGCGCCTTCCCAAACCCGTCTGGTTGCAAGTAATGCCGGATTTGACCGCATGAAAATCTTTTCATACACGTGGCGTAGACACTTGGTAGCCCATGTCGTCTTCAACACCTCAACCCTCCCTGCCCTATTAAGCTGCAACAAGGCACCGAATCAACCGCGTGAGAAGGGTTTTGCTAGACGCGGCGTGGTACCTGTCGTACCGTGAAAGACAGATCTGAAGTTAGAGCTATAGTACAAGCCTCATGAGAAGAGGCAAACGGGGGTCCTTTACGTCGAAGACGTGGATCAGAAGGGTGTGTTTAAAGAGGAGGTAGAGACACAGCTCAAGGAATCCATATCCCCATCTTTCTTATCCACACGCCCTCCAACCCTCCACCTATCAACTCGTCGCCCCGCGTCCGTAGCCAGCAGAGCCATGCCATCGCGCACTCCCTCAATGTACAAGTACATGCCCACCTCCAGCCAGAAACACTACTTTTGCTGCCCGGCTCCCGGCTTCACTATGGTACCCTCAAGGAAGCCAAGCCGCGCTATACACCATGCACCATGTAACCCTCATTCCAGCACCCCGACAAAAGAAAAAACGCCAGCTGTGCGCTAGGGAGGGGGTATTCTATCCTACATATCTGTAATCATCCTTTGCTCTTCCTGCCGCTCATTCACGATACCAAGCAATCTCGCATACGGCACCGTGATGCGCTGGAGGTCGCGATGTTTGCCTGTTCCACTAGTTAGCAGCCGCACGTATGATCTGAGCATAGCAAAGGCTTATCTTACCGAGAATAAGCACAACCTCCCTCAGCAGCTCTTCTCGCTTCCACCCACACACCAACTCCTCCGTCTCTTTCGTTTTCTCTTTCTCGTCGGCGCCATCTTCCTCATCCCCCTCGTGCTCCTCGCTTAGGAAGTCGCCGAGCAGACTGCGTAGTAGTTCTTCGACTTTGCCCTTGAGCCCCTCAGCGCCCAGCCGCTTTGCGTACATGAGGAAATAGATCCTAAACTCTTCCCTTGCGCCGAGCGCTATAGCCGCCGCGACGCGGTTCTCGAGATGAGCGACGGACACATTAGCCTCGAAGCCCTCAAAACCCTCCGCCGAGATGAGCGCTTTGATGAGGCGCTGGAGGTAGTACGCGCGGCCTTGCACGAGGGTGTGGTTGGTCGTGTTGCGCTCGAGCAGCGGTATGATACCCGCGGAGATGTTCTCAGGCGAGACAGCGTCGTTTTGCTCTGTCGTCTTGGCCTGGTCGCTCGAGGACTTGAGGTTGCCGACGGAAGAGTCGGTCGTGTTCCAATACTGGCTGCCGACGGCCCACCAGGGCTCCGAGATGCGCTGCCAGGTGTACATGGTGGGCGAGTAGGTGTAGCCATCGCCGTTGGACATGGCGAGGACGATGCGGCCTTCGGTGTTGAGGCGGGCGAAGATGATCCCGGGGGAGCGCGTGAGATGGGGCCCTTGGGCGTGCGATGCTATGTCCAGCACCGGGGCGAGTGAGACGGGGGGATGGGGCGAGGCCATTGTTTTGAGGTTCCAGACGTGGCACATGCCGACCGCTGATATGCACAGCAACCACCAGCCTCTGCAGTCCATAATGACGGGTTGTGCTTCTAGGATGAGAGGATTCAGTATCCGACGGCCAGCCGGTGTCCAGATGTATACCGAGCCATCCTCGCATGCTGCGGCCCAGAAATTGGTGTTACCTGTGACCAGAAGCACAGCTTTTGGTAGATAGTCTTGCCAGAGTGATTGGCCACGTTTTGTACAATTTATTCTTGTAGGATCGTTGTCCTGAGGTCGTTGGGTCCTTGACGGTCCCGAAGCATTGCGAGCTTCCATTATAACAGCATCTTCGTTCGCAGTCTCACTTCGACCGCCCGTGGTAGCATCGATACCGTTCGCGTGAGGGGGCTCACTGCCATCCATAGTCCTTACAATCACGCTTCGGACTTTGGGCACGGCAAGTCTGACTTGGCTAACGCTTAAGGCAGGGCTGAGAATCGCAGGCCGAAGGTATTTCGGCGGCTCGTTGTCGATAGTCCTCAAAGCTGCGGCCGGTGGGACCAATCCTTCTGCGCTGTTGATGACGATTGCAGCGCCGCCATTTTTTGCAGCACCAGCCAACCGCCTTTCCACTTGCCGGTCCTCATCGCCCTCGATGTCGGCAAATTTTCTTTTATTTCCAATGAGGAGCGAAGCCAAGCCACCTTTGGGGAATCCATCGAAAGGCTTCGAGAGGTCCAGGATATTGTGTGGATTGTCACTTCGAGCGCCTGTTGTGGTAGCCGAAATCATCTGTGTTTGTGGCAAAGAAGATTCAGCAAGTCCAGACGATGACGAGACGAGCATCGGCGCGATTCGTTTCTTTCCATCCTTAGTCACAGTGACTCGTTGCTTCAGCTTGTCGACTCTGTTGTCCTTGGGCGGATCAATTGCGGCGGCGGATGCGGATCCGTTCGTCAAGGCAGTAGTCAGGCCGTTCGTGCCATTCGTAATTGTGGGAGCTTGTGTCGAGCTGTCGCCCATCAAGGCTCCCATTCTTCCCTGGACGCCCTTCAACTCTCCGGCCTTGCTACTTTCCTCGAGTAGAAGGGCATCAGTGCCTTCAACCACGCCAGCTCTTCGACCAGCACCAAATTTCGATAGCGATCTGTCGTTCTCTTCCATCGATGCTGGGTATCCTAGCTCCCCAGTCTCAAATACCACCGCCATAATACTCCCGTCGAGACTCGTAACAAAAAGTGTTTCTCCGTTCGGATGCCAGGCTAGATCGGATATAGATTTCATCGCCAACTCTTGTGTAACCGTAAACGGCCTTGCGAAGCTTGTATTCCAGATACTCAGCGTCTTGTCCTGGCCCGCGCATGCTACTACCGTAACTGAAGGTAATGTCGGATTTCCGTTGCTATCAAGATGTTCCTGTGCCAGAGGCTCCCGGTAGAACATCCTCGGAGAGAACGCACATACTTCCACAGGACCTTCATGTCCAATCAAGTTTATATCGCTGTCCCAGGATCCTCGCGCAATGATCGCAACAGAGCTGACCGGACCGTTCACCGCATTCGAAGCGGCGATGTGGTTTCCATCCGGTGACCATGATAATCGTCGAAAGTACGTTGTAAGCGGCGACGCAACGAACGGGCCCGAGATTGTGTGCTCGAGCATGAAATTATTGACCTGATCCTGAGCTGTGGCATTGGGAGGAGGCGAGGTGAACCGGAAGACTTTGATAGTTCGATCATCGCTAGCTGTAGCAAAGTATTTGTTCGCGGGATCAAAGCTGATGCCCTTGACGTGACTCTGGTGGTTTGACAGCGTCTTTAACTTCTCGAAAGTATGCCCTGACCAGACCACCACCTTCGAGTCCAAGCCGACAGACACCAGTATTGACGAATCGTAAGACCAGCCCAAATCCTGCACGTCGTTGTCATGGCCAATGAGGCGGCGCATCACCCTCCAGTTTTCCACGGGGGGAGGTTCGTTGGACCCTGCAAAGGCATCAGCAATTATTCCCAGTCTCAGAGCAGCCTTACTGACCGAAAGTAGACGTATGTGTCGGTGGATTCGGGTCCAAGACATATACACAAACGATCTTGTCATCCGCACCTGAAGCCAGGTACTTATTATTCCCCGAAAACCGAACAGTATGAATGGTGCCAGAGTGGTGGCTAACGGCGGCAAGTTGCTTGGGCTTCGAGTATTCTGGGTTCATAGAATTGAAGATAGATTCGGTTGACCATATTCGAACATGTCCATCTGCCAATATCAATCAGCTTCGCGTCCCTAGGCTGGCGCATCGTATTCGAGAAGGATTGCGGCGCGAACTGACCTCCGGCGGCCGTGACCAGGCGGCTCCCGTCTGGAGAGACATGACAGCTGTATACTTCGAAGTCCTTGAGTTCACCTGGCGGGAAGCAGATTGTTAGCATATGAAGCAGCTTCTATTGAGAGTGGTTGCGATCGCGCGCGAGAGAGCTACCTGGATGGGTCAACCATAGCGGCTTGACGAGATGCATGGTCGTGGAGGAGGAGTGCGCAGCTCCTTCATGCTCAGCTGGCGGCGCACAAAGAAGATGAAGTTGATCGGAGCAATAACGCTCCTGGTGGTAGGTGAAGTGTCGTGACAGCGATGCGATCTGAAGCTCGTTAGCCGCAATAAAGACCGGGCGTGGGACGCGTTGGCTTGGCGCGATCGACGAAAGTGGATGACCAATATAATCCGAGCATGATTCAGTGAATTTCAAAGTCGAGGCTTTCATCCTAATTGAGCTCCAAGTTTGTATGAAAAGGTCTTTGAATACCGCCGTCTGAGGGGGCCCAGCGACTCCACAGGTTGTTCAATATATTGGGCCTCAAGATACGTGAAGATTATCGAGCCACTTCAGACAGTCGTAGACGAGTGTATACAGGTCGAACCCAGTGGATCAGATCACGTATGCTTGTCATATTCATTCATGAGGAGCAGAAGAGGTCAGCCATGGGACTCGTCGACATTTTCTCCGGTCATCTTTGATATCAAGGTCCAAAACATGAAACCCGTTCAACGAAAGCGCCATCCAACGCCGGTTCAGCCCCTATACCAGGGAGGTATACCTCTGAACTTCATCAACTCTTCAAGTGATCAGCTTTAACAAGATCCTCGCGCCGGCGTTACCTTTTACAGCATCCTCGTCCTGGTCTCCCTTCCGTTTCTTACCTTTTGATTCCTCTTCCTTGTTCTGTCCCTTCTTCGTCTTCTTCTCTTTCTTCTCACTCTCGCCTGCCTTACCCGCGGCGCTCTCCAACTTCTTTTTCCGCTTCTCAAGAACGGCCACTACTTCATTCCTTTTTTCGAAGCCTTGAGCCTCCACCAGCCCCACAACCACAAAGCTACCAGGGCCCGTCGCCCATTCCATCACATGGTCCTGTATGCTCCCCCACAGCATCTCCGCAAACCCTAGGCTCGGCTCGACCGGAATGACCTTTTTCTGCTTCGGATCGTACCTCCCACTCAACACCAATCCTTTAAGCATACGACATCCAGCAGCTGAGTTGGAGATATGGGTCTCAACACTGGGATCACCAGCCGCAAGATGCGCAACCGCGCCGAGGGCCGCCTTCTTGTCGCCCTCAGCGTCGAAGAGCACCTCCGACATGAACTGGCATCCAAACGAGCTGGTAGCGAAGTCTGCTGCGCGTGCCGCAATTGCACCAAGTAGAGAAGGAGATATTGACTTTGCAAGTTCCTGAAGGCGGGTCTCCGCATTCTTTTTCGAAGTTGTGGCACGGATAGCGTGGACCTCGTTTAATAGAGCGATTGTAGGCGACTTTGGGTCCGAGAACAACCATTTTGCGTCGGCCGCGAAAGGGTACAGAAGGACCGTCCTGGCATCTAGATGTGTAACAAGTTGAAAGATCTTCTCGTTTATAGCATCGGCATCGTTTGACTTCGAGGGAATTAGTTCCCCAAAGATGGAGGTTGATGACAGTTTAGTGTCATCGATGACAGAGAGGGCAGCTAGTAGGACACGGTGTGCGTTGCGGTCGAAGACAAGAGCCTCCATGTTCTCCCTGTATGCTCGGAGCAGATTCTTGCGGTCTTTAGCGTTGGAGTGGGCGAAGGCGAGACAAACTAGGCGAGAACCAGACTCTGTAAAGGCAAGGTTGCGAAGGAGATCGATTTCTGGGGGCGGTTCGCCTTCCTTATCCTTAGTCGCCTCTGGTTTCAGGTGATCGAGGAATTCGGAGGCTTCCGTACTTCCAGGTTTACAAGCAAGAAAGTATTGTAGCATAGCATCGTGCAGCATCGTAAATCCTGTCATCTTTTTCTGGACCAGCTGATTGATCAACTGGTTCAAGTAATTGAGAATCGGCTGCCGTTTTTCAGGAGATTCGTCGAGAATCGTGGAAAGGTCAGAGGTGACTTTCGCTCCGCTTTTCGACTTGAAAATCGCGAATTCGGGACCATACCATTCTCGTAGCATGATAGCCTTTTGTTCAGGAGTTGCGACGCTTCTGTAAGTGTCGTCCATAATCCAGGCAGCCTCGGGATGATTGATCAAGCGTCGAACATGGCCGTAGAACTCGGAGACAATCATCTCTTGGACACCGACATCTCTGTAGATTTGTTAGCGTCTTGCATACTCATCTCATTGAATGGAATCAACGCACCCTGTGACAAGCAATTTCGCAATCAAGAACTTCGCGTATCTGCTCTCCGCCAGCGCCCGGTATTCCCCCTTCAACTCCTCAGCAATCATCTTCTTCTGCTCCTTATTTGCATACTTCAGCGCACACTGAATGACGCGCACAGAGTCATGCTTGAACACAAAGTCCTTGACTCGCCCCGTCACAATGTCGAAGAGCTCAGTAACCAGTTTTTTTCTCTCCTCCAGGTCGACATGCGACTTGAGTCGTAATCGCTCCCAGAGCTTCTTGGATCGAGCGATTTCGTCGGCGTTAGGCTTCGCGGCTTTTCGTTCTTTCGAGAGAGCTTTTTGCTTCGCATGAGCTTCGCGAGAGGAGGAGGCTGGAATGGAAATGTCAGCTCTGAATATACTACACACGAAAGCACTTGACCTACAATTAAAGGCCTCTTGTTGCGGCTTCATGACCTGCTTCTCGGTCTTGACTTTCTTTACAGCTTCTGCCCTCCTCCCAGCGTCCTCCTCATCCTCACTCTCCACAAAGCCGTCACTGTCGTCTTCTTTGGCCGAGAATCCGGAGAAGCCGTTCTCGACTTCGCTAGTATCCGACTCCATTGACGCGTCTTCCTCCACTACTGGCTTGGGCTTGCTCTTCGACTTTTTTGGATACTCATCTTTCTTCGCAGACTTTTGCTCCGCGACCTTGACCTTCTTCACCTTGGATCCATTCGCGATTTTGGTGCTCTCGCTGACCTGCTTGCGCTTGATTCCGGCAGCCATTATTGCCGTCTTCGTAGTATTTTGGGCGACTGAGTGGCGGGGGTTGGTGTTGAAGTTCCTCGAAATTTTATTCCATGGTTGCGGGCAAGGAACTTTTACGCTAGTGGAGCCGGGGGCGCGGGAGAGAGAACGGGCCTCTCAAAATTTTGGAGACCACCACCACCATACCTACCATCTTGACCTCCCCCAGATGGCCGACCAAAATGCCGCCGCCGCAGTGCAGGCCAAACCCGCCGGCGCTGCGGGCGCTGCGCCTTCAAAGCCCCCTCGGCCGCCGAATCCATTCTTCAAGATGATGGGTATAGCACACTGCATTCACGCTTCAGACACCGAGCTCACCCGATACAGGACTCCCCACCATCCGCATGAAGCTGCCCTCGAGGAACTGGATGATATTCCTCAGCATCACGGGCTCGTGGACTGCCGCTCTCTTATACGACCGCAGCCAGAAGAAGCGCATCCAGAGGAAGTGGACGAAAATGGTCGAGCACATCGCAAAGGAATCCATGGACGCCTCTTCCCTACCCCGGAAACTTACCGTCTATATTTCTGCGCCACCGGCTGATGGGCTGATGACTGCGCGCGATCATTTCCAGGAATACGTGAAACCAATACTGGTGGCCGGAGCCGTGGATTGGGATGCGGTCGAGGGGAGGATGCAAGGCGATGTCAGGGCTGGAGTGGCGGAGAAGATAAGGAGGCTGAGGAAGAGGCGGGGAGAGTCGTCAATAGAGCCGCTAGAGGATGATCTCGAGGAGGTGCTGGAGCAAACGCGGAAGAGGTCTGGAGTGAAGCCATACGATGGACCGGCCGGTGACATAGTAATTGGACGAAATACGTGGAAAGAGTATATCAGGGGACTACACGAGGGGTGGCTAGGGCCTTTGGATCCGCCTGCTCCTACACTGAAAGATGCACAGGAAGTTGCTGAGGTTGTGGAGAGCGCTACCAGTCCTCCTGAAGTTCCTCTAGCTCCTGAAAGCCCTCCAGCACCCGAACAACCCTCGTCTTCGGAGTTTGTGGCAGAAACGCCTTCAACGCCAGCAGATGATGCCTCACCCACCGCTCCCATACCGACCACGACTCCAGAACCCGAAAAGCCAGTAGAAGAGAAGCCAGAGGAGAAGAAACCGACGAAAAAGAAGCAACCACCCCCATTCAACACCACCGCCGACTACTCATCCGCCGTCCCATCTCCAATCTGCCCATCAGAGCTCCCGCCCACGACTATAATACAGTTCCCGCATCTTCTTGGCATCCGACACACTCCCGTCCGCATGTACCGCTTCCTTACCCGACGATACCTAGCCGACGATATTGGCCGGCAGACCGCGGCCGCTGTTCTCGCTACATACAGGCCATTCGAAGCGCCCGGAGAGTCACATCATCTAGCCGAGGGTAGTACAGCTTCGAATGAGAGTGACGATGCTGGTAGTTCGCAATGGGAACAGCGGGGACTACTGAAGCACGAGGAGAAGGAGTGGCACAAGTCTGTCCACGAACCCAGTGAAGAGGGGAAGGAGAGGGTGTGGATGAACGACATGGTGCTAGATACCCGGATCGCAGAGCGCATGCGGAAGTTTGAGCTGGACATGGAGCAGGAGGAAAGAGCTAAGAGGATCGCGGCTGAAAAGGTAGAGCCGTGGTGGAAGAGCGCGTGGAGTAAGATGAGAGAGAAGGACGAGGATGTGGATTGAGATACTAGTGCATCGCATTTTTGAGCATTGCGCATCTAGGGTGTAGGATATGGTCTGTAATATATTGGTCCTAGGTACTGGGCCGGATGTGCTAGGCAGGCACTGTTGTATTATATACAGTGCTAGGACAACACTTTACTAACACTGTGCCTCGCCCTCAATAAGTCTATACGCTGTCTTGCCTCCGTCAGTGGCACTTCGTACTTTTGAAATTTGATAAAAGCTAAGTTATCATCGTTTTGGCACGCCTGAAACCTTATAACAACCTCTGGCGTTGGTAGAAACATGTGCATAGACTAGACCTGTAGCCCATTGCTCTTGTTTTTGTTAGCACCACAAGCGGACCTCAGTCAGAAATGTGCGAGCAAGGTTCCTCCTAGGTCGCATTGTAGAGCTTCCAAGACTAGGAAGAAGCACCCGCTTGAAGTCTCTCATGCATCGCTTCCGGGTCTTGCGTCCATCCTGTTCACAACAGCTCTACACTATCAACCAGGTTACTGTCAATAACGCTTAAACACACTTTCAGAAACCCGAACGAGACGTAAGTCCATCGTACAGTGTCTTGCCAGATATATGTGTGCACTTTCCTGTCAGTGCATGCAGAGGTCCAACATACTGACAACATTCTAGTACGACGGGTCACACTTCCAATCCATGTACACTCCTCCACCGCTGTCTGGGGGTTGCCTCGCGAGATTGCGGGTCGTTCGAGATGCTAACTTTCCATCTATTTCAGCGTTCTGAAACCACCACGAAGTAGCACAGACATCGTCATCCACTTCCCTTGTTATACTTAGGGAGCGGCCATGTTTGTCAATACCCCCCACCACCAGTTCGTCAGAACATTTTACACCATTCCACACCACGTACTCCAGAGCATTACCATCTGGCTGCCCCGGCCCCTCGACTACTCCCCCATCAAGTCAACAATATGGATCATCTACGTCCATGGCGGCGCCTGGCGCGACCCCGAATGCGACTCCGACCAATTCATCCCCACAGTCAATTACCTGAGCCACGCGTCTAATCAAGACACAATGTCTGGCATCGCCGGCTTCGCCAGCATAAACTACCGCCTCAGCCCGTACCCTGACCACACGCGCAACGGCTCCGACCCCCAGGACGCGTACCGGAATGTCCAACACCCCGCCCACCTCCAGGACGTCGTCCAAGCCCTGGAGTACCTAAGCAAACACTTCCTTATCGATGCATACGGCTGGATCGGCGTCGGCCATTCCGCCGGCGCGACCCTCCTGACGCAACTGCTCTCCGACGTCGACATAGCCGCGCTTCCGAAGAACATTCAGCGCGCGTACTTGGGCCTGCACAGCTTGATCCTGATAGCGGGTATCTACGACCTGCCGCGCTTCGTCCGGAACCACAGCGGCGCGGACTCGTCGAAGACGATCAAGGACATCTACATGGCAATCGTGACCGGTGCTTTTGGCCAAGACCCGCTGCTGTGGGTGGCGCCGAGCCCCATCCATAGGAACTTTGGGATGGAGAACTGGCCGTCATTGCGCTTTATTGTGATGGCGCGTAGTGACCAAGATCAGTTAGTTGAGGAGGAGCAGAACAATGTGATGGACGTGGCGTTGAGGGCGCAAGGGTGGGTGGGGGAGCGGGAGTCAGACACCATTCCTGAAAGGCAAATTTGGCGGAGGTCGCTGTCAGGGGCGCATGATGATGTGTGGAAGACTGATGGGGGGCAAATTGCAATGTTGATTGAGGAGGTTCTTGACAGGTTGTTGGAGAATGTAGATAGGGGGGAAGTGTATGGGGAGGAGGTAGGTGTATAGGGAAGAGGTATATAGGGAGGAGGTAAATGGGGAGGTAAATGGGAAGATAAATGAGGAGGTAAATGGGAAGATAAATGGGAAGATAAATGGGAAGATAAATGGGGAGGTGAATGGGAAGGTGAATGGGGAGGCTGGACAGACTTGAGGTGGAGTTGATGAGTGCTTGAAGTATGCGAATAGAGATACTTCCAGTCTTTGAGGTATTCTTGGTCCAGTATTACTTCACAATACTAGGACACACGTCTGTGTATTATTGGGCGAAACCGCTTCACACCCCCAATGCAATTGTTCATTTTGCATAAACTCGCCAAGCCACCTGGTTTGCTTGTGTAAAAAGGAGCATCACATGTTCATCTTGTGTTTTCTAACTTGAAAGATATCGTCCCACACAGCGGCAACTAAGTTTACGGAACCCTACTTCGCCTCTCTATAGGTATCCATAGTGCCAGCTAACATTTTCAGAAACGCGAGTTCAGGCAGAAGTCCAAATTGGCGTTAGGACTGCGATTACACATATGCTATCAAGCTATTCGCTCCATGCCTCCAGCGGTATAAACCATCACCATCGCCTCATTACTCCTCCATCCAAATCTCCACTCGGGTATCCAAAGCCGTATCGCATCCGCCTTATTAAAGCTTTTCCACGCAAATCCAAACCCAAGGCCACCTTAAAAAAAAGAAAAAGCCACACCATGCCTACTCAGCCGACCCAATCGGCTTCGGCGTGGGCGCAAACTGCGACTTCTCCCTAATCTTCGCGCCGCGGTAGTAGAACCAGATGGGCACGGGGACCAAGAGGGCCGCGATGCAGCCGAGCAGCGTGGCGGCCCATTCGACGCCCATGCCATCGAACATGTAGGTTGCGAAGAGGGGGAATATGCAACCGCAGAGCGAGCGGAGGAAGGTATTAGCAGCAATTGCAGAGGCAGCGAACTACGAAAAAAGATTAGCGGCTGCTTTTGAAAACGAGCACAAGCAGGGAATTGATGCGGGGTTTGGGGTACGGAACTCACCATCAAATAGGCATCGACGAGGTAATTCAGCGCCTGCAAGAAAATCGACAACAGCCCGAAGCCCGTCAGGATGCCGCTCAGCGTCGGCACGATCCAGTGGATGTCTTCTTTATACCCCGTCCACCCGAACCAGAACAGCCCGATGGCGAAGGCGGCGCCGCCGATGATGACCTCGGGCAGCCGCCACTCGGGAACTGGCACGTCGTTGTTCGCGGCGAGTTTCTTCTGGTAGCCGGGCTGGCGCAGGACGATGAAGAGCCCCGCGAGCAGCTGGCCTGTGATCATGCCGAAGAAAGGGAGCCCGCCAACGCCGAGGTTCATGCCGTGGATGCGCTGGAAGACGATGGGGTAGGCGGTGAGGAAGAGGTACAAGAGCCCGTAGATAAAGGCCATGTATAGAGAAAGAAGAAGTACGATGGGCTCAGTTACCAGCATCCTGAGCGGGCGCGAGAAGTTCTTCTCCACCAGCTCGCGTAGGTCGACTTCGATTTCCTCTTGTTTGGCGTGGATGCCCCAGTTCTTGGTGCGCCGGCGGAGCTCCTCTGCTTTCTCGACGAGGATGACGGGCGGGTAGGTTTCTTCCAGGAAAAAAAGGTTGAGGCCGAAGGCGAGGAAGCCCATGATGGAGACGATGTATTCGGTCCAGCGCCAGCCGAGGTGGGACATTGTGATGAAGCCGCCGATGAAGGGAGCTAAGAGCGGGCCGGTAAAGACCGTCATGGAGAAAACGGTTATGGCGATGCCGCGGGTGCGGTTGTTGAACATGTCTGAGAAGACGGCTGCGACGCAAGTCAATGGACACGCACCAAAGAAGCCGCTCCAAAACCGGCATATCAACACTGTCTGAAGGTCTTTTGCGACAGCCACGGCCACGGAAAAGATGGCGAATCCAAATGAGGCGAGGACCAAAGGTAAACGACGTCCTTTTAGCTCAGAGAATGGTGCCCATAATATAGGGCCAGTTGCGAAGCCCAGAACATAAAGCGATACTCCTAGTACACCGACTTCTGTGGATACCCCAAATTTGCCTGCTACTGTTCGAGTTGCGGCGCTGAAGATTGAACTACCGAATGCTGCAGTCTGGGATGATTTAGCAAAAGTCCAGTTGCACAGATTAGGGCATCACCCACCAGAGTTGTATATCCAAGCATCACAGCCGTGTATAGCTTCTTCTTCAAAGGCCAATTCTGCGCATGCAACGGATCATCCACGCCATCAAACTCCACCACATATTCCTCCTGCGCTGGCAGCGGAGGTGGGAACGGTTTCCCACCTCCAAACTCCGGCAGCGGTTTCCTCGACTGTCGCGACTTGAGGCTTGCGCCGACAGTTGCACTGTGTTGACTCCGTGCAGTTTGTATGCGACTCAGCGCAGTTTGGTGTCTCTCAAGGTCCGTGTTATCGTCTGGCTGGGTCCGCAACCTCGACATGCCAATTTCTTCCCGTGCGACTGACGAGCCATCGGAGCTGGATGAGGAGGTCGAGGAGGTGGTAACGGTGCGTGCGAGAGCTTCGCGCTGGTCTGGCGATTGCGGTGGGAAGCGGCTTGGGCTGGCGTCGCGCTCGGCCTTTTCGAGGTCTCTGTCCACAATGTTGGACATGTTTGCTGGTATCCAAGATTAGGACTGGAGTAGAAATTGAAAGCTATCACCTGTTTTAAGGTGGAGCTGGAGCTTATAAAGATTGACGCGCAGCTCCGAGAAAATATTTAAATCCGTCACCGTGCCTGAGCGCGCTTGGAAACGGCTATCGCGGCGCCGGGGTCCACTAGGAGGATATTCTTGTAACGTAACGTGGCGACGGCGCCGGCGTTGTGAAAATTTGTCTGCAATACCTCGGTGGAGAACGGTGGGACTGAAAGCTGCGTGCGACCGGCGAAGGTGCCTCGGATCCTTGCTGAGAGCGGGATGTCTTCGATAGTTGTTTTACGTCCCGAAGCTGTGACGTCTGTGGAACTTCGAAAGGGACTGTGCGTTCGTAGGATTCTGGTCCTGTCACGCCTCAAGGAACCTCCAGTTTTGAGATTGATAATGAAGAAAGCAGCAAACAAAGGGTGGCTTTTAAGCAGCGGTGGGGTCACAATCTTTCCCCCCTCGAGCATATTTCGAGCTAGGGAGGGATTGAAGATGTTGTGTCCAATTACGGTGCATCTGTAACCACTCTGCATGCTGACGCAGCATTTACATCAACCTACCGTCGAACCATGGCGGTGCGCCTTGCCCAAAGAGGGAGGATAGCGATCAAAGATAGTTAGAGACTTGGAGGGTTGCGTCGATTGCTTTTGAAGGGTGATACTAGAGGCATGGAAGTTGGTGAAGACGGTTTGAAGGATAAACAAGTGACATTGAAAAACGTTTGCTCTGTATGAATAATCTAGTGTTGATGACTATGAGGATACTCGTGCTTGCCATCGTCTCGCCATGCTCTCGCCTAATGCTTCCTTATAGTTAGCGAGTGTCTTGTTGTTGTAGTGTTGTACTGTACAAAACACTTCCAGGTCAGCAACGCTAAGCCGTTGGAGGCTCGGGAAGTCTCGTCGATGAGACGAGCAGTTAGCATCGTTTTGCTAGACGCACAGATGGATGTGATCGTAATCTTGGTTCATGTTGGCTATGTGAGGTTCGAGACATACGATAATATGGTCGGTAATTGTTTTGAATTTGTTTTGAATTTTGAATTTCGTCGCAACATTAAGGAACATCTATTTCGAGTACTAGAATAGATGTATCATAATGATGAATGGACGTTGTGGTGCTCCAAGACCATCGCTGATGCAAAAAAGGACAAAAGGACAAAAAGAATATTTTTGTGTCGGTTGATACATCACCCGCACCACCCATCCCAGCCCGGCCGAGAGTATTCCAGTGCCGCCATCCCACGGTGAGAACGCGTCTGCAGAATTGCTTCCCTCGACAGTAGATCTCATTGCTTAGGTACGACCAGCATCGCGTGTTACCAGCGCGAGTGGAACGGACACCGCAGGATTCGAACTGGGCCCTTGACCGAGCATTTGCAGGGAGGGGCGGAGCGGTTGGTCGATGCACCTTCCGACCGCGACCCGCTACAGGTTGGGGCGCCAAGCAATAAGAGCGTTTAAGTGCCCCGCGAACCGAATCCCAATATTGCACACCGCACATATCACAACACTATCATTATTTTCAATAGCAAAAGGATCGCAGAAGCACCCAAATGTACCCGCATTATATCGTACACGCAGTCTACTGTACAGGTCGTGACCCACGGTGCGCCGGAAGACTCAATATGCTGTACCCTACCCACCACGCTTGCTGCGCTCTCCAAAGCCAACACCCACAGTCCGCAACGCCTCTATCACCACATGGACAGCCATTCAAGATTCACAGCGCTAGTTGCGTATGCTATGCACATTATAGGAAGTATTCACCCCGCGTGCCCCGGCCAGCTGGCACCGCGCGCCGGTGGTCAGGCACCGCGCTGAAGATGGTGAACTTCGGGCTCAGGTCCTCCTGCAGGCTCATGATAGACGCCACATTACCGCAGCGGTAGCAATAGTTGGGTGCCGACCACACGGTGACGACGTCCTTGTCTTTAAAGTGGTACTGCCTGAGGTTAGTGCTGGTTGCTCGATAGGCTGTAGCCAGACATACCTTGTAGCCTTCGTTGACAAGTTGATGTGCTCTGGCAATCAGCGAGAGTCCGTTGACATGATTAAACTAGCGCATGTGAGCTTGACCGGTTCGACTCTTGCGTGCAGTCAACTCACCTCCGACGACACCTTGTCGCCAAACAGCCACCCCGCCCCTCGAGGAGACACGGCCCATGTGTCGACATCTTCTGGATCACTCCAAACAAGATCACAGAAAGCGCCTTCGTGAGGGATCTCCTGTGCCCTTGCGACAACCCGAATCTGGTCCAACGTCCTAATCTCTGGGCTTAATCCGCCGTGCACACAGAGCACCTTGCCGTCAATGATAGCCGCCAGGGCCAGGAAATCAAAGACTTGACAGCATGCTTTCCACACCGACGCATTCCCGTATTTCGTCTGGCATTCTTCGTAGAATCCATACACTTGTGTAATCTGCCGTGACTCGTGATTGCCGCGGACCAGCGTGACGCGATCGGGGTATCTGGCGAGTTTAGTATGACTGTAGAAAGCGTCCCTCGCAAACCCTACTCACTTCGCCTTCAAGCACATCAACAGCGTAAACGTCTCCAAGCTGAAGTATCCTCTGTCCACAAAATCTCCTAGGAATACGTAATTCTGCTGGCCATTCCCTCCCGACCCAGACACGTTCCGTCTGCTCCCTCCGTCAGAATCGTCGTCTGTGCTCCGTCTGCCCGTGACACTGCGACTTCGGCCTCGTTCTTCCTCCTCCTCCTCCTCGCCCTCCTCGTCACCTTCGCCTGGGCTAGTTGCGGTGTAATTGGCGTCAGCCTGGAATCTGCGCTTCATTTTCCGCTTCGCCTTTGGGTCCGTGATGGTCGTGGGCGGCTCAATATCTGCTGCGCTAATGGTCTTGGTGGGTACTGTTGGGCGGACGGCTAGGGTATCATTGGGCATGCCGCCGGCGACTTTGAAGAGCTCGAGGAGGTCGTAGAACTGGCCGTGGATGTCGCCACACACGGTGACGGGTGTCCGAACTGGCTGAATGTTTGATTCTGCACATCCACGGGTTAGCAAGTCTCATGAAGTAGCATTCAGACCGCAGCATCGACGGAAATGCGCCGTTGGCCCCACCTGCGGCACAGCAACTCGAGACAAAGTAGAGACCAAGGAGCCAGGAGTTATTACCTTCCATCAAGCACTCCTTGACTATCTCACACAGCCTCTTCATGTCTGCCTCTGGGAGGTACTTGCACTGCTTCGCCGATTCAAGCCATTCGTCGGGCCCCGCGCCTTTGGAGAGACGTGCCGCGCCCGGCTGCGGCACATCGCTGTCCTTTGCCATCCTGGGGGAGCGTTTCACGTAGGTATGATTCCGTAGTGGTGGATATGTCGAGTCTATCGCTGGGAAAGCGGCGAGTGATTATAAATGAGAGTCTGTCGTGGGACTGCGAGGCGGAGGGTGCGCAGTGAGTGAAGCAGACCGCTACGATATCATCTGTTGCGTGGCGGAATGAAACGGGACGGGCAGGCGTAAAGGGCTGATCAATGGGCGTGGCGCATGACGGTGAGGTACAGTGCACAGGGTGGTGAAGTGGGATGCGCCTGAGGTGTTGGCACGTCCATGGGCACGTCGCAGCTCGCAGCGACCAATTCCCGGCCTAGCACAACGCCTTCCTGCTCTTGGCCGTGGGGACTTTCTGTGCCAGTGCAGCGCCGCGTCTCCAAACATTCTGTCCCGACTCTCCAATACATCACCACCGCACCCCAATCTACCAGCCTGCCTGGATACACACCCTCAACGCCCGCCATGGGTCCGCCCGCAGCTCCACCAGCTCCCGTGAACGGCGTGCTGCCAATCTCGGTGCTGCAGAAGAATGCTCCCGCCGCTGCACCCCGCGGGCCCTCAGCAAAGGCCGCCGCACCCCGTCTTAAGCTTGTGCTACGCCGACTGCCCCCCGGACTGACCAAGGCCGAGTTCGAGGCAGCTCTGGGAGACGACTGGAAGCTCGGCGCCGGCAAGGTGGACTGGCTGCTCTACAAGGCGGGAAAGATATCCAAGGAGTGAGCCTGTTTTCTCCCAAAGCATGCCACCTACTAACGAGCCTGCAGCCTAGCCAAACCATCCCGACCTTCTCGAGCTTACCTAAAAGTCACCTCACAAGAGAATGCCACAGCGCTATCTGACCTCGTTCGACACGCCTCCTTCAACGATGCCGCAAACTCGGCCAGAGACGCTGCCCTCATTGGGCCACCTACCCTCGAATTTGCTCCCAACTCCCGGGCTCCAGGCGGTAGACGCCGCAATGATGCTCGTCAAGGCCTCATCGACCAGGACCCAGAGTTCAAGGACTTTCTCGAGAGCCTCACAAATCCCGTCACCAAGCCAGAAACCAATGGAGAAGGAGCTTCCGAGAAACCGGATAAAGTCACAACAACTCCCCTCATCGAGCACATTAGGGAGAAGAAGGCCAACAAGGACAAGCCCCAGGCCAAGCTTGCTGGTAAGCACGCTCGAGGCGAGTCGCGAGACGACAAGTCCGACAAGGCAGGGGATAAGAAGATCATCAGCAAAGCTGGGAAGGAAAATGCTGCTGCCTCCTCGGAGAAGGGCAGAAAGATGAGCAGGGCAGAGCGGGCTGCTAAAGAAGCCGTCAAGGTTCTGAATAAGGAGGCATCAGCTAAAGTAGCTGAGACAGCATCTCCTACGGCATCGGCTCCCCCGGAAAGAAAACGAGAGCGTGGGAGTGGGATCGCGGCAGCCAAGATACTCCAGCGAGATTTAGGTATAGGACCAGCTCCCGCCCGCAGACGTGGTACGAAGCGTGAAAGCAGTGCAGCACCGCCGGATTCTGCCAACAAACCGGAAGAGACGCCACCAGTGAAAGAGACCCAGGCGGAGGCTAGTGCAACTGCACCTCCAGACAAACAAGCCAACGCCAAAGTACCGGCTGCTCCCAAGCCCCCAAAGGAGTCCAATCGGCCAACTCGTGCAGAGCGACGTGCCCATAAGGCAGCTCGGGAAGAAAAGAATAGCCAACCGAACGCAGAAGGATCCAAGCCGCAACCAAAAACGCCGCCTGCACCTGTCATACTTAAGAAGCCACCAACAGCACCACAGTCTCCCGCGAAAGGCCCTGCTCAGCCACCAAAGGGCCCTGCTGCCTCGCGTGCTACACCTCCTGAGCCGGCAGCCGCGAAAGCTATTCCACCGACCGCCCCAGCCGCAACTCAGAAGGCTGCACAGGTCCCCACGCCGTCGACAACAGCCCCCACATCTACCGGCCGCCAAGCCTTCTTGAAGCATGCCAACCCATCTCAAGGCATCACGGAGCCCTTGATCGAAGCTGCCCTTGCCGTATTCGGCGCCATTGAAAAGGTGGAAATCGACAAGCGTAAAGGGTTCGCGTACGTCGATTTTGCGGATCCGAATGGCTTGCAAAAGGCCATCGCAGGCAGCCCGGTCAAGATTGCGCAGGGCGCAGTGCAAGTGCTGGAGCGGAAGGAGAAGCCTGCTCGGCGACCGCCTGGGCCTGCTGGCCCGCCTACTGGGCCTGCACGTGGTGGCCGTGCTGGCGGCTTTGCTGGTAGAGGTGGAAGAGGAAGGGGTGGCGGAAGAGGGGGCGCGGTTGTGGCGAATGAAGGGGCACAAAACTCGAGCACGAGTGTGCCTGTTACTGCGAGTGCAGTGAATACGCCAGCTGATGCGCCAACTCTAGCGCTGGCTCCGGCTCCGGCTCCTGTTGAGGCTGGGACTTGATCTTCTTGTTCTGGAAAGGAAGGAGAGTATAGCACACGATACACTCCAACATAGCGTGAGCATGTCTCTACGATGACGATACAGCTACGACGACGATGAGCCGCCATGGACCCTATCGAGAGTGCCTGAAAACCCCATACCTATCACGAGATCATCTTTGCCAGGCCCAAAGCCGGTTATCGAAATTTCAATAAGTACAGTAGGATATTCCCCACTCGAGCGTCCTACGACGGGATTTTTCTTTGGACATCTCACCGGAGATCACTCGTTGAATGCCCACTTCACTGCTCAATCCAGGAATGTTATCAAGAGAAGCACATCAAATCTTACAGGTATCACCTCACGATGAGGATGGGTCACTGAACATGGATACTAAGCATGGATTTCGAGAGATAGCCCAAGCGGCAGTATTGGGTTGGCAGTAGGCCTAGCATGTGGATAGTTGAAATGAAACAGTTTTTTGAAAACGAAAACACTGTCTTGTTCTATGCTACAATGCCTTGTCACAGATATCCGTACACTCGTTTGCCGCTGCGTGGGGAGCTTCATAGTATTTTCAGTGTTCCGAATAAGACAGACGTTCGGCATTTTGGACGACTAGTAAACTTGTGAGGGCTACCCCAGATAGCGTTAGCAGAGTGTACGGAGATTGGGTGTGTATCCGCTGCTCTCAGTTTCTATCAGTACGTCAGCCCCATGAACAGGGGCGGGAATGTGTACGAGGATCTATGGCAATGCACTGTAGTCGTTTGGGTAGTGCTTGGCGTGCTAAAAAGTATGGAACGAGGAGGACCATGTCTGGACAGTCACAAACGGTTTTCCGATGGATTCCTAGTATCTAGAACTGGAGATAGTTTTGAAGCCTGAATCGAGAGGTTCAGTTTGGATATGGTCTGGAAAATGTCTGGAAGCAATTTGGTCCTAAAATATCAAAACTCACAAAATCGGGCAAAGAATCACGTGATGCGTATTCCCCCACTTGGCCCCAGCTAGATTACCTTAGGTTCCCTGTACTAGTACTCTCGACCTCACAACGCAACAAGACTTCCTCACAGCTTCTCAGGTTTCCCGTCCAATACGTCAAGTCACAAATCGTGATGAGACCAGTTCATTCTCGTGCTCTTCAGCCTTGCCAGCCGAGTGCAATGTCGCCACCCCCGAACTCGTCGCAGATTCTTCAGTCAATGAGGAAGTGTTTCGGCTTGGCCAGAATCAGCCACAATAGCTTGCATTGGATCGAGCAACTAACTTGGACTGATAATGTGCTGCAGGCTGAACATCATTGGCAGCGCTCGTCAAGGGGCTGGATTGCAGCTGCTGTTGTCCTCGGCTAGACCGATAGCGAATATTAAAAGAGGCTCTTGTTTGTCAGGCTGAACTCGGATTGCCTTCATTCTCTATGACGGCCTCTTCAAGAGCCTTAGAAGACGTCGATGTCTATGCATACGTCCTCGAACGATATGTCGCGCATGCCGAGACATACTCGGAGTAACCCGGATCTACGCACCAGGCCGGCAAGATACTATCCTGAGAGCTTTCGGGAACGACCCAACTCTCCAGCGCCCCAGCTTGAGGAAATTGTGATAATCGAAGAACTGCGTTCGGATTCCGGTTATGCCTCCGATTTTGAAGAGGATCCCTATCCATACCCGGGGCTTTTGAAGGAGCAGCACTACGACTACCGACCATTGCAAGTCAACGGAACAGAAATACGACTCATCGAGCTGGCTCCATCAAAGCATCTAGATGACGAGCTACATTGTCGGCTTATCCACGTAGATCTTCGAGACTTTAGAGATCAATACGAAGCAGTGTCATACACCTGGGGCACTACAGAAGACCCTGAAAAGCTCATCGTCGACGCAGATTTCACGGCAGGAGAAGAACATAGCCCTAGAACATTGGGAGGTCGTCAGCATATTAGTATCACTGCAAATCTTGCGCTTGCTTTGAAAAGATTCCGACGACGCGACAAAGTGCGTCTGATCTGGGCTGATGGCGCAAGCATTGATCAATTCAATCCCGACGAGAAATTCCACCAAATCCCCATCATGCAAGACGTCTATGAAAGCGCTTTTCGAGTCCTCGTTTGGATTGGAGATGCAGAAGAAGAGGGCAGAAAATGTATGGATGTGCTCCGGAGGCTCAGTGACGCCACAACGAAGACTGCCGATATCGATGACACTACTCTAGCTGGCGTTGTTGATATTATATACACCTCTATATACTCTGTTTTTGGACATGAGCGTATGGAGCCTCTAGAGCGCTTCTTCTCTGCGTCAACAGCTGGTCATCCGTGGTTTCTCCGACGGTGGGTTATTCAAGAAGTTGGAGCGTCTCGACAAGCCTGGCTTTACTGCGGCCCATTTCCTCCACTCCAGTGGGAACGCTTTATACGTGCAGTAGAGTTACTCGATCAACACTCGGGCAATATTGATCCAGTAGTCCTGTCAACGATCCTAGCAATCGATGAACTAAAAGACTGGTACAACCGCAAATCCATATGGCGTCGATTTCCCCTTCTAGACCTACTGGTCGAGTTTCATGCATCCAAGTGTGTTGAGCCCAAAGACCACATTAAGGCCCTCGCTGGTCTCTCGGACATGTATACCTTTAACGAAAAACTGTATATCGACGGATGGAAACGAAAGAAAACCGGCAAGAGGATCGAGATTTCCGACCGACAGTTCTGGATCCAATTCGCAATGGAGGTACTTCCCTCTCGTTCCGGCAATAACCTAGAGCTCCTGCACTGCGGCCCTGCTTTTCAATTACCTCGAAACAACAGCCATAGAAGGGAGAGTTCCTGGATTCCAAATTGGACATTGCAGCCGCTGTTTATTCCTTTTCTGAATATTCCCGCCTTTACCGCTGGCTTCGGAAAAAACGCTAGCTTGAAGAATAAAGTGACCCAGTATTCTAATGGAGAACTAGGGTTACAGTTGTTTGGTTGCGACTTTGGACGAGTTGAATGGAAGAGTGAGTCCACCGGCAACCGGATGCCTGATATTGAACATATTCACAACCAAATCGCCGAATGGATACCCAAAGAGCCTTTTGCGGATGTCCTTCCCGCTGCCTATCAGATCGACAAAACAAAAGAACCGTACTGGAGAGCCTTTGCCCGGACGTTGGTAGCAGACCACGCCCTGACCTTCACACTGGAAACACGCATGGTCGGCGAGGTGAACCGAACGGCCTGGGAAGCGAACTTGAAGGAATCGCAGAAAGACATATACTCCGGTTTTCCCGAGCTGTGCAGTCTATCCGAAAAGTTACGAGACTTTATTCCGGTGGGAGACTATTACCACCGCGCCGAGCCGAAGCAGCTGGCAAGAGGGGAGACGAGAAGACTCTCACCTGAAGCTCGTCGGTATGCCAAGTTGGTTAGCAAGACAATGAGTGCACCTGGCGGGGGCCATGGTCGATGCTTCTTCCTGACCCAAGACAGGAAGTATATGGGCATTGGGCCTGACACCATGAGGGAAGGTGACCGCGTTGTAGTGTTCAACAGGGCCCGGACTCCCTTCATCGTACGGCGTTCGAAGAATACCGAATGGTTTCGGCTCATTGGCGACTGTTACGTTCATGGAATCATGCATGGCGAAGTACCTAGGGACCATGAAAGGTATCCTATGGTAACATTCGATATTGTCTGACTGGTGTGGGGCTAAGCACTGTGCCTCGCTACCTCTTTGCTCAGCCTCGAGCTCATGGAATTGTCATTCATGCTTGAATCCACACAAATTCAAGAGCCATTCACGAGCGCAGAGTCCTTTTGCGTTTTCCCTTGTATTATCGATCGTCAAATGCTGAAAGCTACATCGGACTTCGTTGGAGTGCTGATGGGGCAAAGGTAGTGTGTGGCGTCGGTGGCGTCAACGTCAGAAGCCAAAATGTGTGGCCCCCATTAAGCAATTAGCGAGTATGGCCTATTTTTACGAATGAAGGGGTCTCGTTCGACACTCTTTAGATTCAGCCTCGACTTTTCTCGACATCCGTCCATCAAACATCTGTCTTTGAGGCTCTAGTCTTCGAGGCTCTGGTCGTCGAGACTCTATTACAGCCCGTGGAAGCATTCTGTGGTTAGCGTGTAGGTGACTGCAAAGGTAAATTACGGTACTGGGAGCTGATAAGAGAAGTTTAGTTCGCCGGAATAGCCTTTGCAGGGTTATAAAGCCTTTGTTACACAGCATTTACGAGACAAACTAATCGCAGCATGCGTCCATAGGCTGTATGAGATACCCAGCTCGCACAGGCGAAGCGCGCGACAAGGACGTTATGGATAGAGGTAGCTGGGGCATTTCACACCATACGATCATCACCATAACCTTATCTTCAAACACGGGGCGTATTGGTGAAAGGGGGGAAGCGCGTATGCACTCCTCAGCCTTGTCGCCTTGTCGCCTTGTCGCCTTGTCCTTCAGCAAGATCTACTTAATTCTCTTCACATCACCTCAATCCAAGTCTCACTCCTATAACATCACTTCTCACCATCGTCGCTACAAGTCTATATCACACATCTATCATACAGTACTGGGCCATAACTATAGGTACACAGATCTATCACTGCGCGGCCGGAATCTTGCTCTCTCAACACCACTGAGAGGGGTAGCCCAGTTTCTAAGTAGGCAGAATCTCAAGATACACTTTAATTTGCGCTGTTCGAAACTTGACATCGCGCATAGATTTTGTTATCCCGTGGGGGTCCTCCAAGCAGTGGCAAACGAGTGTACACAGAAGTCTTCGTCAGCCTCGTCATGCATACTTCTCAGCCTAATTGCACCCTACCTCCCGAACACAGCGGCTTCGTCAAAGGTCCAAATGTCCGCAGCTCCCTTGACATTGTATGGAGCTGTTTGTCATTGCTCCTACTTTGTACTTGGTCTATACAGCATCTCAACGTGCCGACCCAAGCTAGGCCCCGAAACTGGGTCGATTCTCTCGAACGTCAGGCCTACCTCTTTGGACGCAAAGCCCTTGGAATGCTCTTGACTTTATTAGCGCCTGAGTTTGCTCTTGGAGTAGCGTTCAGTGGGCTCATGTCAGCGTGGCCTTGCACGAAATATCTGAGCTTAGCCGCGGACCAGGATGGGGTTGAGTGGACACTGATGCATTCATTTTTGGCCAATATGGGAGGTTTTGCTATTCAATTTCCTGTTCTAGAGGAGCTACCTGAGGATGTCCCAACAATCGGTCGAAATCCTCCTGGCAGTAGTCACCCATCGGCTAAAAGCGACGACTGCTCGAAATTCTTAAGAGATTTAGAAGTATTCTGCAACAAAAAAGAAGAAAAACATGGTCCGCTTAGTTCTACAGAATGGCGACGACACCCTTCGCATATACATGCGATTCAAAGCGCAGTGTATCGCAAAATTATTTATGGGGGGGAGGAAATGTACAATCCTTACGCCCTCGCTGGAAATATCTGGATTCTGGACGTGTATCAACTCATGGAAGCTCGCAGATCTGGAGTTTGAAACGTCTTCCCGCGGCTACTGAGGGCGAAATTGCAGACAAGAATAAAGGTGACGCTTTGGTGAAGCTTATTGCTATTATGCAGGTTGGCTGGCTTATCGTTCAGCTTATTGTGCGGAAGTTCCACTCAAAGCCCCTAGCGCAGTTAGAGATCATGGTCCTGGCTTACTGCGCCACTTCCCTGGTCACCTACCTCCTACTCTTTCGCAAGCCTCAAGACGCTCAGACGCCTATTTACACGACTCAGGTTCGTGAAGAGCTTCCAACGACCGACGAGATTTCGAGATCACCAAGGCTGGACCATGGTCCTTAAGGAAACAGGGAGGACCTTCACAAAGCTTCAGCTTCCACGATGCCCTCGGGGTAAAGGTTGTCAGCAATATGCCCCTCCTACTCGGCATAGCATTCGGATCCGTCCTGTTTGGATGTCTACACCTCATCGCTTGGGATTTCACATTTCCACATGACGGAGAAAGAATTGGCTGGATTACGTGTGGGATAGTCATGGCTGCTTTGCTCTTTGTGGCTATGATCATGCCGTTTATTCTAGACACGGTTGATTGGGATGCACCTCTGATCGTGCTGAGGATCAATATGGGTTTGAACTACTTGTTATTACCGATTTACATTTTAGCAAGGCTTTATTTGCTAGTGGAGGCGTTTCGGACGCCAGCTTTTTGAGCTCTGAGGTTTTTTCTGCGACGTGGACTTCGAATATTCCGCATATTGAGTAATATGGTCGCATTTATGCATATATATGCCACTGCTTGGGGTGCTCTAATGCAATTTCAGAACTCTCAACGAGATAGAGGCTCTTCGTCTTGGGCTATGAGGAACCACGTTGAAGCACTTCAAACAATGGCAGACAGGTGTACACACGACTGCTCGGGACAGCGCTTGATGAGTGTGCCACCTTTTCACGCCCAGCGCGTCAAGCAGTCTCGGCAAACTACTTGAAATGTTGTCAAGGATCCAATGCTGTGGATTGGGATAGGTTTAATTCTGTTAGCTGTTGCTACTCATAACGGATGTAAAGGATTGGGAACCGTGAATTAGAACCATCGTTAATTCGCCTTCTGTCGCTGCTAGAGCGCTCGACTCTCTTAATTTCAAGACGCACGTGCGATGGCGGCGTTTGAGTGGCTCTGTAAGGCCGAGAGAAACCCACAAGGGATGTAAAGGGTTGGGGACCGTGAATTGGAATGGGTGTGAGTTCACTGTCACAGTCAGAGCCTTTTGCATATATTAGGGAGAATAGTTCGTGAATTAAGTCATCCTCGTTCAACTGCACCCTTCCGACCTCTCGCAACATAGGAATAGAACCACGTCAATCCTCCCTTCATTCAAACCAAAACGTTCGAAAGAAATCGGTTTTAGGTTGCCGCGAGGCGTATCCTGTCTAAAGCCCCAGAGCCCAAAACCCCTCAAATTCCATCTCTTATCTTCCACTGGATTAGCCTCCTCCATCTTGTAAGTATGTCTGTATCTGCGATCTGTAGTAGTAAGAAATAAACAAACAAGCACAAATCAAGCACGCTAATGTAACCAATCAAAGATGATGAAGGACGGATGCGAAGCGAAACGCGCGAGAGACTCGGGAGATGGAGATGAGAGAACAGATATGCAATATAACAACTTCCTCGGTCAAGAATGTACATTTCAAGAGAAGTAACCGTCCCCGTTTCCACCCACTACGTAGCCCACCCTCACTCTCCTTCAACAGCCAAAGAAATGAAGTTTTCCCAATCAACGCGCCAAACCACCCGCCCCAAAAATTAGTTCCTTCCCACTCATTTCCTCATTCATCTCATCCCTCATTCCCCACCCCCTCACCATAAAAGAAAAAGAGGTATTCCAGGACCCTTTCCCATCCTGCCAAAAAATGCCAAAATTTCAAACGCTTGCTAAATGTTCACGAAATGACTGCGGACGAACCAAGCCGAAAAATGAGATGACGGAGAAATGAACAAGGATTTCCCACGCCCCACCCACGCCCAGTGCAGCAGCCGTGGAAGCAGAGACCGACATCGAAGGGTATCAGTGAAGATGTATGGGATATACTGCCAGGTGTAGTATGTATAAGGTATCAACCGGAGAGAGAGAGAATCGGATGGAAATCGCAACCAAAATGCCGCTCGCTAGACCGAGAAAATCCATTTGAGCACACGGAAATGATGAGATTGTAAAATGTGGTTTGCCGGCTTTCCGAAGGAGGGGTGTGAAGTGTGATTGTTGTATATATGTGGGGATGTGGATGATGCGTCGTCGTGAATCGTTTCAGTAGTATTTTGGTGTAATCTCGATGCGGGAAAAGATGCAAGAATAAACGATGCCAAGACCGCAGAGCGTTGGAAAGGTATAGAATATGCAAGGACAATTAATGCATGTAGCCGGTCATAGAAAATGGGATAAGAAACATGTAGGTTGCCAAAAATGGGTGCGTGGGAAGTGCCTGGCTTCCCGAGACATGTTTCGGCCCCATGCCTCGAGACGCCCGCCTTCACTCGACAAACGTGTCCAAAAGCATGCAGTACCCGTATCCGGACAAAGGCGTCGCAAATTAGATGCTTCAGATCATGCCCGCCTCGGGCTGGTACACGCCTTGTTGCAGCTGCTCCGGAGGCATGTTGGCTCTGATCTCTTTTGGGTTCCGGTAAAACTGTGACTGCGTCTCGCGCCTCGACATGCTCGCGTCGTCCGGTGGGATGACCTGCTCCATCATTTGACCGCCACTTCCTGGGGCTGGCGGCGGTGGGGGTGGAGGGATAGCGCCGTACTGTGACACGGTGTGCTCAGTGGGCGAACGCGCATTGCGAGGGAACGGGATTGGCGGCGGGATGCTCTCGTAGGGAGACGGATTGTGGGCTTGATCAGACTGCGGTGATCTGACTCTGTTACGGCTGGTGCTGCGCATCCGCTCTGTGACTGACCGGAACTTGGCTCCGATGTTCTCGCTCACGCTTCCACGTCCACGACGGTGGGTGAGAGGAGAAGTAGTCACGGGAGGAGACGTTTCAAGTAGTGGCGAAGTCGTCTGACTCGTGCCAGTAGGCTTCTCGTCGATGGCGATGTTAATGACCCCAAGGCTGCTCTTAGGACTGTGGCCGAATGCAAGTGGTGGTGGTGGAGGCGGTGGAGGGCCAGCGAGATGCTGAAGCTCAGCAAGCATTGGCGGAGCGTTAGGGTCCTGTTCGATGATGACGATCTGGTTCTCGTGCAGCGTTTCATCAATGCTGGCTCTGAACGGCGGCGGGCTTACTCGTTTGTAGTTGACACCAACCTCTGGCGGTGTGTTCATTCGAGAGTGACCGCGGTTATTGAGAGAGCCACGACGTACGGGAGGCGGTTGCTGTTGGACAGGAGCAGTCTTCTGGAAGTTTCCCTGGAATTTCTCTGGAGGTGCCGACGCAGACCTTGGTGGCTGGGAGATTTTTTGGCCATATACGGTAGCGGGAAGCAAAGGACCAAGAGAATCGTCGGCCTGCAATTCCTCAGACGACTGCAACATACCCAGGTTGTCTGGAATAGTTGGCACGGCAGGAATAACCTCGCCGTTATTTGGGTCGCCGTGCATATACTTAGGGTGGCGCATAGCCCTTGGAGTAGCTGGTAGGCCAATGGCATACGGCGGCAAAGCCATCTGCTTAGGGGAGTAGCGCTTTTGCACCTCAGGGTCAGCGGTCTGGCTGCGCATGATGGGGTCGGCCTGGCTCGAGAGATACGAGGGACTGTTACCCAGATCGGTCTGAGAACGCTCTGAGAAAATTGGGCGATGAGCTAGGTCACCAGGGTGAGGGATAATTGGTGCCGAAGGACGACGAGCCAACGACAAGCGTCTTTCCTCCAACTCCCGGGCAGCAAGCTCCTTCCGGGACATCATTCGGAGATGAGAAGGCTGAGGCGCTAATTGTTCCCTGCCCGTGTTGCCCGACCTTACACTAGAGTTGTTTGAGTGGTAGCTTTCAGGTCTCTCGCTTCTGTCAGGAGATGGTTCCCGCAGGTTTTGACGTGACCGGCTTTGCCCTCTCAGTGACGGAGCAGGAGTACCTCTTCGGCTTGCGGCCATTCGGCGGTCGGGGGAAGCATCACGACGGGCACTGGTGCCTCGTTCTTGAGGTCGGCGACTTGTGCTTCGTTGTCGTGGTCGTACTGGCTCGTCATCACGGCCATCATCGTCGTCTCGGTAGAACAAGGCTTGTGAGTTCATGGGAAGTGGAGAAGACGGCGATCGGGCAATAGGTGCATCACCTCGAGTGTTGCTCCGGCCTCGATCTTCTGCGGGACGACGGCTTGTGGCTCTGCTTGTGGCCCTACTGCCGGCTTTCACACGGTCTGGGGATTCTACGCGTCGAGGAGCCTTCGAAGATGACCGAGCCTTAGTAGCCGCCCTGCTACGGCTGCGATGTCTTGGCCTGCTGCTCGCTACAGACTCAGCTATAGACTCAATGGGAGAAGAGACCCTGTAGTAGCGCTCGTCATCAAAATTTTCAGTGTTTGTACTGGCTTCCTTCTTGGAACGAGGATAAATTCCAGCGTCTTCGGGAGACATTGGCACGGGAGAAGATGGAGAGCGTTTCGCGGGTCGGATGTATCGAACACCAGATCGGCCACGACTTTCAGAAAGATCGCGAGGCCGACTACGAGCTCGCGCGTTGCGGCTTTCGGGGCGTATAACCTCTGGAGGTGGTTTCGGAGTGCGGTTCTCATTGCGGCTCCCACCAGCATGTTGACGAGCATAGAAATTGGCTTCCTCCAGACTGCTGATGTATTGGTCGATGCTTCGAGCCTTTGCGCTTTTTACGCTCGCTCCAGTCAAAGGTGGGCTGAGCTCAGTACCACTGAGAGCGGAATGTGAGACGCTATCAATGGTCTCATGCACTTCTAAATGAAGGCCGTCCGGTTTCCTAGCCCTTGAACCATTTCTCGAACGAGACTGCTGCCTAAGAGTAGCGAAGACGCCATCGGAGGGAGCTGGGACGCTTGCTTGCTTTGCGTTGCTGCTGCTACTATTCCTGGGATCGTAGGTGGTTGCACTAAGGGTGAAATCCTGAGGTGCACTAGAGGACGAAGCACGGCGATGGGAGAAAGGGATCGTCTGACCCTCCCTGCCAGTTGTGTCTACTGCGGTTTGGGGAATAGCAGTGTCCACACGTGCGCTCCGCTCAGGCATGCGATCAGGGATGACCAGCGCTGCAAGATTCGAGGTTGGTCCACGCTCCTGTCGTTCAGAACGGTCAGCGTCGGATTTGGACGGAAGGCGTTTGCGTCGGTATGCTCCTGGAGTAGCAGTCCTGGCCGAAGATGGTTCTCGCAGACCCCGAGTACTGGGTCGCAGCCATTGGTTTGTGGCACCAGCTGGACTAAGGGCAGATTCGGCAATGGGTGTAACTCCAACGTTCATAGGCGTCTGCTCATCAGTGGTTGAGAGCATCTGAGGAGAGGGCTTCTCGCCGAAATTGGTGACCAATTTGAGTGCCGACAACTTCGCCGTGATGCGGCTAGGAACTTGACCACCGGGAGGAGAGAGTGGCGGGCTAAGCTGCGATCCTAGAAGAACCTGTTTCTGTGCCGAAAAAACCGCGTCTTGGGCGCGTGGGGAGAACCAAGGCTCCGAAGACTCGAGGCTGGTGCAGGAGAAGCAGCGTACTGCAAGCTCTGGTTTGCCATGCGAGACAGCCACCTCACCCCACTTGCGCACCAGGAACGACTGTCGCTGCCAGTCATTTGGTAGAAGCAGACAGGTAAGCAGAATGGCTTCCATGAAGTATTTGCGAGACACGTAGACTTCAATCGCCTCGTTCGGTTCACCCAGACCTAGAAGAATGGCGACCGCCGGGTGGATGTCGCCCTTCTCAAGCAGTCGTTGAACAAAAGTCTCGCCGACCTTCTTCTGAGAATCTTGGCCCATAGAGCTAAGAGCTAAAAGCATCCAGTCTGAGGAAGTCATAGATTGCGATCCGACCATAGAAGCCATCATATCGGCTCCAAGGTCTCCAAGCCATTTTGAGAGTAGCACGGAAGCAGGCGTGCCAGGGGCGTGCCGAGCAAGCTCGTCGCGAATTAGAGTCTCGATATCGTCGTCCCACCCAAATACAACACTGAGCATCTGCTGTCGCAGATCGTCTGGAGTACGTTGCTGGCCATACTGCGGTGTCTTGAAACTCACGTCGCTGAGTCGAGCTTTTGTGTACGGGAACAGGTCGAAAAATTTGGGCTTCTTAACATCGTCGGGGCTATGCATGATTTGATTTCGTAGGCTCGAGGATTTGTATGAAGGTTTTGAGGATGTGGTAGAGTAAGATCGAATGGAGATGCTATCCCCAGATGACATGGGAACAGAGGAGGAACCCGAGGAGAAAATCGTTCCTGTACCCGCGGAGCTCATGGATGCTTTAGAGGACCTCGTCGAAGCTGTCGAAGGCTTGTCGTAGCGGTATTTAGGCCCGCCGCCTCGAGACCCGCCGGAAGATCTTGAGCTTTGCGAACCTCTGCTGGATACTGGACTTAGTGGACCAACTCGATCCCGCCTTTCTTCCTCTAGCTGATCCATCTCTTGCGCTATTTTCTGCAGAGGAGACATTGCCACGCCCTCCCCTTCGCTAGACTCCGACTCGATATACACGGGAAGCATTGGAACCATTAGTTTACCTGCAGGATGCGCTGTCACTGGAGTCTCGTTCACACCCTTTCTTCTTCGCTCCTCCAAGGACACTGGTGGAGACGGAGGAGTATTCGCAGGAGGATGTTGTTTATCGGCGACCATCACGGCGGTGCCATTCGGGTTGATGTCGTACTGCTGAACCGTGTGGTTTCGGCCCAAGGTGAACAGCGTTGCAGTTGGCCCATAATTGGCAATGGCAACAATTCCATCGATAGTAGGCACTGGCTCATACGATACCCTCTTCGTGCGAACATCCCACGAACAAGTTTGGCTGTAACGAAAACGTCAGCATTGTCGAGCCGCCAAGTCGAGCGAGTATGCATGAGTGTTGAGCAACTTACCCCTCAGAATATTGCACGATGCGTCCGTTCTTCGACCAACCGAACCAGCATGGCCCGGGTTCCCTGTAGCTTTCGGATTTGTTCAAGATCCTTATTACACAGGGCGCATCCCCATGGGGCGCCTTGGGCACGCTCCACACCCGCAGGTCTCCATCCGAAGTCTGCGTCGCCAACATCTCCGACTTCTGCTTGGAAGACGATCCATGCCAGGCCAATCCTACAAGCGGCGATGGCGCTCTTGGGGTTGTGAGAGTGTGGAGAATTGTAAATGTCGGTTGAAGGGTCGTGATAAGAATAGATCCGTTCAAGTAACTACCCGTAGTCAGTCATACCACGCAGCGTGGTTCGAATAGAGCTTCTAATTACCCAATTGCAAACGTTCTACAGTCCGCCGCGGGCGCCAGGGCAGTGATTGGGTCGAAAATAGTCCTTGATGAAATATGCTCGGAAGTCGACGGCTCAAACAGAATTACGTTTCCTTGGGCATTGCCTACGCAAGAATCAGCACTTTAGTCAGTTAGAGCAAAAGCGGGAACTCACCAAACGCAACATTGCCGTTCCGCATCCACGCAGCCACCCGGATCTGCTCGTAGGAGGCGAACCGCGCAACCTCCTCTCCGGTAAATAGATCCCACACAATCGCCGTGCTGCCGGCATCATAGCTCACAACGAGCCGTCCAGCACCTCTCTCGCTCACATTGTCCACCGAAATCCACGTCACGTCCTCTCGATGGCGAGTAAAACGGCGCTCAATGGCGAGCGTGTCGTGGTGCAGGCAAAGGATGACATTCCGCTGGGCATACAGCAGAAACGAGGCCGTCGCTGCGCATGGCTCGAAGCCGAACTCGTCGTTGCCGGGTGTGATGCTGGGAGTTGGCGGCTTCATTCTGGTGTCAGATCTCTTGGAGCTTCTCGATTGCGAGCGTTGCCGCGACAGCTGTCCGGTCGACATCTCGCGCACGTCTGGATCAGTCAGTCTGGGGCCCGAGGAGGGGCATATCTCGTCAAGAGTGTCAAGAGGGGGTGCGCGCCAGGAATAGCAACGAAGAGACTCGAACTATGTATATCCGGAGAATTGACCTACCCCAAGGTGCGCGCTAAAGGCAGGGCGGCAGTGTTGCCGGTGCCAGGCGTCTGGAGGGCGGTATGGCGATGCCCCACACAGGTGACTGGGATCTTCTGCCCTGGATGGCGGTATGCATGCGCCCGCTCTGGGAGGGTGTGTGCTGGAAGTACAACGAGGAGCGAGACGTGCAGCTGGAGACGTGAATAAGAGAAGAAAAAGCAGGAAGAGGCGCGAAGAGAGGAGAAAGAGGCCTGGTAGCTTGCGTGCGAATCAGCGCAGGGCGCTTAGCCAGCATCTGGACGAGGTGATATTGCTCAGAATAGGACGGGGCCCTCTGGGCCAGCGGCTTGGGGCGCTCGGAGCAGCAAGGATGGCCTGGGAGCACTACGAGGGGAGAGACCGGGGACGCTGTCTCTCGGCGTGCTGTTGGACAAATGGGTGAATGCTGAAGCAGGAGTCCCCCCAGTCCCTCTGATCGATTACCAGCTAATCAGAGACGGTGCATTAAGCCAGGACAGCTAGCTTTCCGGGATGAGGGTGACACGACACCTACCAGAGGCGGGTTTCTGAACTGTGCCTGCTTAGGCGGCTGGAGTCGAGAAAAGAGAGGCTTTGAAGCAGCGATTGGGCAGACCTCCATGCAAGCCCTCCCACCCGTCACGCGTGGATTTGGCTTAGAGCCAAGCGGACCAGTCCGGCGGGCCGTGTCTGCACAAAATCATTGGCGCAACGCACGCACGCGGCGTCGTGTCGCTGGGGGAGGGCTAGTCAGAGGCCGTGTGGAGGATTTGGGGGAATATCAATCATGAAGACACTTATTTTTGACCATCACGACTCAACACCAACCGCCCATCGCCAACCTCTAGACGCCACCAACAAGGCGGCAGACGGCAGACGGCAGACAGCAGACCAGCGGCAGAGATGACTACGCAGTCGCGCGGGACTGTACTGCGAACTGTCGGTCCCGTACCGCGCGGTGGGACCAGATCGTTCCTGATCACCGCCGATGGTTCCTCCTGTTTGGCTCTTCATGCGGTTGTTGTGCTCCCCAACTCCAGCTCGGCGGCTTCAGCACGGCTTCTTTGCAACGTCTGCGCATGAATGACGCTTACCAGCCGCGTTGTCCTCGCCAGATCAGGCTGCGTGTGCTCGCACGCTGCAACTGGACCCGCAATGGGCCTCGCAGTGGGCCGCCTCGCAGCAAACTCCGCCTGCATATTTGGGATAGAAACGTCCCGCTATCTCCGCTCCCTTGTGGCTACTCTCGTGTGTTTCCGCCCTGGTCGCCAGGTCAACCTGGAGACCGCGCTGCCGTCGAGGCGCCTCCCGTGCAACTTACATACATACGGCGGCCCCAGCTCCCGTCGATCAGAGCGAGTAGTCGTGCTGCAAAATGTCAGTGCAAACGATGCGATGCTGGCCTTATGGCGCATGCTAGTCTTAACCCGCTGCCCGCTGTCATACGCGTGCCGAAAGCGACGGCCACGTTATGCCTTAGATATTAGCAGGGGCCGACGCTGTAGTGCTAGAGTCGACGCGATAACGTAGAGACATCACACGAGCATCACACAATGCTGTTGCGCTTCCAACGAGCGCCGGCCTTTGGTGGTTGTGGAGTTGCTGTAAGCGCCCACGCTTGGTCTCCCCCCAGCGACCGCCTCTCCAGCCCCTCACCCCACGGCATTAGTCCCACAGTCGTATCAGATGTGATTTGGTGTGAAAATAGTGCTCAAGTGCATATTTTAGCTATTTAACTACTCTTCTAGAATGCTAGCCATATGCTGCCAGGGTCTGTAGACCGACCTAGCCAGTGAGATCTGCCATCACAACTCATTGCCCAACCAGCCTCCTCCATTCGCAGTGATTCACACCCCTAAAATCCGGTCCGATCCTTCCATCGCGCCGGCATCCCCTATCCGTCCCCTCCCAGCCTCCAATCGGACTCTGTCCATCGCCATACGAGATGTGATGAGCCGCACGCTACGCTAGCAGTCACTGCATACGCGAGGGTCCGGTCCGTGATGCGGCTTGCGGGGCCATCGATACGACGATAAAGGTCGTCTTCCCCTCCTCCAGTCGCGACCGCCGTGGCGGCGACGGATGCAGAACGTGAATGTGATGGCGGCGTCGTGCAGTGTGACGGCGTGCGAACATATCACCGTTGTCGCGGCCGTTGCCAGAACCGCGGCTCGCTTCACGCTGGACTGGTCGAGATGAGTATCGCGCCAAGCATGAGCCCTGCTAATCACACTTGGTGTCCAAGGTAATCGATAAGGCGAAGCAAGTTGATTGCGACGATGCGGTTGCAGTCGCGAAGAGCTTCAGTGGTTTGTGACGCTTGATCACGTGGCATGACTCGGTACTGAGTCATTGGGCGAGACTTAGTCATCCGGGTCATGTGACTTCACGTGATCGTCAATGAAGCTGCCTTTCGCAGTGATCAAGGACCACAACGAAAGCCACCCAACACGATAGCGCTACAAAGGTCGTGCAGTACCGGTGATGTAGCACGTCTCATGTAGTGGTAGTATTTGCCATCAAAACTAACCCGGACCAGTCAGCAATGGTCGCGTCATGATTGGTGTGATGGGCTTACCATGACAGTTCGAGTTTTACAGTCATCGCCACGTCGCATTCATTCTGGGGTCTCAGGTGATTCTGAAATGGGAGTCATTGGCTTAGACGGGCGGCGTTGCTTGCGTCCGCTGCTGCGCCTGCGCTTCGACTTGGGTTTCTCGGAGGCATAGAGTGGCAACAGAGGGAATGCTTGGCCGAGAGGTAGCTGGCGTGGCGGTGCAGGTGCTTCGTGGAGAAGTGGCGGAGTGATGAGGCCAGATTCATCGTCGACATCGTCGCCGAAGAGATCAGAGTCGCTGATGAATGCGCTGGGTGCGCTGGTGTGGAAGGCGTTCAGTGACTTGCCCGTGGGCCAACTGGGATACGCGCACGTGGAGCCCCGGCTGGAGGAAGTGCTGTCGTGGTAGCTACCGAACATTGATCCAGAGGGCGACGACATGTTGCCGATCGATATGGGTTTCGAGGGTGAGGACTGCGGTGAGGATTCGAAATACATTTTGTATTCGGGCGTGTTGTGGTTATGGGGTTGTTGTTGGGTGCAAAACCGGATACGCGTTCGCTCGCGTCTCGGGAATCGGCCGTAAGTATGACGACGGTGGTGTAAGTTTTTCTAAGCAGCGTGTGCAGGATGGATGCCAGAAAGCAGGATGCGGGCGAGTTTAAGTCTATTGCTGGACAGGAGAGCAGGATCAGGAGGCAATATCAGGAGCTTGCGGCGTTGTTGGTGTCTCGAATAATTCTATCACCTGGCTGTGTGGGGGCAGGGCGCCGTCCATATGATATACGACGCCGGAGTGACAGGTAGCAGACTCTGAAGCCCACGGCGGACGCCACGTCCCGTTGCATGATTCGGAATGGACCACTGGCAATGCTTCTGGCTCATGAATTAAACTTGACTCACCCCCTCCGTCTTCACCGCCGATGCTTTTCGGCCACTAAAAGCCTGGAGGCCCGACCGCTCTTTCAAACTCACCCACTAGAATCGCCCCGAGTCGGGCTTCTCCCGCAACGCCGCGGCCCCCGGAATGCCCCGGTAATAGCCCTTTCGCCCTCTGGAGTCCGGCTTGAAGGCCGGCTGCCCTGCCTGTTCAGCACATGAAGGCCCAAATTCCGGTTGTTGCGCAGAGTCTGCAACTGGTGACTTGTCACCGCCGCCGCGCTGCTGGCACTGCTTGCATCAGAGGACACTTTACACGTCGCACATGTGCCACCGCTCCAACACCGCAACTCTGCGCCGTGACCGCCTCCTTGTTGATCCTGAAAAAGCAGCAGCTCATCCCGCAAGACGGTTTGATTGTGCACGGGTGAGACAGATCCCACGCTGATCGACTCCCACGCGCCACTCCACGGCACAGTTGAGACTCTCATCCTCCGCATCTTCCCCGGCCGAGCTTTCTCCATTATGGAACGGCAAGCCGAGGAGGAAGACCGTCTGCTCGGAAAGCTGCCACGCTGATCCCACAGGCGTGTTGGTTGGTCCAGCACAGCGAAACGTGCTGTCGATTTTCTGATAAGAGGCTCTAGGTGTCTCCCTCCCTGCGCAGACTTGCACCAGACCTCTTTGCCAGACAGCTTTCGAGGCCTCGAATCGCATCCCCAGCGCACCGCAGGTGACGCGACAGAGTCTCGATCCTGTGGCCGACCGCTAGGCAGCGAGCACGACTCGATGTCGAATCGAGCAGAGGAAGCCTTGATCCGAGGTGTGGTTGGGCCCGCGGCCCGGCAAATGAGGCGTTGTTGTTTCTTCTTCCACCATCACAGCGGGCTGGCGGAAGAGACAGCCGCCGTCCGGACACACATCTGACAGCCACCCAACAAGCCTTGGCAGTCCGCGTCTGGCACCTTGTTTTGGGGGCGCGGCAAAAACGCGGGATGATCTTCACTGTGAGGCCGCGACTCGCGACGGGAAATTGAGTCCGAGGTGCTCGTCGGGAACCTGGGGTGCAGTAGCTTTTCGCTCGGATCCAGTCCCTGCTTTTTGCAGCGCGGGTCTCTTCCCTCAGACCCGCGGTGCTTCTGTAGCCTCCGAAATCTCTTCTAGCCCTCCACATCGCGTGGAATGAGGAAGAAGGGAGCCGTTGCGTTGTTTTGGGGGGAATTTCCGCATCGTGGGGACTCCGACGGCCCGCGGGAGGGCGGTCAGTCTCACTCACTTCGGGCAACACAGCGAAGTTGCGCACTCCGTGTGTATATTGCATTACCAGGATAATATCCATCGTGTGCGAGTGGGGGATCACGTTTCGCGAGCCGTGATTGTCTATCCCCCACGGACAGGAAACGTGACCAACAACCGCACCACCCAACACCCGCCTCACTCTAGAAATCTGTCAAACGGATAATCTTCGGCTCCGTAAGATGTCCCGAGACGAGGCGGCGAGAAGTCCGCGTTGTCGTGGCGGGGTGGTCGGCCCTGTGGAGCTCCCTTTAACCTCTTGACTAGAGAACGTGATCCCTAGATCCTCCGTGATCGGGCCTTTCCAGAAAACGAACCCCATTTCTAGCCGCCTCTCGCCCTGCATTTCGCCTCACGGCTCTGGATCCAGAACCCTCGGTTCAACGTTTTCGCTACAGTTACCCCACAAGTTTCTGGATCTTGCTTGACGCTGGTATTCACCCTGGAACCACAAATGCACGTGTTGGATCATTATAGCGCGCTTCTGTGCATCTAGTTTCTGATGATGTACCAGGGGACCTCAAACAGTGCTAGGCAAGTGTACAAAGCCCAGAGAGAGCGTGTATCTTAGAACGGAACCTCGCGCATAACTCATTAATGGCTGATTATTTCTCGAGGTAATTTTTAGGTGAGTACTGTAAGGAGGTAGCGGAAAGGTTACCCTATTGGAACCCTAAGATGTGAGTAAGCATGTTCATCCGCCTTACCATCACCCGGTTACAGATCTCTTTCGCAGCACACCTTCACCGTAGCGTAACATCTGCCAGTCCCAATTCCCAAATAGCCGGAGCCCTGGCGCTTGATGCTGCCCAAAGAAACGTGGTCGGGAGTTCCGACGTGTGACGTTGGAAACGGGATCACCTGCCATGTTTAGCTCAACCTTCCCACACTATCTTCATGTGAAAGCGTTGGTGAATACCGGCGTCTCGATAAAGAAAGAACGACAAGGCAAGCGCCTTACTACGACGGCGCCTTGATGGTTCATCAACCCCTTTCCACAACAGCCATCATGGCAGAATCCCTTACACACGAAGTGGCAGTAGACGACACTCTATCCATGGGTGGATTCGGTGGTCATCCACGTGTAGAACCACGTGGGAACGAGGTCAGTGCTTTCTCATAAGCTGGTACCCTAATGCATGGCGATACCCGCTGTGCCGTCTTAGAGTGCTTGGCGATAAATCCAACGAAATTTCTTCATCTTCAGCAAGTCTGAATTCTCTGCACTGGTATCAGAATGTTAGAGGGTCGTTGACGGCATAATTCCTTCTGTCAGAATTCGTTACTGTTCAGTACTTTCGTCCAAATTGATCCGAAGCACGGAACAACTTCTCCTCGAAAATCAAGCCTGCCCTTCTTATGGCTTTGGTAAGCAGATGAGCTTGGTTGGAGTGGCTTTTTCATACTAGCCCATCATTCAGAGGAGTGTACTTCTATCCGAATCAGATTCGCCATAATGAATTGAGGCACTTCAGACGGCGCCAGACAGGTGTACACAGTCTGTTCAACCTTCTATGCCAAAACCACTTGCACATCAACAACCGCAAAATACGGACAGTAAATCGTGAGCTCCCAGCAATGTCAGCAATCACCTCCGCCCCAACTTCTGCCCAGCTTTTGCCCAGCTTTTATCCGACACCGGAGCCAAGCTTCGTGAACCCGGGTAGCCCCTTCAGCAATTACGAGCTCCATCAACTACAGAACCCTAGCTCCCAGCAACCACTGCCGCCTCTGCCTACACCCCAACCTTATCCGACCCAAGGGCAGAGCTTGATGAACTCTGCTAGCAACCACGCCATTTACGAACCTCATCAACTACAGATTCTGAGTTACGAGCACCCATCTCCGCCTCGGTCTGCACCCCAACCTTATCCGACCCAAGGGAAGAGCTTGCCATGGCTTCGTAGAGAAGAGACGGATTTACCTGATCATCGGTACCCGCAGCCCCCGCCAACTGCGTCCGAGCCCCTCCAGCCTCCACCTACACCTCACGCATTTGAGCCATACACGCTAGAGCTGTCACCACAACAAGAAGATGAGGTACAAAATACGGCTCCAATCGATCATGTCGATCGGGCGATTACAGCGTACAAGAAAGATGGCCTATAAGCTGCATTGAACTGTCTAGACCCGAGCAATGGCATTATCCGTTCTTCTCTCGACGAATTCAAGCGGGTTGCGCATACCAGGGGCCTTGTACTGTTAGGGTTTTGCCCACTACAGCACTATGTCATAAGTTCGGGCACATGGACATCTCACTATTTATGCTCCACTCTTGCTTGCTCCATAGCACTGTAAGGAGTACCCCAGCTAGCATGTCTTTAGTTAGTTAAATGGCAATCTAATTTCCACTCTGTTGAGTTTTACATCCTGCTTAGGACTCGGAGGGCCTATCGAGATGCCCTAAGCAGTTGCGAGGAATGCCTAAACTTATGGCTTGGTACTGTACTAACAAAGGAGCGCTCGGAACAATCTGTCACCATGGAGATTGTACGGGCTTTGGAGAAGACGAGGCTAAAGGGCATTGACACGGTCATGCTGATTTACCTTCGCAAAGTATTTAGTTCCTCTTGACTGTTTACCCTATGTATGTACTAACATGTATAAGGCATGCGGGAAGAATAAATGCCTCGATTATTGCGACGCTATCGCAAATAGCGCGCTTGTAGCATTAGTCCACGCTACCCTACTTGAGCTCCAGATCGCTTCGAAGGATTTTAGCGTCGATGTCCGTGGGATTATTACGTTTTCAACGTGCTGGGAAAGGGGCTTGCCTATCTTGAAGCCAATTCTGCCGTTAGTACTGCCAGCTGGTTAGTCTTTGACTTTGCTCTTCACATAATTCAATGTTAATGCCTTTTGTAGTCATTCCCGTGGACCACTATGACTTGCATATCGGCCATATGTTCGCTGGCTCCGCTAATAAGCTTGCGATCAGTGCTCGCCGAGCTCTATCGAGATTCAACTTCCGAAATTTCTCTAGCGTTATTGCTGGCCAAACTTCGGACAGCGCCATCGAATTTACGGCAGCCTCGCGTTAAGACTCCCCCATTTCTACTTGCCAGGTTGGGACGAAGTTATTGGTCACGCTGAGATCGAGCCTACGCCAAAAAAGTTAGAGCAGGATAAATACCTAACATTGTCGTGGCTTTTTTAGGTTACGAGAGTCTTGAGCATAATGTTTAAAATTACATGGCAGATTTCAGCGAATATTTGTATGATTTTCGACGTCATGGATTGCTTGGTGGTGTGAGATAGCCAAAGCGGTACACACACGTCGAGTTTCCGAACCTATCTACTTGCTAAGTTTTCATTACCAAGTCAGCTTCTCTCATGGATACATCTGTAGTCCGCAGTACGTGATACCAAACCTCGATGAGATGTTTAAAGCCACGTAGACCAAGATGTAAGGTGAGTTGAGTAATCGGGGAGTTTCTCGTGGTATCACGTGACCCACGCGACAACCACCGATCACATCGTAACCCCTATACCAGGATCGAAAATTTTCATTTCCTCCTATCGAATCTGTATCCCACTTTGCTATATCAACATCACATCGAAGAGATATGTCCGGCGGCGAACGCATCTGTATACCGCTTGCTGTTCCCAGCAAGTTCGTACGAAAACATATCTGTATACTGCTTTCTGTACCCAGATATATCGCATGGTACAGAACATTCTACCTCACCGGAGGCGGCGCATTTGTATCTGTAGGCCGCTTAAGCTTCGGAACATCGATCCACGAATGGCCGTACTTCGTCGTCGGTGGGATGTATCTGTACGCCGCACGACCTTCCTTACTCTCTGAATCTGTATACTAAAGCAAGACTACACATCCCCATTAGCCTATAACATGCTATTGTTTTTGCAAGTTAAGAACGGCATGCCTTTAGGGATGAATCCCATCTGTGTTCCATACCAAGCGGGCGCTTTCCACTCTACATCTCTCGCAATTACGTTCCGCATATACGTTCCAGCATCTAAATTCCGGCATCCGTATTGTATCGCCAAGAGCATAATCTAATTGAGCATGACACTCATTTATTTAAGTTCAAACATAGCAGTGTCGCTTCACCTCTAGACCACTTGGTACCCATATTGAAGATACGCGGCTTCATCTCATAGAAGTCTTCAAGAAGAAACGCAAGTCAAAACAGTAACAGTCGTTTCACCTCTGGACCGGCTAGAGTCTGCATATAACGCTATTCAAGAAGCGGAGGAACCGCGCCATCGTTAGAGCCAAGGTCTCCTTTGAGTATACTCTACCTTATAAGATGAACTTTTGAGGTGGAGTCTCGGGTCGAACAATTTCAAACTGGCGAGTTTGCATCTGTAGCCCGCATTGTCCAGGTGGGCTTCTGAGTTCCAACTTCCAGAAAAAACATTTCCAAAGACGGGAAGTTTGCATCTGTAGCGCGCAGTATTAAAGTGAACTAGTCCAGTGAAAGTTTCATGACGAACATCTCCGAAGATGGGGAGTTCGCATCCGTAGTCCGCATTACCTAAATGGACTCATCCAATGAACGTTTTCGAATGAACATTTCCAAAGATGGGGAGTTTACATCTGTAGTCCCCATCACCCTTATATACTTATCTAGTGATAGTTCCGGAATGAACATTTCCAAAGATAGGGAGTTTACATCTGTAGTCCGCAATATCAAAATAAACTCGGCTAGTGAAAGATTTGTAACGAACGACTCCGAGGACGGAGAGTATACATCTGTAGGCCGCGTAGACCGCAATCTGGATTCGAAAACCGCATCACACACCGCCATCTTTCACTCAGCTTTGCGTCTCCTCAGTAAATCTCAAAGGCGTAATTGATGCATCCGTGTACCGCTTTGAGCATGCATCCATATCTGGCATTTCTGAGCAGAACGTACTCACAAAGCTCACATCCACGCACCCAACAGTGTCCGCATACTACATAATTGTTGGCAGACGTGGACAGAACTTTGAACGATACGGAATTGGTCTATGATACGAATTTCAGACAATAATCTACTTTTAAAGTTGTTATTTATTTGACTACAATCACTTGGAGTTGCTGGCATAGTAGCTGCCTACATGCCTAGCCAGTTACAACTTCTACAGAGAGGGGTTGGGGTACGGTGGCCTACCGTGCCTACCGTGCCTACTGCTGTCTCTAATTAGTGCTTCTGCCTACGCGTACAGTCACTTCCTACGTAGTATATAGTTTGGCCTTCGGGCCCCCGAAATAAGACAGAGTTCACGTCAATTTGCAACCTGAGTCAATCTGATTGCTATACCGGCCTACAGATGTCATTCATTGGACAAATACTCGAGTTGTTGGGAAAGGACGGGTAACGGCAAAGCAGATGGTCTTGTATTATACTGCTATTATATTACTGGAGCTGGAGCTGATGCGTTGGAATATGTATACCACAACGATTAGTACATAATCTCAATAGATAACGCTGTAAATGATGCTCCCTGAGATATGCCAGTCAAAATGAAGATGCGGATTACCACGACGCGCGGGAGATATTGTCATCCAGTATGGACAGACCTTATCTTTATTACGAATCTGTTCCACAGAGCGGCATACAGATGAGCCTCGATGTGATACTGTACAGCGGTATACACTTGCAAAAATACATAGAATGACTGGCTGGTGGAAACGTAAGGGGAGTGCTGAGATGATAATGGACTTAGAGAGAATCATCAACAGTCGTCAGCAGAACTGAAACACAACAAAGGAGGTCAGACCACTAAAGAAGAAGACGTAGAGCAGTAAGACGGCGGTAAGAGCAACCTATCCAGACTGAACTTACAAGATACGTAGTCGAAACACCACCAAGAGTCTTAGCGTCTGCTAGCGAACGTGTCGCCTGATGCGATATAGAGTTGTTGGAAACGAGTTTCTAAGATCGGAGCCATCATGTACATAATTTTCGATTTCTGCTGGTGAATATGCTACCTGAATCTGATAAGGTACACAGATGCTGGAAACAAGATTGTAAAGATTACATATTTGAAATTTATTGCGATGAGCTTTAGTATTTATCCTCCCTTCATACTTATCCGCCATGGAATAACCAGGGAAAAATATTAAACCTTCGGTGCAAGTTGCAGTCTTAGTCGAGTGATAGAACTTAGAGATTAGCTCTTCCGAGAACTTTTTATTTACGTGCAAAATAGATGTGGCAAGAAGATATTATTTTCTAACACTACTTGCTCCTGGGATCACGGGTGTCACGTAACAGGAGAGAGAAGAGGCTGTACATGTTGTATTTGATAATGAGGAGAAGGATATAGAGGAGAAGGAGAGGTCTGGAGGAAGATGAGGCTATATGCAAGTGTCATGCGCCTGCCGTAGCCCTCACCGCTTCTCCCTGACACACGTGTCACCTCTTGTATATAGCCTCACCTTCCTCCAGACCCCTCTCTGCTACATCATCATCCAATACATCACATACACGGCATACAGCTCCTTGTTCCGTGACAGTTTGCATCTGTAGTCCGCAGTATTAAAACGGACTCGTCCAGCGAAAGTTTTGTTCTGCTTAGAAGTGGCAGATATGGATGCGGTACACAGATGTATTAAATTATACCTTTGAGATCTGCTGAGGGGATGCGATCTCCGAATTCGAATTGCGGTCTACAGATGTGGTTTGATGAGACCGCTTCTAACATAGGCACGGACGTCTTCGTTAGAGGAAGGTCGTTCGGATTATAGTACTAGGCCATACGGCACCCTTTGTAAGTTTAGGCACACGAACATCTCACTATTCGCGTTCCACTCTTGCTCGCTAGATAGCACTGTAAGGAGTACCCCAACTAGCATGTCTTTAGTTAGTCAAACGGCAGCCCGATTTCCGCTGCGTCGAATTTTACATCCTAATTAGGACTCGTCGGGACACCCCAAGCAGTTGCAAGGAGTACCCAACCTTGTGACTTAGCACTATGGAATGTGCAAGCACGATGACGTTCGCACTCGTCGGGTTAATGTGTGGGTGGGCTCTGTGTTGTTTATGCTCATAAATGCTAAAGCAACACGTGATCGACTACGGCTGCTTGCGCTTGTCCCTTCAGCTCCCTCTTCAGGCATCCATCTACGTAAGTTCAAAATTGCCTCCCCTACATCAATTCCACATAACAACATTTTGCAATACAGAATAAATTGCTCGCCCAAAATGCAGATCTTAGTTAAAAGACGTCCGCCACCACCGTTCCCGAGTCCGTGAGAAGCACGTATCTAAAGCCATCGCAGTAGGCGACATCCCGCCAATCACTTACGAGATTGATCCCAATGCCACCATGGATAACCTCATGACTCAAATCAAAGAAAGTTGGGACGTCTCATTTGACATACAGCGCCTGATTTATGAGGGACAGATCATGGAAAGAGGAGACACTCCTCTGACATGGTACGGCTTCACCGAAGAAAGCACTCCCACAATACATCTTGTATTGCGCATCGGGGGATGGGGTTCTGCTTTGATCACCCAGACGTGTAAGTTGGGTTTTTGGGGACACGAGCAGAGGGAAGAGCTTGCTGATGGGTTGGATTCTAGGGGATCGCAAAAGTTTTCCCGCGTATGGGGTCGGGAGAGAAAAGACAGTGCGGCATCTCAAGGGCATGATCTGCGAGAAGACGGGGCTGAGGCCTGAGAGGCAGCATCTTACGTTTAAGGGGAAGGAGGTTGGGGACGAGCAGACGTTGGCTGAACTGGGGGTGAGGAGTTACGAAGTTTTTCGGCTTTCGCGCGTTGAAGATTGGCCAAGAGACTTCGGTAATGAGTTTGATATGATTAATGCTAAAATATGGTGCTGAGCTTAAAGCAGGAGACAGTTGGATTCGCTCCCTCATACCACATACGACATTTCTTGATGGAGTTCTTCAGAAACAATTCCCTAAGCATGCCGCTCTACTCTCGCGTTTCCCACTCCGGAGTTAGCATTCCTCGAGTCTCAAATGACAGTCTGATACGGCCTTTGCAAGGTTAGTTTGCGTATCAATCTCGAATGAGATCTTTTATAAAGTGAGGAAATTGACCTCGGTTGATGTTCCCATCGGGCTACCGCAATATCACCAGTGCAAAGGCTCTCTCACCTCCAGCTCTCTCACCTTTCTACTAAAATACTAAATTAGTTATATAAATCTTATATCTAAGCATCCCTGCTAACGTTAGTAGGAACTCGTGTAGTGAATCGGAAAGAAGCATAGCGCCAGCATGTGAGGAGAAAGGAATAGAAGATGAGCTTTGGTGACCTGGGACTTTGTCCGTCTTTATTTATCATGCCTTCCTATGAAACCCCTTGTGCGATGCGAAGATGCGTATGTGAGATTGCTGCACCTCATCTCTGCAAGCTCATGCCCATATCCGGTTCCCAAGCAGACAAAGAACCACCAATGACTCTCCTCGCTTTCTTAGAGTCTCCATCTTTCGCCGTTCCTCCCATTAACTCTACACATATGCCCGATCGACCCAACTCTGGATCATACCCTCCGCAGTAGGCTCATACTCCTTCAAGGTTGCTCCCTCACCCTCAACCGCCGTATTCGCCTGGACGAATACTTTCCGTGGCGTCTTCGCCGCCAACACCGCAGGTCTCACCTTGTTTCTATAGAACGGCTCCACCCCTGTGATCTCTTCATACAGCTTCGTGCCACTCTCTACATCCGCTGTCGCCTTGTACACATGCAGTTGCTGCAGATACTTTTCCACCGCCGGGCGACCATGGCTCAGGATCTTGCTGCGCTCGAGGCGGATAGTGAGATCCGATAGATCCTCCTTTGTGTACTCAAGCTCGCAGAACTCAACGCCGGCATTGAGGAAAGTCCGTAAGATAGAAAAGCGCGCTTGCATGTGCGCCTGGCCCCATTTGGCGCTCTTGGGGTCCCAGAACTCGAGGGCAGCAATACCCGCGCGCGCCATGGAGAGGTATGCCGCGTACAAAATATCCCCAGCGGCGCCATCGATATCCTCAGTGCCGTCGCCGAAACCAAAGATCTTGAGGATGGAGAAGTCGCAGCTGAGTGCCATGGCGACGCACTCGGCGCGGCATTCCTCGTAGGAGGCGGCGACGGGGCCGAAGACAGAGCCCCATGTTTGCCCGGGTTTGTACCAGGACTTAATGGGCTGGCCGTCTAGGGGGCTCGTGGGGGGGGAGGACTTGTCGAAGTTGAAGACGCCTGGGGAGGTTTCTTGGAGGAGTTTGCCACAGCCGTGGCCAAGGAGTTCGTGGAGGCCGACTTGGACTTCGAAGGCCGGGTCACGGCAGCGGTTGTAGACGTCTAAATCCGAAGCTTTTATGAAGGGAATGGGTTCATTCGGGGACTTGGCGGATAGGACGTTGCCTAGGGAGACATTCTTGAAGCCAATATTTTGTCGGATATCGTCGTAGTTTGGGATGTTTATACCAGCGGGAATTCTAGGTTGACCGTTAATTTTGGAGATCGGTTTGGAGAGATGATGGACCTACCCGCTTCCGGCAAATGTCAGAACCTCTAAGGAGGTGAAGTCCGGACTGAGGAACTTGTCTTTCTCGAAGTCCTTGCCCCATGGTAGGAGTGGAATTAGACTCGGAGCTGTTTCAACGAGCTTCCCGAAAGCCGCCGTTCGCTCCTTGTTTACCGTTGCCACAAAACCTTCCCACTCACCGCGAATTCCATGAGGATCTCGGTATGTCTCAACGAAGCCGATATCCGTCTCTACTGCCGGCCCAATATCTTTAATCCAATACCTCTGGCTCTCCTTATAGGCCTCCAACGATCCAGATGCGAAAGACTTGACATACTCTTTCATCATCCCCCTCTCCGTATCATTCGCAGCATACTCTCCCGCCTTCTTCAGCGCATCCGCAATCTTCCCCATCTCAACTGCATGATCACCAAACACAAGCTTCACCTTCTTCCCCGCCAACTTCCCATCCAGCGTCCACTCACTTTCTTTCAAATCTCTCTCTTCCGCACTCGGATCTTTACTCGCCGACGCAATCAGTACCTCGAACCCCTCCCCCGTCTTCCTTAACCTCGTGTTCTCGGGTAATAGTTTCTTCGCCTCCAGGAAATCACTAACCACCGCAATCTCCTCTTTCGTAATATCCCCCGAATCAGGGTAATACGTGCTCACGTGCCCCGCATCCGGATACCCTAGATGCATCTCGCCCGCCGTGTTGCCCTCATACAACCTCCCCTGAACCTTAGCCCATAGCTCCTTCGTCGTCGGCGATACAGAAGCTAACGCATGGAACTTCTCAGGCGAGATCCGCGGAATGAATTTTGAGTCGCCAAAAGACTTGTAATTGCCCAGATTCCCTAGAAACTGCGCCGTGTAGCCTAAAAACGCAGCGAGGTCGTCGTCAGATAGCCCAGCGGTCTCCTGCAGCGCTTTCCAGTCGCCAGAAGTGTGTTTATGAAGTGCGATTATGAGATCGTAGAGGGGTTCGGATTCGGGGGAGACTTGGCGGAGGACGATGCGGGTACCCGCGAAGCAAGCTCTAAGGTAGGTGTAAGCAGAGGCTACCTGCAGAGGGCACGTAATGGTATCTTTTTGAGGAAAGATGGGGATGAAAGAGGCGAGAGGGTTCCTTACACGGAGATCCAATGCGCATATAGCTTCTCTTTGTCGGTCAGGGCTTCAAAGTGGGGTTTGATTTGCAAAGGCACGATCGTCGGCGGGCTGTCGGCCAGGTACTGTTTGAGGGATTGGGCGTCCATTGTACTTGTAGTACTCCCCTGAGAGGTGTTTCGGGTCGGATTTCGGGTAAGAAAGCTCGACGGAGGGTGGAAGCCTGGTGGTGCTGTGAGGAGGCTTTGTGGTGGTAGTGGAGGTAGGTGAGGTGGAAGGGGTCGTGTTGTTCAAGGTCGAGGATCGAGCGCGGGGAACGACGTGGGGTATCATCGAGGGGCTTGAGGCCCATTCAAAAACGACCATTTGTACCATATCGTCTTCTTTCACCGACAAAGGTCTTCTGTAAGTGAACTTCGTGTGGAATTAAATGGCAGGCTCAGCGCAATATTGTCTTGGGAGAACGGCGGGTATAGCTCATTAAATATTCTACTGGGAGCTCCGTTAGTATTGTTCTCTTTCACCTTTGTGCTACCTAGCCTCACCTTTCTTGACCGGAAACCTATTCTGCCTGGCCTTTTTTTGACCGACAATCTGCTTCGCCTCACCTGCCGTGCTCTTTTTTTGCCTTGTTTCCTGAATTCCCTTCGCCTCACCATTTCTTGCACTTCCTTCATCGCCTGACTCTTCCAAAACGTCGGAACCTGGAACGATCTGTAGTACGAAGTACCGCAGCCCTAAAGAGTGACCCATGAAACATTACTATTTTGTTTACAAAATTAGCTTTGAAGTACCTCTTTCTTACTATTTCTCCCACTTGAATTCTCTAAACAACACTACCAGTCTCACATTGAGGCATACCTTTGTAGCAACACTCCTTTAACATATACATGACCGCAGTGGAAGTACTTCATCACTGTGAGATATGCACATATTAACTTGATCTGGAACACTCTTTCGGGAGAAGACTCGACTTCCATAGCCGCGCTTCTAGCTGGTTTGTAGCACACATTCTCTCCCCGACCAAAACCCACGAGAACGCAATGGTAGCCAAATAGTCTAAGATACCCGCCTCGGGTTACTTGCATGGTAGAGCTTTGCTTTGCGGAACTAATTCTCCAAGCCCTGTGCCACTAGGAAATAGATAAAATGAAAACGACCACCAGGTTAGACCTCGTTCAAGAGGCCGACGGGTAAACGGCCTCAAGCCTGACTGAAGGTTGTGTTCATATATGTCAGATGGCCGTACTTCCAAAAAGAATACAAAGCGTATACAATTTCATGGCAGACTACTACTACTTCATAATCGAGGGCTATGAGCAGCCGTTCGGATACATTCGCAAATCCAAAGTCGAGCAAATCGTGTGGCCTGACTACTGGAAGACGAACCACGATGACAAGCTCATCACTCTCAACTCCGGCTCCGGAATTGAAGACAGAAATGGGTACTTGGACAAGACTCTGCGACAGATCCACGAGAAGGGCGAGGTTTCAGAGCCCCGAAAACTGTTTGACGAGCCGTACGGAATCCAGGGACCTGATGGCAAAGCCGTCCTAATCATGAATCGCTCGGCAGCAGGAATGTTTGGTATTCGAACGTATGGGGTGTTTCTTATTGCGTATATCCAGACCGACGGGGTAAGGAAGTTCTGGGTCGCGCAAAGGTCTCAGAAGAAGATGACATACCCAGGCAAACTCGACATGTGCGTGGCTGGCAGTCACCGAGCACAGGAAGCGCCCATTGGTTGCCTTGCGTGAGAGGGCGAGGAAGAAGCCTCACTCCGTGAGGCCTACACGCGAAAATGGGCACATTCGTGCGGGGCTGTAACCTATCAAATGAGCGTCTACGACTCTGGCAAACCAGCTAGTCGAGCGCAGACTCAGTACGCCTACGAGATAGAGTTGCCCACGGATATGGCTCCAAAGCCATGCGATGGTGAAGTTGAAGAATTCAAGTTGATGACCTTGGAGGAAGTTCGGGACAGTCTGTTTCAGAGGGACTTTAAGTTGAACATTGCAATGACATGGATGGACTAGCTTATCTGGCACGGGCATATGCACGCGGAGAATGAGGAGAACTGCCTTGAGATTTGCGCAAGACTTCACCGAAATCTCGACTTTTTTGTAGCTTAGCTTCAGGACTGCCGGGTGCATGCTCCCTGCTAATCATGCAGACGTATAGTAGGCAACGAGTTTGAAATGCAAGGCGTATCGGTCAAGTGACTCCCGGGCGCTATGCCGGGTTTTTGAGATAGCATGCTGAGTGGTCAAGGGTTCTGCTTTGCTTATCACTGCTGCCTCAGAGCGGCTCAGGTGGTATGCTCGAGGTACACACCGAAGGCTTCGTAGTGATTAGATACGAATACTGGAAAGCCGGACCATGATAAAGCGCTGTGGCAACATCGATATGGATTGAAGAGACAGTCTTATGAGCGATGACATGATGGCAGGTCTGAGGGCACTGGGACTTGATAAGCAACTGTCTACGCTCATACACCAGGCAATCCAACTCACGAAAGTGGTCATTCGAAGATTGGAGAGTTCTGAAGACAGGGAAGTAAAGAAAGATCCCAAAACTTTGGGAAGATTTATCATCGCCCTGAGAGGGATGCCCGAGCTTCAGATCCTTTTGAAACTTCAATGAGACGTCCTTGGCCATAATGAAAAGCCTGATCAATCTCTCAGGCTATTGTAAGCAAATGTTGACGGGGATGATTTCCCAGTCAGCGGCTATTAGGGAAGTCCACGGTACGGGCAAGTCTGCTAGATGTATGTACGTTCCCCTTTCCCAAATCCGATTGCAAATCGAAGCTTCATAGAAGCCTGCTCCTGAACTTGTTCGCGTCATTGGTCGTCATGAAAGCTTTGAGGCGGTGATGCATTTTCCCAGGAATACGATCCTTCACAGACATGCTTCGGAGGATTCTTTCCCAAGTTTGCATAATGTATGCAACCGAAATATTCGCAGTAGGCCAATCGTTGAGCACTTTCGCATTCGCAAGTTACCAACAGTGGGTTCGTTCAGTTCTTTGAATTAGGATACTAAGGGCCATTTTCATGCTGAAATCAACAGAACCGACAACAACGAGATGTAGAAAGACTCTAATAGTACCCATAAACACTTCTACTGCGTCAACTGCTACATAGCACCCCTCTGGATCCACAGCCTCCCCACCCCTTACACCACCGCCGCCACCGCCGCCACCACCGCCACCACTCCCACCACCCACGCCATCACCCCTCCCACCCCAACCCTCCCCGCCTCCGACGAAGGCTTCCCCGTTCCTGATACCACCTCCGGCCACCCAATCTCCCTCACCCCATCCACCCGACACACAACCCCACACTTCCCCTCCGCCCGCTTCCCCGGCCCCTTCACCGGCCCACTCGTATTAAACACCGCCTCGACCCACTCCAGCACCAGCACCGCGCTGCCCCCCTGCGCCATCTCCCCCGTCCAGCTGCCGCCATCGCCCCAGAGGTTCATGAAGATGCCTGACGGTCGTTGGGGGACGCTGTAGGTGTTTGCCGCGACGAGGGCGTCGTCGAGGAACCAGTGGGTGGCGTGGGCGAGCCAGTCGATGCGGTGCGTGTGGAAGAGGGACCAGGGGGGCAGCGCGGTGGATGTGATGGAGGCTTGGGGGATTGCGTTGCCGGCTTTGTCGAGGTCGGGTTGGTTGGTGTATCTGTGATAGAGTTAGATGGGGCGTGAGTGGGTTGGGTGTGCGAGGGGATGGAGGTTGGGGAGGAGTAATGGGAGTGAAGGTGGTGGAAGAGGGTAGAGAGGAGCCGAGTGGCATGCACATTGGGATTGAGTAACATTGAGCTTGGGGATGGCGAACCTGATCGTGCCCAAGGGGTCCTGCGTTAAGATCTCGATGTCGCTCTCATTATCGTCATTGGACCAAGTGAATAGGCCAGCGCAGGCGCCTTTGCTAGCCTCAGACCCATTGCTCCCCACTACCCGCGCGTGGAAGCGGATGCTGGCATGTTTGATGTTCTGCTGCATGCTTTGGATTTCGGCCGTGAATTGGGTATGTGAGTTGTTGCGATAGGTATTCAGTGTTAGCGCTGTGCCGTTTCCATTTTTGCCGGTCACTATATGAAGCGTTAGTCTGATATCAGTCTTGCATGCGGTATAAAACTAGTGAGTGGAGAGTGATAGTACGGGCTAAAGCTCGAGGGCTGGACTTCACTTACATATTCCCACATTCTCCACCAGGTTGATTCGCTCTAGCGGAGAGTCCGACGACGCAGGAGAGGTCCAGTTCTGTATCCACCAGTCCGCGTTCCATGCGTCGCTGGTCAAGTGGTCCGGACTCAAGTTGCGGAAGTCCCAGAAGCGGTGGAATGTGAAGTAAGCTGTGTCATTACCGCCGTCGACGGTGTAGCAAGAGCAGTTGGGTGAGTTGTCTTTGGCGGGGTTCGTTCTTGGGTCGTCGGCTAGTGAGAGAGCACGGAAGGCGCCTAACATGCTAAAGAGTGGAAGGAAGGTGGATGAGCGCATGACTACGGCGGTGTGCGCTGCTATGCTCGATCGTGAACGAGTGACTGACTGCACGATCGAGGATGAATATACTGTGGTGACTGAAAGTATGAAACAGATGAGTGAGGTCGAAGAGAAAAGATCTTAGGAAGTGAAAAGAGAAAATTGAATGTATAAGGTGATGACAGAGTCCAGACAGCAGGACGTGGCTGAGGTTCGCAACTTCACCATTTAGGTAACGAACCAAGCTGAGAACACGGCTGCGCCTCCCGCCATTTGGCGCTTGTAACGGTGCAACAGCAGGCCACGATAGTGGTATCACGTGGGAGGTTGCGTTCTCTTTTCGTTGCGTGTCCGTGCATACGCTCGGAAAGCTCATATTGCTAGCTACAGGCTCTCTTTACGTCCGATGGCCTAGCGCGGAGACTGAGTCGACCTTGGTCAACCTCCTTTTCTGGGCTAGTGTTGAACTGGCTCGAATATCGATTGGCTAGGAGGCTGCTATTCCCCACTAGACGCGTCCGGAAATACTACCTTATGTGGTTTTGTCGCTTGATTATAGCGCTGCCTCACTGTAAGGCAGACTTCCAAGGAGGGACATACTTCAAGGCGCGCAAAGACTGGCATAAAAGCAAACTAACTCACTTATCACCACATTTAGAACTGTCCGGTTTGTCTGCGAAAGTTTGATACCTACATCATAACATATGTACACTCTGGATGCAGGAGACTCGAAAAAACTGAGGATAAAGGAGACTGAAAAGGTGGTATAATTATCGAGGCAATACTCAAGAAAGACATACGAAGGAAACACACGCTTGGTACATATAGACCAAACCCACAAAACGCAGCCCTACACAAATAGTCCGCCGGTAGGGAAAGGCGGGATATCGAATCCAACGCAAGCACAAGGGCCCTCCCTCTAGCCTCTTTCCAACACCTTTTCTTCTTTCCAACAACTGCTACTCAAGAGATGATCGACGACGGTGGCGCGTACGTAACGGCTGTGTAAGGCCAAAAAGATAAGACATGTTCCGAATAACACCAGCCCGCCAATCGGGTACGAAATGAACTCCCCAAAGCCCGCCCAGTTTCATGAAAAAATGATCTTCGTCTGTTTTCGACCAATTCTTGTTGCCTGTCTATGTGCATTTGCCGTCTACTGCCCTATATTGCTCATCCTCCCGTGCAGTGGGCGTTGGATAGGTTGCGCGTACTTCGATACTGGGACCATGTCGTTTGGGAGCTCCTGCTCGTTGACGCTCTCGTTGTCGAGCTCGATGATCTTAGTCGGGACGTCAGGGATGTCGTCCTGCTTGTACGGTTGCAGGCTATGCCTGTCTGGGGTTGTCGAAGCGCTAGCCATCGACATTGATGTACTTGATCGGTTGTGGATCAGGTCTGGAGTAGGAGGGATGCTCGAGTTGCGGTTGGGATGCAGATAAGAATCCTCCTCTCCAAAGTCACTGCCCCGGCTAGAATGACGCTCGTGACCGTCCAAGGAGGCTGAGGATTGGCGCTTACGCCTCTCGCTGTGGTTGTCGTCTTCACTGTCCGCTTTTTGGGCGAGTTGCAGACCCTCCACGGCTGCAGCGCATTGCTCCGAGATGTTTCGGATGATGTATGCAATGGCGTCGGTCTTGTCCCGGAGATGCCTGTCAGCAACATCTGCCATGCTGAGAGTAGAGAAGCGCTTCCGCGAGACGGGGCTATTGAGTAGACGAGACTCCATGTCGGGTGAGACATCTTCGCCTTCGAGATGCTTGCCATCAACAGTGCTTGCGCGGCTGAAAGCTCGGGACGAGACGCGAGATTCTACGCCGGAAACACCGCGGATCGTACCAACTTCAGAAGCATCCTTCGCATCTGGATGCTCATACTCCTCTTCGGCCTCCTCTGGAACGTCTTCGAAACCTTCCTCAATGTAGCTCGTCAGCTCTGGGGTGGTGTTGAGTGACTTGACAATGTGCTCCATGTGGTGAGTCTGTCCGTCAATCAATGCGCGAAGGTGAAGCACCACACGCTGAGCCTCATCCCTCTGTCGTTGGATGGTGCTGTTAGTGTGTTGGAGAGCAGAAAGATCCTTCTTATTGCGCTTCCTCTCACGCTCAAGCTCCTCGGCAATTTCTTGCTGCAGGACCAAGGCCTCCAGGGCATCGTCACGCTGCTTCTCGGTTCCGGAAAGACGGACGGTGAGGCGGGCAGTGTCATCCTTCTGTTGATCAATAAGACCAGTAAGGCGACGGTTCTCGCGCTTGTGGCTCTCAATCTTAATCTTGAGGTCCTGGGTCTCCTTGGTGAGTTGCTCAGCGAATGCCTGGAACTTAAGGAATTGCTGCTTCCAGCTCTCCAACTCCTCAACCAAAAAGTTGTTCCGCTTGGAGATCTTGGAAACCTCGGTGTCCATGCGAGTCTTGAGATTGATGAAGTCTTGCCATGCCTCCATCGCATCGCGAGAGTATTGGTTACGCTCACGAACAATCTCGTTAAGATGCCTCATCGAGACCTTGGTCATCAGTGGCTTCTTGACTGAGCCACCAAAAATAGCCTTGACTCCGGTGTTACGACCCTATAGTGCAAGGTTAGCTTCTCCGTAATTGCAATGTTGGGGCTTCAGCACGAACCAATTTCTCGCACACGTGGTCCATGACCGTCATAACGGCATCCTGATTCCACCAGTCTGGGTCCTGGATGCTCTCCACCTCACCACGCATCACGATAATTTGACCAGCTGGGATCAACTTTCCGCCTCCGTATGCGGAACGCAGATGCTGTGGAACGCCAGTTGGTGCTACCTCCCCATTAAGGGCCTGAGTGAGACGGTTGATCATCTTGGTTCGCTGGCCAGGGCTGAGAGCAGTCGGGGGGCTGGACGTCAGCACGAAGTTCCGGTCCAAGTCGACGACCAATGCATCGGTAGGGGCGGTGAACAGGGTGCGGCACTCGGCGGTGATACCAAGAATGTAAGGGCCAGGTTCCTGTACCAAGTCCTTGACGTGGCGTGCATGAACCACAGGAACGTACAGACCGCTCCATTCGTACACACGCACGGAGAAACGAACGGTTTCCGCAGCGATGGTGAGCATTGCTGGGTAGTGGCTCACGAAAATGATGCGTCGTGTCGGTGAAACGGCGGCCTCAAGCACACCTACAATGTTGGGGATGGACAGGCACATGAAGAGCGGCCACATGGCGAAGTTCTGGAATCCAGTGGGCGAAGACGGGAACTGATAGCACAGAGCATAGTCCTTCATGTCGATACGCACGAGATCATTGAGTCTAGGAGCTGGGAAACTCAGGATTCGGGAAACCTCCTCTGCATGGAACAGATTGGTAGCCTTATTCCAGTGGATCCACATGCCGCGGAGGTAGTCGCCGAGCAAATTGTACAGCGGGTACCTGGAGAGGAAGCTCAAGCAGTAGGGAATCCAGTATGTCTCCTCGGTGGTGTCGAAGAAGTCGGGCTCGGTACGCTTGCGAAGATCGCGGATCGTCTCAGCTCTCTTCTCGTCGGCCCTGGACCAGACGCGGAGGGCAATTCCGTACAGAGTGTGGGACGAGTCTTGCTGGAGAACGAAGGAATGGTGAACGCAATGCGGCTGGCTCTTCCCAGTGCAGATCTCGACATCATGGGGAAAGCAGGCCTAGTAACATGAGCTTCTATGCTACAGACAACATGGGCTAAGAAATGAGACACCAACCTTCATAGCCGCATGGAGCGACCTTGCAATCTCATTGTCTTGCTCAAGTCGAGGGCTGCTTCCAAGAATCTCTGGAAGCCAGAAAGTACCAACAGCTCCCTTCATGTGGCCAATCTTGCCCTGGCTGGGCGACGGTGCCTTGACCCATTGAGACGGCTCTCTTCCAACACCACATACCATATAGGCGTGGGTCAGAGTCTTGGGTGTTCGCTGGCCAGGCTTGATGGTGAGGGTCGACGGCAGCGGCTGGGTGATTCGAGAATGCAGCGAGGAAGTCCTGCTGGGGATGATGAGGCTGTTGTCGCCCTGGTCCCGCGTGGGAGGGCGCTCGCCGGTGCGAGGACGAAGGCTGAGAGAAGGCGCCATAGTAGAAACGAGGGTATGGAACTGGACGATACTTGGTTGACGTGCTGGTTCAGCTACTGCGAGGCGGGCGGCAGCAAAAGGACAATAGCAACAAGCACCAGCTTTACGTCGACGCGTAAAGGGACAATTAGAAAGAAAGAGAAGCACCTGCGGGCAACGTCTCAGCCGGCAATTGAGGCGACACGGAGGTCACGATGCTGGAGCAGGCCGTGGACTGGCACGAGAAGAACGGAGGGCTGGAGGAGAGGGGATGGGGCGCAATTGAGGGTAGGCTGCTTGGTGAAGCTTGGGGGAGGGCCTCTGAGTGGCTAGTGCCATGCGCCAGTTTCGGCTCGAGGACGTGAAATGAGAACGGACAAGGGCCGCCCTGCAGCAGCACCCGCCGGGGGTTCCTGGTGGTGTCGGCGCTGATATGGCCTGGCCGAAGACTGCCGGCTGCGCTGTGCCCTGAGCCCCCAGGCACGCGCGATTCGGTGCGCCGTGATTGCGGTCCCAGCAGTTCCAAACCATCAGTGAACGACTTCTCCACCACCACCAATCGCAGTGCCTCGCCAATGTCGCATGCTGAACTACACGGCGCAAACCATCGCGAGTGTGATGGGCGAGTCGAGCAAACGACGTGCAGCTGCATTACCTGCGGGCACGCGGGGCGGGGATCGGGATCGGCTTGTGTTGGATGCGATGCTCAGAGGCGTGATACCGAATTGGAGCGGCATCTGCACGGTGCTGCAAGAGTCGACTAGGCCCATCCCAGGCCCGTCGCTTCCAGCAGTCCCGGGCGTGCTGCGGGCGTCGACTTGTGCGTGTGTGGGCGCTGGCGAATGGGCGGTTTTCCCCATGCGAAGTGCCCCTGATCATCGCTCGGCGTTGGGGCCCGCATCCAGAGCGCGCTGTGCCTCTCACGCCTCAAAGCGGCGCTCCCGTCACGGCCGCCGTGCTCGGTCATGGAGCTGCTGTGGAGGAGGCAGTCGGCGGCGACCCGCTGCCGTGCAGGCGGCACTAACAGGACTCGTTGCGCTCGTCTGCGCTCGTCTGCTCGCACGGGGACCAGAGATGCCACCTTCGCGCGGCGCCGTACCGGCGTGGCGTCTTGACTTACGTACCGTGGGTGACTGCTCAGATGTGAAACGCCCGCTGGCGGGAGGATGCAGCAGTGCGGGTCGCAGAGGCCGGCCCTCGCTGCGCTGGGAACGTGGTTCGGAAGTTTGAAAGATCGATAGACGTGAGCTAGCGGCCCACCTGAGGAATTCGGCATCCCGATCTGGCTTTATTCGATGCCAGCCCACCTCGCATCACGAAGGAGTCGCGAGGATGCCCTTGGAGACGGTGCTGGCGATGTGCGAGATTCACCACCACCAACAACCCTTACTGCAGCCACGGTCCTGCCTTCCCCGGTCCCGCGGTCCCATCCCGTCCCTGCGACGGCACTTCCGGCTCGAGTTCCAGGCTTGGCGCGATTTGCCCCCACTGAAGTTGGAAAACTCGGCAGGGTTCAACACGCATCAGGAGCATAAATCGCCGTGGCCGGACACCGCGACCAGCCAGCCTCACGTTGCACCACCGTACGGCATCGGGACCGGCTGAGATCGAGGCTTTTCAACCAACCGTTGTGCCCAAGAAGCAGTCCATCGCTGGCAGTGTCTGAGCCCTCTCGCCGCCGCGTTTCCATCCCTCCACGCCGACCCAACGCCCTGCGCCCAAGTCGGCCACGCTGTGAATGGTGGAAGGCGATTAATTGCTCAGCTCCTCTCCACCCCCGACCCTGCACTGGCCCCCGATCCGCGCTGCACTCTGCGTCGCCTGCATCCCGAGATCTTGCAAAGACTCCACCAGACGCCCGCCCGCGCCGACATGGCCGACCAGCCGCTGTTGAGTGCCCTGTGCAGCATCTGGTACGTTGCAAGCGTGCTTTGATATGACGCCTTACACCACCGCTCCCTTACTGTAGAAGCTAACCTGCCCAAGCAACAACAACCCTCCCAAGTACCGGTGTCCAGGGTGCTCTGCCAGAACGTGCTCGCTCCCGTGCTACAAGCGGCATCAGCAGCGGGCACAGTGCGATGGCAAGCGGGATCCGACCAAATATGTCAAGAAGAACAAGCTACACACGGCTGCTGGCGTTGACCATGACTACAATTTCATTGCCGGCATCGAGCGAGGACTCGACAAGGTCGACAGACTAATGGAAGAGAGCAGCATTGGCGCTGTTAACCGAAGTACCAAACTCCCAGGTAGGAATAGTAATTTTGAAAAACGCATTCAAGAGGCAGGAGTCATCATCGATAGGGCTCCTGCTGGGATGAGCAGGGAGAAGAACAATCGCACGCGTATATCCAATAAGAGGTATGCTAAATTTCCACCCTCTCACTGCCGTCACCTAACAAAATGATAGGGGCAAACACCTTATCTGGACAGTGGAGTGGATACACGAGGATGAACGACGTCAACTAGGCGAGCTCTCTGAGAACGTGGCACTCTCTGAAGCCTATAAAACCCTAGTAACGCAGCCGCCACATCCCTCGAAGAAACGCAAATTAGGACCAGAAGTTGACACGGCCGGCTCTAAACAACGAAGTGATCAGCAAGACCCTGATGCAGATTCGAAAGAAACAGAGCTGAAATCTGAGCCAATCGAGGAATCCGACCCCCAGCACCCCGGAGCACCATCCGAAACTGGAGCAATACCATCCATAGCTGGAGCAATACCAACCGAAGACCGCTTAATCGGATCGCACGATCTGTCCCGCCAGTCCGGCAAAGCTTACTTCTATCTTGTGAAACCGCATACCTCCAGCAACCGGCGTGTCCTCGTTCCCCTCACCGCGGACCAACAGTTGTCCACATGTTTACAGAACCGCGTCGTTTTCGAGTTCCCAACCATCCAGATCCTCTCCACGCCACCGGAGTCGCTCCCGCCCCAATTCCAGCTCGATAGTGACTATCTCGAGCAGGAGCGCAGGGAGCAGCTGGAACTCGGAGAGCTGCTGGCGTTGGTCAAGCCACTGGACGGCATGCCGATCGATGGTGATGTGAAGACCGAAACCGGTACGACCAGCATCGCCGGCCTCGATGATAAGAAGATCTTGGAGGTGCTACGGCGGGACCTGGGGACCCGTTTCTAGTGTGGCACTGAGGCATGCTGCTGTCAGGCGTGTAACGGTGGTGAGTGGATGCAAACGCACCTAGATGACGTACAGTTGCAGCACCGCATCCACACATCACGGTCATGTGGTTGACGATACCGATTGCACTGCAGCTTTTACCGCGCAGTTGCATGATAAGTACATGTACTTGTGGTTGATGAACAGCTGTACATCTAAGCGACAGAGGTCCAGCCACGCCATGGTTTGTGGCGAGCTGGAGTATGCGATAGCCGCTGCTTTGAGCTGGCTGGTGTGTTGGCGTAGCGCGATCGGCCCTGCATGCGCTACATCTAGGTAGGTAGATAAGCTTCCCGAGGCGGGGCGAGGAGCCTGGAAGCTTCATGCCACTGCCGACACCGATGATCAGACGTGTATCTTGAGGATGGTGCAGCGCAGAGACTCTAGGCGTGTTGGAGATATGGCTCTTTGAGTGCGTATATTTGGGAGGGTGCTAGTACAGCATCGACAATAGAAGTCAGCTACATTCAACCTCAAGCATTTCGCTTTCACAAGAGCTTCTTAGACGTCATATCTCATTAACCCACAGCTACCTGTTCTCACCAGTATCGATAAGCAACCTATGCGCGGGGTAGCCATCGTGTCTTTGCTGCTTGAGTAGCCAATCGTATCGAATGTACCTTTGTAGATCTAGTGACAGAAACAGTCTCATGGTCCATTCTGTGTCTAAACATCATTCGAGAAGTCTTCAACCCATTAGGAACGGATATAAACACTTCGATGATTGTAGATTTTCCCTCGGGTAGCATTCAAGTCAAATTCTGGTTCCAAATGAATATTGGATATGACTAATGATACTGAACTCAGGATTCTATACATTCTACATACGTCACACTTCTTTTGATCTGACTGTCTAAATACAGTAATTCATAACCGGCTGAAATTTCTTGAATCTTGAGTATGGTAAGATGGCTTCAGTGCTTATTTAAAGTCTCGTTTTGAAGGAGACGTCAAAGGACCCACCAACCTCAACCGCGTTCTTCCTTCACTAAGCCAAACAACTACGTCCTGCAAAGTAGACGCTTGAAGCAAACCCCCAGGCCCAAAAAAAGCCGAGCAAGGTCACTAGATCTTGATTTAAACAGGTTGCGTAAAAATGCTCATTCCACAATCACGCTCTCAACATCCCTCTCCCTTCGCATTTTTACAACCCCCACCCCTTCATGATCCCAAGCACATAAGCCTCCCCAATAACCCCAAACCCGCCTCCCCTCTCCCCACCCTCCTCACCCAACCCTCTCACCACAAACGGCGCCTCACCCCCCTCAAGCACACAAACCCAACCTCCCCCAACCTCCGTCTCAAACGGCACACGCCCACAGTAACCCCCTGTCGCAACCACACAAACGCTCGCCCACGACACTCCGTAAACCGCCGAATCCGTAACCAGCTTCCCACCCACCCACCCACCCCATCCACCCCCTCCTCATCCATCCACCCCGCTATTCTCATCCTCGAACGCATCAGACACGCCGCCGCCCCTCACCATCCAAGTCTCGAAATCCTCACACCGCGCTTCTAGGCGGCACTTCCGTGTACCGAATCGGGGAGATTCGTCATCAGGGTCTGCGAGAAGGCTTCCAGCCTCCCCTTCTCCCCGTCTACCCGTCTACATGTGATTGTTAGGGATCGGAGAGCTCCGCCGCTTCCCGTTCTCTGATACGCGGTAGGGTCTGTGCCGGCCGCGCGCGCGCGCGCCGTCATGTTCTCAGGTAGCGACGCTACTCGAGGGTCGAAACTGGTGTAGGAGGCCCCCAGGGTGTAGAAGAGAGAGAGAGAGGCGGACTCGGGGTTTGGAATGAGGGAGACGGTGCGGCGTGGTGCGTTGTGATGGGAGATGGTGGGTGTGCCGGGCTGGAGGGGTCTAGGGTACGGATTTCTTGGTGGGGTTCGGAGAGGGGGGGCGGAGCGGATGTCATGATGGTTGTGTGTTGCTTGGTTGGTAGAGAAGTAGGCGGAGGTTGAGATGGACGAAAGGAAAGCTGAGGGGGACTTTGTGCGGGGGGTGGCTAACGGAATGGCGCTTCCTTGTGCTTTCTTCTTCAGAGGAAGTAGGACCGTCTGAGAAGCGACGGCTGTAGGTGCATTCAGGTTTGGGTAGGTTATGGAGCTAATTGTGGAAAGGCTGTGAAGTTGAAGAAGGACCCTAGCGGGCCTAGTGGAAGTAATGTTGAGCCCAGCTTCGCGTATCCGAGACGGTGAAAGGCGAGCATGAATATTTCCCTGAAGCTTCACACGGTTGAAGCATCCCCGTGGTTACCTTTGCAGGCTCCAAACAGAGACAGTTCAAGTGTCCAATTCTCGACGTGCTGGAAATGCCGTGCGAGACTTAGTCTATATCACAGTATCATCTTCGAATCCCTTCACTGTGAGGACCACTAGCGATTATTGCTCGGAACACACGTAGTCCAATTTAACCTCGCCGTCCTCTCTCCAAATCCCCGTTTGTGCAACAGCCTAGGGCCCCTACCGTCAACCTCTTTCTATTCCTCCATCTGGCTTCCATAATCCGGAGAACCCTGACTCGGCACCCAGTCAGACTAATCTACCAAGTGGCGAGCCGCCCTGGCAGTCTTGAAATCCAAGGGGTGTCGCAGTGCCACCATGGGCAGGCTCCGAGCCACGCAGCGTCAGAGGCTTATGCACATAGGAAAGCTTGTTGTATTACCCCGGAACAAGGTTCTTCGGCAGTTTCGTCTGAGCGGGGTTTGGGGATGTTGCGGACAAATAGTGGGAGTTGAGAGGGACGAGTATATATATGAGACGGAGTAGTTGTGAGGAATAGAAGGAAGGTTCGAGAGCCAAGGCGGAGTGGTTACTTTTTTCCAAGATGTGATGTACGGAATTAGCCAGAGTGTGTGTAAGATGATGGCAGGACGCATATTCTCCATCCTCACCCCGCTCTGCAACTGCAAGATCACACAATCTCACGCCACATACACACTCGTGCAGCATTCTCAAGTTCTGCATGTCGCTAAAGTGAAACCGTGTCGCTGACGAACATTCGAGGAGATCGAGGCTGCTGTAGGGGTTGCTGGGTGCCTGGTCGATATTAGCATGCTGGTATAGGGCTGGAGGGATTCAGCGCGGGGCAAGCAGGGTCCTGTTGCTGCGAGCGGGGTTCGCTCTTTGATATGACGTATACCCAGATCATACTCGGATGCCGGAGGATATTGGAAGGCGAAACGATAGTGTGGATACGGCACGCTGAAAGCAGAATGATGTCAAGGTCAGACGGAACGATTTTTAAGCCGTGGTGAGGTTATTTAGTGATTGGACTAGGGCGGTCATGCGTCATTACCGGGGTGGATGTGTCTGGATTGAATGAGGTGCATAATTGAATCTGAACCACTTGAATAAGTGAAGCGAAGTCACCACGAAACGCCAAATCAACATTTCGTCTTGGACATCTACCACATTGGTATCTTTTGGCTAGCGATTGTGACTGAGGACAAGCGAGGTGATGTGATAAGTTGACTGCAGGATGACAGTCTGATCGAGGCTGATAGAAACGATTAGACTTGATTTGAACTGGTATAGAGCAAAAAAAGAATGACTTTCGCTGACCAAAAGCAGGCTTCTTGTCTCGGCTCCGCGTTTTGACTCTTGAGCTGATACTTATAGACAGGGAACGTATATAATAATGTAGCAGTAGAGCGGTACCTTCCGGTGACTAGTGAAGCAAAAGAAATGAAGAAGTTGTCGAAATCGCTATAAGGCTTCGCATATAGTGTTGAACATGGTACTAGGGACCTCACAAAAGGGTACTAGGATAGACCTTGTTTCAGCGAGACGAATCTGATCAGATATGCAAGCAGTCACCAGTCAGCGCACCATCCGGTCGTTCGGAAAGCCCCAGTGGTGATCTTCTGAAAGACGAGACGTGCTCGACAAGGGCTCCGGAACGAAAGGTGGTCAGATAACGGTGCTTGACGTGCCAATTGATAACCATTGACAGTCTCTCGTATGTACAAGGATGAGGCAATACGAGAGTGATTCATGCGGCTGAATGAAAATGAAAGCGGCAGCAGGTTCCGTAGTGCGAAAGTTGTTTTTGGAGAATTCAACGCTTTGAGACAGTTCAAGCAGGATCAAGATGTATCAGCCAGGGACTCCTTAGAGGACAAAGGAGCCTGCAGTGAGGCATGGATGGGAAATCGCGGCAACAAGTAGTATGCGCCCCGCATGACTCTCAGACCACATTACCCCCTGTGCTCTGCAGCGGTTGAGGCGTGTGGATGCTGGGGTTTACGTTGGCCCAACTGGGTGAGGAGGGTCAGGTTTGCTTTTGAAATATGGACAAGAACGTGTTAGAAGGGCGATATCTGGCAACGGTTAAGGTCCGTGAGCAATAGCTGTGAAACCTCAACGCATGGCATGCAGAGGGTGGCAAGTAGTGGTACAGCATGCTTGACAGCCCCAGGCAGCGATTGTACGACAAGATCGACGTCCGACACACTCCATACCACGTACTCGGTCTAAAGAGTGGATCGTGAAGTTGAGGCCGATGTTTTGCCAGGACAACTACCTACATATTTGGCCTGGCGGTGGGCGTTACCAATGGCGACGGAGTGGCACTGTGGCACCTCTGCGAGCCGCAAGTCGTACGACGGGCGTTCTTTAGCAGTTTGTAGCCTCTGCAGAATAGCACAGCAGGGGAGTCTAGGTGTGGTACTAGAATTCGTAGTGGCGCACGCCCTGCGGCAAAGGAGCTGGCGGGTGGTTCCTTGGTTGCGTAAGAAAAGGGGTCTCTGCCGGAGGCTGGGGCTGGCAGCTGGCCATCAGCCACGCGAGAGGGCAGATCTCCCTACAACGGTGCGCGCTGGAGGGGATTGCAGCGTTTCGACGGCGAGTGTCCGGCACAGGGCAGCTGAAGCCAGACCACTCGAGCTGGATGGCGTGCCATACAGAGGTACCAAAGCAGACATGCTCTCGGACAGGCCGCCGACGTCCAACAGCACCATCAGATGCCAACACCAGGGGCAGCTGCAGCGTGTCACTGTGCTAAGCAGGGAGCCTGCGTTCGCGGTCGCCTCAAAATGTGGAGGCTGGGATGGCCGTTGATGAAACACGCCTCTAAGCCGCAGCGGGATAGCGGATCGGAGGAGTTGTCACGCGAGGCATCGTGGGATTTGCCGCGATTCATGGCGCGATAGAACGACTCGCAAAGTTACGTTCGCGGTGCTGCTATCGACGCTCTGGGCCGTCGTCCCGCGCCGGAGTGGGAGGGGAGGAGTTGGAGATCCAGACGAAGACGCTCACGATGCAGGGTGTCTGTAAGCTGCATGAGAAGAGCGGTGCTGCTCCCAGGAGAAAAGCGTTTCTGCACGACCAATTTCCTCAGCAGCGGATCGGCAGAGCGCACCTGGGTAGTTATGTATGCTATGTCAGTGGAGCAGAATTGTGCTGGAATGAGGCGCGGACGAGCTGCGATGTGATGTCTCTGCTGCCAATCTCCTCGGCGTGTGGCATCCATCGGGAGCGCACTCGCCCGCTGTGCGCCGTAGGACAATCCTCAGCGTCGAGGAGGCATCACGCTGCGAACACGCCGCGGGTGAATGTCTGTCTGGAGCGCATCTATTGCAGCACAGCACAACAACAAAACGCGTCGCGATCACGCCCGCAGCGCCCACCACCCACGACCCTGCCACAGCGGCCGGCGCAGGGGCATCTCCAGCATCTTGCGCAGCCTAGCCGCTCCACCGTCGCCCATGCTTGGCGGCTTTTCCGCGCCCACGCAGCCAGCAGCTCTCCTATCACCTCTGTTACCCCTGGAACTAGTTAGCCCCCGAGCAGCGTGCACTATCCCTCCTCCGCAACGGTGCCTGCGCGCGCCCATCGCTCGCAAAAAAACATCGTCGCCCTCGGCCTGCACTCCTCATACTTACATTCACTCCTCCCGCCCGCCATCCTCTCTGCCGCATAGTGCTGTTACGGCCCGGCTGCTCTCCCGCCTACAGCCAGCGTCCACGTTGCGCGTCGCTTCACCAACCATTTCGCATGCCCAGCCACAACTCTCCCCACCCACCTACCTGCGACCCGGCAATTCTCCCACGGCACCCAGCTGCTTAACCAGAGCACCCAAGGAACCATTGCGCACGCCCCTCCACCGCCCAAGAGCGGCCGCCTGCCCGCCCACATGGCATCCTCACCTCCCGGGTCTCCAGCTGGCGGGATCCAGCGCCCCATGTCTGCCATGATCCGCCCGAACCGCAGCTCAAGTCGCATGAGCATGAGCAGCAAGCACGGCGGCGGCGGCAGTCGCGCGTCTGACGAGGACGGCAAGACTGCAGTGAAAGTCGGTAGGTTGGCGCGTATACACATGCACCCTTCCCCGCGACGAGCATCAACAACTGACGTCTAATGCAGCTGTCCGCGTCCGACCTCCACTTAAACCCTCAGATCCAGGCTACGAGCTCGTGCCCCAGCGATTCCGCGCCTCGACATGTGCTACCGCCACCGAAACAAATCTCACCGTCGAATCCGCCCAGGGCAAGAAGTTGTTTGTGTTTGATCGCGTCTTCGGCGAGGACACCGACCAAGAAGGCGTGTGGGAGTACCTCTGCGAGAGCGTAAACTCTTTCGTGCAGGGCTACAATGTCTCCATCCTGGCCTACGGGCAATCGGGCGCTGGAAAGTCCTATACCATGGGTACCACCGGACCCGCCGAGCAAGCCGATCCAAAAATCATGGGTATGGCCCATTTCGAATCTCTTGGCCTTTCTCTCTTGGCCTATCCATCTTCGACTCTCATAGTCTCTGCGCAGCACTACGCCATGGTTGTGAATGTCCGCTAACGACCCTTCAGGTGTCATTCCTCGAGCTGCGGATTTGCTGTTCGAGAAACTCACAGGAAGACCGGCCGGACGCAGGCCCGGTACAGGGCTTCGTGCCCCGTCCAGATACTCCACAGTTGGCCTTCCAGCCGCGTCGAATCTCTCAAAGCCTGCAGACAAGAGCTGGCAGTTGAAGGCCACCTATGTTGAGGTACTGTTTTCCAATCAAGGCACGCGGCGTACATCTAACCTGTATTAGATATACAATGAGCAGCTACGAGATCTTCTGGTCCCCGAGCATGTTCCTATGCACGAACGCACCACAGTGTCCATACGAGAGGATACTAAAGGCAGGATCCTTCTGACAGGACTCACCCAAATTACCATCAACTCAGTCGAGGACTTGCTCAACGCACTGAATTTCGGTTCCTCTATCCGACAGACAGACGCGACGGCTGTTAATGCTAAATCCTCCCGTTCACATGCGGTATTCTCCCTGAATCTTATCCAGAAAAAGAGCTCCACTGCACCCACTTCCGCCCGAGAAAAGCGATTTTCGGTACCAATTGAGGCCATGTCCGGTGGTAACGAGAACTGGGTCACGGTGGACAGCAAGCTCCATTTCGTCGATCTGGCTGGGAGTGAGCGGTTGAAGAACACGCAAGCCCTCGGAGATCGAGCGAAGGAAGGGATTTCGATCAATGCTGGTCTTGCCAGTCTAGGGAAAGTTATCTCGCAGCTGTCGTCCCGAGCAGCTGGATCACACGTTTCCTACCGCGATTCGAGACTCACCCGGCTCCTTCAGGACTCTCTCGGAGGTAACGCCATCACATATATGGTGGCATGTGTGAATCCCGTCGAATTCCATCTCAGCGAGACACTGAACACTGTCCAATATGCGCAGCGAGCCAGAGCTATTCAAAGCAAGCCGCAAATCCAGCAAACCTCCGACGACAGTGACAAACAAGCAACAATCGAGCGGTTACGGGCAGAAGTGTCTTTTCTGCGTGATCAGATCCGATTGTCCGAGAGGACAGAAAGAAAGAAGAATGCTCCCCAAGAGAGGGCCGAACGGCAGAACGAACGCGAAGCCGATCTCCAGAACCAGCTGTTGGATATGCAGGAGAACTTTTCAAAGCTTAGTAACCGTCACGCAAAGCTCATCTCTGAAATCTCGAAAGTTCGCGAAGGCGGCAACTCCGAAGACACGCCGACCCTCAAGGATACGATAGGCGACAACGCGCTAGAGAGGCTGAAACGGTCCAGCTCGTTTGCTGAAGCTGTGGAGCAGGTAGTGTTGGAATACGAACGGACTATCCAGTCTTTGGAGGCAAACCTGTCTAATACTAGGAGTTCTTTGTCCAACAACGAAAGTTCATTGCTCGAAAGGGAGACGAAGATCGCGTACCTGGAGAGCCATGCCCAACAGCTTCAGGCTAGAATCCAGAAATCTGCGGATCGTGAAGCAAACAACGAGCAATATCTGCGCGACCTCGAGGCTAGAGTAGATGGTGTGATATCTGGGGAAGAGAAGAGCAGTACTGTTATTCAAGAGCTCCGGAAAGAGCTGGCGAGAACTAAGGAGAATGAGGCTAGCTGTGAGGAGTACATTTCTACGCTCGAAGAGCGGCTCGCAGAGGCGGATCAGGACCATGAGATGATGCAAAGAGAGATTGATCGCCTAACACACGTTGTTGAACGCCAGCGAAGCATAGGGAAGCTCGACAATCTGCTCTACGAGCTAGATGACATCCGCCGCACCGACGCCAACGACACCGAATCGCTTGTAAACGGGCACTCGAAGAAAGATAGCGACCCATTCCTCGAGAAGAGGTCTTCCGTCGGGAGCAGTACTAGGCAGCTGAATGGCCATGTCGAGTCAATCGAAGAGGAGGATCTCGAGCGACCAACGTCTGCCGGAGCCTCTGAATCTCACGCCGTTGATGGGGAGCGAACCGAGGACCACGAGCACGAGCAAACCGAAAGCTTAGCCCCTACGGAGTTGAACGATCTAACTCAAAGCCCGGCGCAATCAAAATTCGTTGCCGACAAGCTTGAAAATGTCACGCAGGAGCTTTTCGATCTGCGCATGGAGCACGAAACTACTGTCGTGGATTTTGAAAAGCTCGCCAATAAGTACCAGGAAGCACTGCGAACTTTGGCTGCACTACAGGATACTGTGGATGAAGCGCGCCACCGTACACCTTCCTCTACATCATCTCGACCATCATCTTTTTTAGCGGACGCGGGGGTGAACGGGCTAAGAGAAGCAGACGGACAACCGTCATCCTCGCGGACCTTGTCATCGGAATTGTCCTTGCTTGGGGAGTCTACTGGTGCCTCCAATATGGAGGACGACTCGTTCAACACAGCCGACACATCTGATGCTGAGACAGCGCAAGTTAACGCCGGTTTTGCGGACCACTCGGAGGCGCAGGACGAGGCCACACTGGCTCAGGAGATGGAGATGTTGAAGAGATTGCATGCAGAGAAGGAGCAGCGTGTTGCAGAGCTCAATCGCAGCTATGAGGAGCTACACGAGAAACACCAAGACACCCTTGACTACGTCGAGGAGCTGAAGTCCGAAGTTCAGAAGGCCCAGATGGCTCGCCCGTCTTCACCTACGATACAGATTATCCGTCGCAAGTCGAGCCAGAACGTCGTTGCTACTGATCGGGCGAATCGTTCGTTTGCGTCGCTTCGTAATCTGGCCCTCGAGAACTTCGAAGATCAGCCCGACGTTATCCAGAATTTCGAAGTGAACCTCAACGCCATCATGACAGAACTCCACTCACGTTCAGAGCGTGTCACAGCACTGGAGAACGAGGTTGCATCAGTGCGCAAAGAAATGGAGAGCAAGATGAAGTTCATTAGTGGCCTTCAGAAGGAACGGTCCAGCTTGAAAGCATCTTCCCCACTGGACATCTCTGTCGTGTCTTCCATGCGCGATCAGTTATTGCAGAGTGAGGGCCAGATCGAAGCGCTCAAGGAAAGCCACTCTAGCCGGGAACAAGAATTGCAGAATCAGGTTGAGAGCCTCAGGTCTTCTCTACGGGCTCACAACTTACCGGAAGAGCCCGCGTCCCCGATGCCCGGCCAATTTGTCGAGACACCCGCCCCAGAGGCATCCCGAGAATTAGGATCTGCCAACGCCGAGAGCCATCAGAAGCAAATCATCGAACTCCAGGAAGAAGTTCAAAAGTGGCAATCCAAGCACGACGCTAGCGTGCAATCTATGAAGCAGTCCGAAAGGGACCTTCAGGAAACCATCCGAAATTTGGAGACTGAGATGCGTAACATGCAGGCTCAGAATGTGGCACTGGAGGAGCAATCGGGAGCGCAACATGGAGAAGTTGTGGCCAACCTGCAACAGGAGATCGACCATCACAAATCTAAAGCTGCTAGCAATGCAGCTCGTCTTGCCGAACTCGAGCAGTCCCACGCCAACATCATCAAGCAGGTTGAGGAGGACTCCAACTCAAGGGAACTCACCGAGAAAGAGTTGCGTACACACCGGTCTTTGGTGTCGAACCTAGAGAACCAGCTTGAGGAGCACAAGTCTGCCATGGCTATCAACCAGCAAAGCCTCGAATCCATGAAGGAGTCTCATGCGAATCAGCTAATCGCTGTTCAAAATGAGTCGAATGAGAAGCTTGCAGCTCAATTGAGCGAGCATGCTGCCGCCACTGCTGCGCTCAAGGAGGAGCTAGCGAAGGCGCAGTCTCAACACCAGGACAGCACATACATCATTCAGACAGAGCTCGAGAAGGCCCAGGGAACATTGACCAACCTTCTGGCGGCTGCTTCCAAGGTATTGAACGAGGACACAGATGCGGACAGGCTCCAGTCTCACCTTGAATCACTTGTGGAAGGCAGAAAGACTCTCCTCGCTCAATACGAGCAAGCCTCTAAAGACTTGGAGGCTGCTCGGGCCGAGCTTTCAACCGCGGCAGCTAATGTCACTGCTTTGGAAAGTGCAGTTGGGGAACTCAAGTCTATCAATGCAGATACCTTGAAGGAGCTTGAGAAGGTCAGTGAGAAGGAGAAGAAGAGCTCTAACTTAGTACAAGAGCTGGAAGACCAACTCAGCCAGAACTGGGATCAGCATGAGATGGCCAACAATAGGCTTTCCGCACTCCAGACCGAACGTCAAGTTCAGTACGAGGGGATCAATCAAGCAAAGCATGAACTAGAGCGACAATTGGACGAAGCTCAGGCGAGAATCGCACTGCTCGAGTCCCAGCTTGGAGATACAAAGCGCAATTCGCAACACCGCGAGTCTCTGGACCCCAGGGATGCCTCTCTTCAGCGATCGAATTCTGCAAACTCCAACCTCCGAAAGAGCGCGTCTCACACTTCTCTACCATCACCTCCACCAGCGATTCCCCTGCCGCCGCTCCCAGGAAGCCCTCCACCAACTGGTGTCAATGCTCCTTCACCGCCTACATCTCGTCACCAGAGCAAAGACATCGCACATGCGCAGCTAGTTGAAGATCAGGAGGCCCGCATTCGAACCATAGAGAAGCATCTATTCGCCGAGAAGCAGCTTACTGCTACCCTCGAAGATGCCTTGACTGACCTCGAGTCGTCTAGCACGAAGACGAAGGCGGAGATGGAGTCATGGAAGAAGAAGTGCAACACACTAGAAGAAGAGGTTGTTGCCATGAGGAAAGAGCGTAGCCTCGCCCGCCACTCGCTGCAAGCAGTTGAGGAAGAACGAAGCGCTAGATTGCGTGTTGAAGCCGAACGTGCCCACCTTGAGGCTCGAATGGCAACTCTGAGCAAGAACCAGAACAAGAAGAAGTCGAAGGGCACACTCAACTGCTTCTAGTTGGATCTGCAGCACAAACTTGACGGCGCTCTGAGACGGAGCAAATCAGATCTCCAAACGATACATCTCACCCCTTTTTGCACACGTTCACGACACCGACCTTTTTTTCGGATTCTTTGGCGCTATTCGGACGACGGAACACTGTTTCATACCCCCATACAACATACTTTTTGCTTCTTGCCTTCTTTGCACATCTTCCGGTTGCAAACATGTCGTTACGTAGACGATCTGAAACGATGCTTTTGGACCAGTTCATACCCTCCAACCTGTTTTCCAATGCTGGCGAGGAAATTATGGTCAAATCGAAACGGAAAAGCTTTTTCTAATCGCACGAAGACAAGCGAATCCTCATCTCTTTTCCTTCCTTGATGTCTTTCTGTAACTCTTTAACCCAGCACAAACCTTTCAATACCCTTCACCCAATGTCTTTTATGCCGAATCTTGCCTTCACACACCCTCCACATTTTGCTTGGTGTTTGGTGGACTTTACAACTTTTATTAAACAAGCGGCTTTATGGGACTTCTTCTCTTTCTGGGGCCTCCCCTGTCTTTCTACTTTCCTTTCTTCAACGACATAATTCGAGGCTTACCGGTAAAATTGTCTCTTGGAGGAAGGGATGGGGAAACACAAATCTTTTCTTCTCTTTCCTCATTCAGTGGGAGAGATATGGCGGGGAATATGAGAATCGAGCTAATTACGGGAAAGAAAGAAAGAAATCACACATTTGAAATGAGCGAAGGAAGGAAGGATGAAATCATCCGGCTTGGGAGCATATTCCCCCAATTTCAGTGTTTCTTGCTTGTTCTTGCTATTTTGCGGCTCCTCTGGCCTGGCGAGAAAGTAGATAAGCATTTTCTACGAGCTGCCTTTGTGTGCGGCGACGGACCGGTTGCGTGCGGTTAGCTGCTCAGTTACATACCCCCTCCCTTACAAGGCCGTCTTAGATAGCTTTTTGTGTGCGTGTGGTTTCTTTTTGAGAGTCAAATGGAGACGGTTCTTATATTTTCTTTGCTTCCTCTATGACGTGACGACGTGACTAAATGGCATTTCTTGTTAGAGTAATATGAGCCGCACACCATTTCCACAGAATTCCTTCATCCACAGCCGCGATCCACCACGATCAAAGCCAGCAAATAGGCGGACACCACGTCTTCCCAACTCGTCACTTCAGGCATGGTGGCTATGCGCTCTCAGATTGCCCGGGTGGTTTTCCGATAAATCTGGATCGTGTGCGGCACGATACGCGTCCGGCATGCACGGGCTATCGCTTGCACGGATCGCCCAAATGTGGATCTGAGCGCCTTTGGTGATGGGACTCCCCCGAAAGAAAGCAAAAGAAAAAGAAAAGAAGCGAAAATGTGTCTAACTACGGATGGTGGTCAGTCAGCTGGAGCGAATTCCTGTCGAGGATATGCACGAAAATGTGGTGAGGTGTACTTCCTAGGAACCACGCACGCCCACGCTCGAACTCACGGTTTTGCAAGCGAGCTTTTCTATCTCTGTCTTCACACGATACACGAATAGCTGTTTTTCCCAGTTTTTTTTTATCAGTCCTCTCAACCCTCTCAACCCTTCTCGTCCTTCCAACCCCCTCTCTCCCCCCCCCCCCCCAAAATCCTAAACTAAAGTAACCACCCCACTCTCCCCTTCCTACCCGCCCCCAACAACCCCAACCCCGCAGAATGACCAACGAGCCCGAGACCTGGCTCGTCTGGGTGTGGCGCTGGGTACGGCATCCCATTGTCTCAGCCACTGGCGGGTTCGACGGAGCCTGAGGCTGCTTCATCGGAGCCAAGCATCATACCGACGGGGACAGAGGGCGAGGCTGAGGAAAGGGTGGTGGTGCCGCAGGTGAAGGCGGGCGGGCATCAGGTGGGGTTGGCGTTGGAGTTGGAGCAGTAGGGGGGAGAGAGAGGTGGTTCGGGGGGTTGATAGGGTATGTGGGAAGAGGAGGGTGGAAGGCAGAGGGTGGAAGGTAGAGGGTGGAGAAGAAGGGTAGAGGGTGGAGGGTGGAGAAAGAGGATGGTTAGATGTGCGAAGCGAACAAGAGTTGATGTTTCTTTCAGGAGCCAACGAAGGGGCGACGAGGGGAGACAATGGTGCATCCTATGGAGCGGATATGGAAGCATCTGTGGATCGAGTTGCAATTGGTTGTGTAGAGGGGGTTGGCCGTAGGACTGAAGGATGTTATTATGGTACAGACGTACGATAGACGAGAGGGGTGCCGGGCCCGTTGTTACTCAAGAGGATGGTCTAGTCTTCTATTGATTCATGTCGTTTTATTCTTAACTTATGAAACGTCGCCTGAGGGCAATCCGCGCCATACGCCCCAAGAACCTGCTCTTCCAAACTTCTAGTCCTCACCATGTCTTCCTCAGCATCTCAATCCGACGAGGAGGCACCCTCCCTGTCTCTCTCTGATTACAAAACGGCGAGAAGTTCCATCAAGTCTATCTCCCGTTTACTGTCTAAGAGCACCTACCAGAATATGCAGGACGAGACGGAGCTCTCCCGCCAACGCTGGGAGCTAAAACTCTACATTAGCGACATGATCGACGCATTCCGCCGCAAGGTCGCGGCGGGCGCCGAGATCCCGACCGAGATAGAGGTGTATCGGCGGAAGTTTGCGTCGCGGGTGGAAAGTCGAGCGAATAGCTCGAATACCACTCCGGAGAAGCCGACTTCTAATTCAGTGGGAGTTGCGAACGGGCTAAGCATCAACATGGATCGTGTCAGCCCATGGAGAGAGCTGTTGGGGGAACGTTCTGAGGTGTTGCAGAAGCTGGAGACGGTTGCTGCGTCGGCGGATGACAAGAGCGGATGGTTGGCGAAGCTGCTAGATAAGGAGTATTGGCGGGAGATGGGGTCTTATGAGAAGTGGGCGGGCATGTATGAGTTTGTATACAGGAGGAGTGTTGAAGAAACAGCAAAGCAGAGGAGGGACGTGGTGCCGAAAATTGCGGTGGAGGGGATTGGAAAGGAAAGTGAAAATGGGATGGAGCCGATAGGGTTGGGTTTAAGGTTCATAAAGGGAGAGATTTGAGTATTTCGGGGCGTAGATAAGTTGGCTTATGACATGAATGGTACGAATCGAGAAATCTATGCGGTGAGTTTAAAGGGTGGCCAGATGTAAACTAAAACGGCAAGGCTGGATGCCATTCTAACGTGTGAAATTGAACTGTTTCCATTAAGACCATTTGAAACCGTACGATTGCATGATCGCGACTTGGGGTATATACTTTGTAGGAACCTTCCGTTCCTGATGGGATATAAACAGATTTCGAGAGAACGCTGAAAATCGTCGTGTACAACACGAAGCTTTACCGTTTGTCTTCAATTCAACTTTCAACGATGTTGATGCTACTCACCGTCTAAGCACACGGACTAGGCTGTTGGTCCTAGTAATGGCGAAGTGCCCGCGGGCTTCCTGGGCTTGACGCGTTGCGTACTTAGTGAACGGTAGTTCTGCCGTGGTTTGAAGACCGAAGGTTGCGATACCGCCGTTTTCAAGCATTGGCTCAGCTTTCCACCTCAACTTTCTCCAGCGCCTCCAGCACTTCCTCAGCTACGCCTCCTTTTTCGACTACGATCTTTAGAACTCTTCCAACCAAGTTCCTCTTGATACCACCTCTTGGCGGCGTCCACACACCTAGCAAACTCATTGCTTCGCGCTGAGCCATAGCATCCGTACTTGAAACCGGAACAACGCCTCCAGTGGCCGAGTTGAGCAGGTTGGGAATACCTGGGGGTGTAAGACGGGATGGAGGGTCAATCGTCCGGATTGTAAGTAGGCGGACAGCTTCGGACGTCTTGGATTGTGATGCTGCGCATGATACTGCCAGCACAGCTTCGGCTACTGCTAGTTCCTCTTTGCTGGGATCGAATATGATGTTTTGGCCAACTGCCATGACGAGTAGAGTCACGGGAGGCTTGTCTAGATATGCGCTGTAGGGCTTCTGGCGGCCCGAACGGGGGTATATAGGCGTGGATGCCTCCCAATCGTCGTCGAAGAGGGGGTCTTCCTCTTTCTCGGACTTCAAAGCGGGGAGGCGGGCGGAGAGGAGGGCGAGGTGGGTGGTCAAAGACAGGAGGGGTAGAGGGTATGAGAGTGGAGGAGAGAGGAGGAGAATCTATGCTTGTGTTAGCTCAAGCGCCTAATTGCTACCATGTAGAGTACTCACATCGACGTAGAGCTTCCAGTGGAACCGTTGGTTGATGTAAAGCCGGTCTTTGAGGTCTCCACTGGCTAGCAAAGCTTCTGTAAGCATGGCTGAGAGGAACACAGGTAATGAATCATCGTCTCGGAAGCCTGGGATCTCAATGCTCATCTCCACCCACGAGTTCTCGCCCACGCCTGTTTCTTCCTCTTCCTCGTCATCCATGTCTACATCGGCCGTCTCTTTATCCGGCGTAGGCTGCCATTGTGACTTCTCTACTTCAGCCTTGACTCCTACTATTGCTTCGGTCCCGTCTGCGAAACACACTCGAGCACTCCCGTTTGCGCCGGGTAGGATGTCGCTTTCAGCTACCAAAGGACGGAATTGCGTCGGCGAGCGGCCATCAGGGCGGATAGGCGGATCCAGAGACAGCGATGAGTGTAGGTAAGAGAGTTCGGCGGGGGAGAGCAGCACTTGCGCTTGTACGGGAGCCATGTTGTCGCGTGGTGGTGGGATGTGCTGGAGCGCCGTCTTTTGGAGTCGAAAATGCAGAAAAGTGGACCAATCAGAAATTGGGACTGAAATATTCCTGTGTAGTAGTTGACGAAACGGTTAGTACGCCGAAGGACTCCTGCATGTAAGCTATCCAGAGCTGAGTGCTATCACAATATTACATCGAATCAGAAATTAGGTCGAGGTCTTCTGACGGTGTCATCTGGAGCTTTGTCTCAAGGAATGCATCAAATGCCAAGAGGACGAAGTGTCCTCCAATAGCAAACGGCCCTGATGACGGCAGACCTCATCTAGGTACAGCCCTGCCAGCGGTGACAGCACCACGACGCAGTCCGCGCTTCGTTGCCTTGGACCGCCATCAACACTCGCTGTGCTCCTGTACTCGGCACCCCCTATATCTCAGTCCAATGCATTCTTAGCCCCCCACCGCCCGCTGTTACACCCGCCATGCCTCACGCGCCCAGTTCGTCTAATGGCATCGACAAGCTCGACTACCGCACTCCTGCCGACGCGCGCCGGCCTCTCCTCCAGCCCGACACCGAAAGCGACTCCAACCGCCTCAGTCAAGACACCAGCTGTTCCGGCAGCTTCTTCGAGCAGGTAGCAGAGGGCATCGTGGAACGCGACCGCCGCCTGATGCAGCGCCACATCCTCCGATGGCTGACCTTCGTGTGGGCCATCGTGAACTGCCTATGCGCAGGCAGTATCACGGCTTACAGTCTCTACGGCCATCTGTTCCAGTCCCGGTTGCATTACACCCAGTTCCAGGTCAACATCGTCTCTATCACGGCCGAGCTGGCCATGTACCTACCTGTCCCGGCGTTTGGCTACCTCTGTGACCGGCTCGGGCCCGGCATACCCTCGTTCCTGTCTGGTCTCTTCTTCGGCGTCGGATACCTACTCGCCGCCTTTGCCTACCAGAGCGGACCGCCGCCGTCTGCTGGAGGGGAGGGATGGCCATTCGGGTTAATGGTAGTGGCATTCGTTGCTATTGGCATGGGCACGAGCTGCATGTACCTTTCTGCCGTCACAACATGTGCGAAGAACTTCGGGAGAGGAAACGCCAAGGGAGTGGCCCTCGCCGTCCCCATCGCAGCATTCGGCCTCAGTGGAATGTGGCAGAGCCAGGTTGGGAGTCGGTTGCTGTACGAGAAGAACCCAGATGGAAGCCGAGGGGATGTGGATGTCTTCCGCTTCTTCCTTTTCCTTGGAATCATGCTTCTTGGAGTCGGCCTCGTAGGCACCTTTACTCTCAAGATTGTAGACGAAGAGGGGATGATAGACGATGCTGTTGACGAACTCGAGCGGAGTGGACTCCTTGCACGGGACGAGTTCTTCGATCGCGCCGCAGATATACACGGATACGGTACCATGGACGCCCGGGACCTCTCAGACTCACAGTTCGACTTCTTACAAACCGAGGCAGAGCGACTGAAGGAGCGTGCAGAGGAAGAAGCGCGGAAAAAGACCTGGCTTTTGAACGAAGAGACTCGTCGCTACCTCGCTGACCACACCATGTGGTGGTTAGCAGCGGGCGTCTTCCTCGTCACCGGCCCCGGCGAAGCCTTCATCAACAATCTAGGGACAATAATAGGCACCCTGTCCCCCCCTCACCATACGTCCTCGCCCCCACCAACCTCCCCTGCAACCCACGTCTCCATCGTCGCCATCACCTCGACTGCCGCCCGCCTCCTAACCGGCACCCTCTCCGACATCCTCGCCCCTGTAGCCCCCATCCACCAACACCGCCGCGGCCCCGACTCTCTCGGCAACTCTCTCGAATCTCTCCCCCCAACCAAACGCTTCACCGTCTCCCGCGTCACCTTTCTCCTCACCTTCTCCCTCATCCTCTCCCTCGGCCAGCTGCTCCTCGCATCCGGCGTGATCCAGAACCACGCTGGCCGCTTCATCTGGGTCTCAGCCTTCATAGGCGCCGGCTACGGCGCCGTCTTCTCGCTCCTCCCTATCGTCGTCTCCGTTGTGTGGGGAGTCGAAAACTTTGGCACCAATTGGGGCATCTTAGCCACCGCCCCTGCCCTCGGAGCCACAGTATGGGGTGCCGTTTACGCCGCTGTTTACCAGCACGCTGCCGAGGCTGGTGGTGTAGGAAGCGAGGCTGCGAAGGAGGTCTTGTGTTACGGGGCTAGCTGCTATGCGCCTACCTTCTGGGCCATGGCTGTCAGCGTATGGGTCGCGTGCGGGCTCTGGGTTTGGGCATGGAGGGGGCCGGGTGGGTGGATGAAGAGAGGGATTGCGGTGTGATTGTTGCAACGGTGCCTCCCCTTGAGTATGGGCATAGAGTTGGTGGAGGATCTAGAGGACGCGAGACGATTTCCATACCTATCTTCCTGATATTAGACCATTGCGCGGCGTTTTTGGGAACATGTTTGTCCATTAGCGACTGCATATTGGCGATCTTCTGGTGTAACTTGTAGCCTTTACGTCTTGCGCCTTCGGCAGACATACCGAACATCTATTACCAAGTAGCACCCCGGGCGTGCATCAAACAATACTATTTTGCTCAAGTATGCGATCTCCCCCCCCTGGGTGCTACCCCCACCCCTTCACCCCCTCAACCCACAAATCCCATCCTACCGTCTCACGACTTCCACCTCACTCCTCTCAAGCACATACACCCAATGCACGACCCTCGGCCTATGCACCTCCTTCCCAGCCTCTCCCTCTCCCGCCGTCTCTACCGCCTCTCGCCGCTCGAGCCGCCACAGCGCCGCTGGGTCTGGGAAGCCTTGCTCGAGCAGTTCCCGCGGCACGGCTGATTCCGCGTCTGTGGATGCAGGTAGGAACGGGAAACGCGCGCTGGAGTACGACAAGCAGATCCAGCGTGCGTGGGGCGTGGCTAGCGCGGCGAGGTGGACGGCGAGGAGGGTTAGGGGGTGGATGTAGTAACAAGGAGACGAAGGAGCAGAAGGAGGAGAAGGAGGGGGAGGAGGGAGTTGTGCGGGGGGAGACGAGGATGACGCGGAAAGCGAAGGGACGGAAGCGGGCCGGATACTCAGCGGGTACGGTGGCGATACGGGGATGTCTTCAGCGCACGCTATGGCGTCGGAGCAGGACTTCTCGACGATGAGGGTGTAGGAACCCGGGGAGCAGGCGGAGAGGAGGGAGGGGAGGGAGAGGAGGTCGACTGTGGTCCAGCGCATGTGGGTGGGAGAGGGAGTGGGACGGGCGAGGCTGGGGTTACTTGGGGTGGGTTTGGTATCATTTGGGCTTTTGGTACTGTTGTACCCTTTGCTCCCTTTGCGTGTTTTGGTATCATTTTGTCCATTGGTATCATTTTGCCCGATGGTACCATTTTGCTCATTGATGCCGTTTGAACTACTGATGCCATTCTGAACTTCGTCGGGTACACTCGTGCTTCCCGAGCTGTCTACGTTTTCGGCACTTTTTTGACCCTCGTGGTTGCCCTCTCCCTCCCCGTTTGGCTCTTGAAATATCTCCGCTTCCCGCCGCTTGCCTAGGTCGATGGCTTCTTTCGAGAAATCTACGTTGTGAATTTGGGATGGCTCATCTACGTGTGCGCGGAGGTGGTACGAGAGCAGTGATGTCCCACAGCCAATGTGTAGAATATTCGGGGTTGTTGCTTCGGAAGTGTCTCGCAAAGCAGCCGTGATGTGCGGATCGAGAATGGATGCTGGTTGGAGCCAGTCGAAAGCACTTGGGTTTGAATGAAAGCGTGTATCCCAGTACTCCGAGGAGGAGAAGGGCGGCGGCGACGGTCCCATGGAGATCTGGGGAGGGTGATTAGATACACGGTAGTGTGAGCCGTGGGCAGTCAGGCCTCACTATCTGGTGTTAATGGCAATGGTTAATAGTTTTCGTCTCGAATTCTCGTAAATGTCTTGTGCTGATACAGGGTTATATGCTGTGCATTTGAGATTGCGGCGTTGCAGGGTGGAGTTCGAAGCATGGTCAAGAGGTGGTGTTTTCGGAGAATTTATCCTCTCCACCGAGATTCAACGACATCTGCACATCTTCACTCCGCCACTACCACCTCGACCACGATTGTTGCAAGCCATTAATCCTAATGGCTTCCTCAACCTCAATACCGCGAATCCTACTCCCACGTGCACAGCTCCTCCGCCCCCATACCCGCCTTTTCCGACCTACTCTACTGCTCTCCGCCCGCCATGCATCCAGCAAAGACGCCACCAAGCCGATCGTGCTTGAGAAGCCCGAGAAATTCAATCCACCATCGCATGGACGCCGGCTACCAAAAGCCAAGCCGAAGTCCTATGGGCCGGAGCTGACGGCGACCCAGAAAGAGATGATGGCGAGAAAGAAGTACCCGCATATGATGCCGCCGAAGAACAGTTTTCTGTACAAGTTCTTGCACGATAGGTGGATACATACTTGGATATCGTTGGTACGTTGCATGTATTCTACGTCAATCTACCCGGCCTGTTTCTGCTTCTAGGAGCGTATATCGAACATAAGATGCGCCGCGCGTAGTCAATGGGAACATATACCACCAAAGCGCAACACTAAGAGCATATTGACCCCCAATGCCTAAAGAACCTATAGCCACAACCCGTCACTAACTTCTTTTCAGGGTATTCTCCTCACCCTCGGCAGCTGGGCCTTCTACATAAACTTCATCACCACAACACCCTACGCCGACCTCGTCCCCACCCGCGCCGACTTCAAGTCCCACCCAATCGACTCGTTCTTCAAATTCATCGAAGTCTATAAAATGCACGTTGCGTACGTATCTGCGCAGACCGCCGAGCGCCGCCGCAAGAATGTTGAGGACGTCACCAAGCGCGCTGAGTATCGCAAGGCGCACGGCCTGGACCAGAACCAGGGTTTCGGTGGGTGGACGGCGAAGAGTGATGACGAGATGCTGGGGCCTGGTCTGAGGGCCGCCGACAGGATTGTAGCGGCGGAGGGAGATGGTGCGTCGCCTGTGGCGGGGGAGGACCGGCCGGCGGAGGCGGCGTATAAGAAGCCGTTGAAGAAGTGGTTAGGGATTTGGTAAGGTGGGGATTTTGGGCAGGGAGGGAAATGTATATATTACGGTGCTGGGACTGTGCTATACTGTACATTATGAAGGTGGTGGGATATCTTGGTTTGCTCCGCTCCTCTGCGTCATGATCTTATGAGTTGATCGCGCCACGGCAGCAGATTTCTTCTGGTTGAGTATACTCTCTTAGTATGAAGCGCGTGGAAAGCTAGAATTGTTCACGCTTTGGATCCGTTTGGTTTATCGTGAAGTAGATGCTCTTGGTTTAAATAGCATATATTACACCGAAAGCCTGCATCACGTTCACACGCGCTGTAGACACGTTCTGGGTCTATTTGGTGCTCCTTAGCTCGAAAGCGTGTCCTAAGGGGTAGGCTCTTAGTCTGAATGGTATCCTCTTTTGCACCAAACTTCCTATATCCCAACCACCACCTCCCCACCGTATACCCTCCACCAAACCCAGCCTACTTCAACACCCCCTCCGCATCAAACCACACCTCTCACGACGTAAGAAACTGCACAGCGCCCCCATGATCAATCCCGCAAACCCCCTGCCCCGCCTACCCCACCCTCAACCTCGTCTCCACCCACTCATCCCTACTCATCTCAATCATATTCGTATAGTCATTCTGCCTCGTATAAAACGCTCTATACTCCCTCACCTCCTCCTCGCTAACCTCCCTCTCCAACTCAACCGGCTGCCAATCTCCCACCAGCCACGGGCCCTCCCCCATAGCCTGCAATAACACCCGCAAATCCTCTCGCGTAGCCTTCCTCTTCTTATACCGGACCAACGCTTCGTCTAATCTCGTAGCCCCGCCCCAGCAGACCCGCAGCTCGGCCGCGGCGACAGGGAGGAGGGGCTCTTTGGTCACGTAGTACAGCGCGCGTGTCGTCTTCCGCGGTGCGGGCATCGAGGATGCCGAAGCGGTCGTTTCGGAGGTAATCGACCCCTTTGCTTCCTCGCCCATTCTTACCGAACGAGCTCGCGACAAGGGTGCCGAGCTCGTCGATACTAGCGCCGATGAAGTCGCTTTGGAACGGCTTCACGGGGGGTTTCGTGGAGTATGAGAAGACGGTCTGAGTGCGGCAAGAAATGAGGACCCATGGGCTTCCGACCAGATTCCAGGAGGGGTCGTTGTGGTTGAAGCGTTCGGTTAGGGCACGGGTTAGGGTGGAGTTGAGGAGCTGGGGTGGGGTTGGGGGTAAGATGCGAAGTGATGGTTTAGTAGTGAGTGGGGAGTTTACCTCGATGGGTAGGTTTGCGGTTACGAAGAGGGGGTAGTATATTCCGTCGAAGGCGAGAGATTCGGAGGAGTCTACTGACATGGTGTGTGGGATGCCGGCGATAGGTAGGAATATGAGAGGATGTCATAGAGCGAGAAGATGGACGTTTGAGTGGAAGAGGTGATGAAATGGTACAGAGAGATACGCGAGCTCGCAGGTCTATGTAGTTTGCTGGGCCGCATTTGCATGAAAATAGCTATCACGTGATTCCGATAATAGCAAATTGGATTTTGGCCATCAAAATCGTTGAATTGAAATATAGATGTTTGGCTATGAGATTTGAATCACACCTCTTGCATAGTTCCAACAGGATCCAGAAGCCCGTTCTTGAGTGAGATCTTGAGAGGATGATAGAGCCCAGCTCCTTACTCAACGGATACGCAGCGTTGATGCATGCTCTCTAACTTCTCCCCTTTTACTCAAGACCTTGTGCGGTGCTTTGTGGCTTTAGTAAGCTCTCTATCATGAGATGCATCGGCACATCGTCCGTGCGGACAGATGTGGCTGTCTTTCCCTTGTATACTCCTTTATAGCCTTCAGGTCTAAGTCGAGATTATACCATGCAATACAACTTCGTCGAAATGGTATGGCGTAGATAGTTGAAACACAACTCTGCAGGAAGTCTTCATGCTTCAAAGTGTCAGGTTTCACCTCCAGCCACCCACTCTCCCAGCATCCCACCTCTCCTTTCTTTCTGTTCTTAAGTAGGCAACCTTGCGACTCTCTTTCAGCCGCCTTACGAACTCCGCCACTTCTCTTTCGCTCGCTAGGGCGCCACTGCCGGCTTCGCCGTCCAGGAAGCTCTCTTCCAATCCTCGACACAGCGCTTCCTGCTCTCCCACTGCGGCGCTAAGACGCTGATATAGCGCTGGTGGACTAAATTCCCGCAGCGCAGCGTCCTGTTCACCTTGCTTGGCCTGCCATTGGCGTTCTAGCGCGCGCAGTGACAGGAGGCGGGACTGTGTGCTCTGACGCTGATGCTGGAGGTGTGACTCCAACGCTTTCAAGGAATCCGCAAGGGCTAGATTGGCTGAAAGGAGGCTTTGCAGCGGCGCGGTCGAGGCTGGAAGCAAGGGGTGTGTGGTCTGGGGGTTGTGGAGTATGGCATGCTGTAGATCGGGATTCTGCAAGATGTGGTGCAGATCGACAGTCCTGAGAACGCTTGAGCGTGTTACCATTGTAGGGTTCAAGCTACATACGTCTTGTCTTTTATGATATCAGGTAGCCAGCCGTCCTCGGGCAGTGGTACGCCATTCTGTTCATTGGCGTCCTGCTGAGAATGGCCTTGGGGATACTGCTGAGGTGGCTGCTGCTGATCATAGTACTGCTGGCCAGGCGGCAGAGGAGGGAGCGGAGGCTGTGAAGTTGCCTGTCCGCTGGAGTGGGCTGACGGTTTCGGGGGAGGCGGCGGCGGGGGGGAGGGGTTGAACTGAAACTGCGTCTGCGACTGACGCGGGGAATGGTATGACATGGCGGCTATGCGGTCAGAGAGCCTTGACTAATGATGAAACACGATCTGCGGGAATGTTTTGGGGCGGCATCATAAACATCTGACATGCGACCGGTGCTGCAGAGCGATGTCGTTCACTCTACTTTGAAACATTCGTCGGCGTGGGGAAAACGTTTCTCCGCGATATCTCTTGGCACTTCTTTATGCAGGCCGAATTGGCCGACTGTCTGGCTTCATGTCTGCACGAGTCGCCGCCTTCTCCGCTGATAGATCGGATCGCTACCCTCGATTACAAATTACCGTACGGATCTCGGAGCGCCTCTCGCGTTGTGCGGCGGGTAGGCATTTTTGCGCAATGCGCGCCTCGCGGACGGCCGCTCGCGGTGGACCCTTGCCAACGAGCCACCCGCTGCGCTCAGCGTCCTCCCTGCTAGTGAGTAGAGTGGAGCTGCTGTGTCTGGACCGGCAAGCGCCAGATATAAATTGGCTCGCGAGGGCCGTCCACTCGGCCAGGGATTCATGGCAGAGCCAGCGTGGGAGGGCAGATTGGCGCCTTTGCAAACAGTGCAACGCTGTGTTTCAGGGCGTCTGAGTGGCAGACTGCCGCAATGGCATTCTCGCGGTCGCGAGGCCATTCTCGAGGTTCCGCTCGGAGCGGTGGCCAGGCTCAGGGGCACGCAACCTCCATCACCACCCGCCCCGTCTCCCTTCGGCATCCCCTTGCCAGCAGCCATCCCGTGCTGGGTTTGGCCTGGCCGGCTACAGCTCCGTCGCCGAATCACACGGCGGTACCTGCATTAACGTTATCTTCGCGGCCCCGTGCATCGCGCCCGATCGAGCCGCCCTCTTGCCTCAGCTCCCTGTGCTGTGTCCACCCCGAGAACGGCGGCCGAGCCGCAACCACTCGCTGCACCACTCACGCCACGCGCTATCCCCAAGCGCCTTGCCGAGCTGCCACACCCATCGCTCAGATCTCGCGAGAGGGCCAGTTGCTGCACTGCGCGGCCTGTTCACGCTGGAGCGAGCGCCCGCATCCCCAAGCCTCCCCTTTTTCGAGCCTCGCGCTGGCAAGTCCACCACGCCTCCGGCCACGCCAGGACACACCAGCTCTTTGTTCTCCGCATTTGTGCAAAGTCATGACTATCACACCGCTGTAACGAATAATGCAACCCCAACTTCCTCCCACGGAGGCCCGCGGTCCCTCTCTAGACTCGACTTCTGCCACCCTCACTTCGCGACCAAAGCCCTCAAACGTTGCTGTCCAGTCGTTCGCTGCCTTCCGCGCGCAGACTTCATCCATCCCCGCACCCTCCCCTGTGCGCCGGAAGCCCTTGCCTGCGAATGCCTCACCAATAGCCTCTCGATTCTCGTCGGCTGAATACACAGCCAGCCCTAGGCTTGTCGTTGAGAGTGGCTTTTCCAAGCGCTCCTTCTCCATTGACAGCCCGCCGCTGAAAGCGCCACCGCGTCTGGATACCGTCCTGTCGCCGCCTGCGAGCAGTACCCAAGAGGACTTCTTGCCCAGAGATCTAGACAGGTAAGCCCTCCTCCATGGCCGCAAGCATTGCTCTCCGTCACCGTGCTAATGGGCGCCTCGCCTTCTAGACATCCACACGGACACACTCCTTTAACAGCGGTCCCTCCCACCGCATTACCCTTAGCCCAACCTTCGCCGAGCAACCTCAAATCGGACACTTTACAAAGACCACGGCACGACCGGGCGTTCAGCAGCTATCATACGGCACACGGATCGATATCCGAGGGGGAGGAAGGACAGGTCTCGCACTCGCGGTCTCCGACTATGCCCAATATGCCACTATACACCTCACAAACTCCCGCAGAAAGAGCAGAAACACAGCCAAATCTCACATTACAGCTGGACGGCGTCACTTCAGATTTTCTAGACGACGACCCATACTCTCCCGGTCCCGATCCTACGCAACAATCGAAGCCGAAGTCTCCCGGCGGCACCACCTTTGGCTCATTCTTCGGCTGGACAAAGTCGGGACAACAGCAAAACGGGGCCACCTCGCCCACAACTACGTTTTCAGACCGCTCGTTATCTCCAGCACACTCTCCCGCGTTATCGAGACATCACATTGACGCCAATAACATGAACAAAGGGGCACCATCGGCACTTGATATTCCAATGGCCAATTCCACGTACAATCCCAACTCGTATTTTAATGTTCCTGGTACACCCCTGTTCTCGTCATCTCCCAGCATGAACGCCCACGTTGAAGAGCTCGAGCGGGAACTCCGAGAGGTTAGCTCAGAGCTGGCTGCGTCGATAGCAAGGGAAATGGAGCTGGAAGATGAGGTCGAGCGGTACAAGATAGATTCGTCTAACATGACGTCGGAAGTGAACCGAAGAACAAGCGACTACTACTCTGACTCCGGAGCTAGCTCTGTTAGATATCCCATAGGAGACAGTGAGAGCAAACTGGAAGAGGTGGAAAGGCTACGGAGGAAAGCTGAGCAAGACCGTGCAACACTGAAGGTGTCAATGTCGGAGCGGCTTTCTGATGAGCTTCGGAGACGTAGGGATCTGGAAGAGCAAGTGCAAACTCTCGAAGAAAAAGTCCATAAAGGAGGCTCGCGAGGGCCTTCTATCGATGAGAGTGGACGGGTAAGGGAGCTAGAAAGCTCCCTAGAAGAAGCTCGGAGAAGACTTGCTGAAGAAAGACAGGTGAAAGAGAACTTCGAAGATTTATTGACCGCACTCCGTCAAGAGCTCGAGCAGCATCGAAACGAGAGAGACAACCTACGAGACGAGATTGTGCCGCAATTGAAGGCCCGAGTAGAGGGACTAGAGGCAGAATCATCCGAAGTCCAAACTCTTATATATGAGAGCACTCGTATGCAGCAAGAGATCCAATCGCTAAGGAATGAAAACCAGACGCTTGTAAATGCCCGAAGGATGCAACTAGAGCTCGCACAGCAACAGCAACAGCAAAACCGCTTCAAGGCCATCGCCGAGGAAGCCGAGCCAACTACACCGGCAGTGACACCCCGGATAGGGCTGTCAAGATCGAACTCGCTTGCTCGCAGTTCGGCTTTCAATTCTAAGCGAGGCTCTCTCTCTCGATCCAACTCGGTCAAGGACAGACCCGCGGAAGCAAAGCGAGACTCAACCCAGAATCCCCTAAAAGAGATTGAGGAGCAAAGAGACGCCCTGCATCGCGCCTTGAAGAGTCTTCTGCACCGACAGGAATATCAAGCTAAGGAATACGAGAAACGGATCAAGGCACTTGAGATGGAAAGAGACAGCGCAATGAGCGTCACCCCACGCCGCACTGCATTCCACGCAGAGGTCAAGCATTTGAGGGATGAAGTTAACCACCTTCGACGTCGTGCTGATGATGCTCTCGAGCAGAAGTGGCAATGTGAGAAGGGCCTGGGTGGTCTGAGAATGGATCTCGACCGTGCCCAGCAGGAAACCAGCTCTCTTCGCGACCTTCTCTCCGAGCATGATATCTTCGTCCCAGAGAGGAAGGGCTCCATTACATCCGTTCGTTCAGATGATGCTGTTCCTGACTCTTTAGACAAGGCTTACAACGAGCTTCAAACAACACATGCGTTGTCTCTTGCTCGAATTAAAGACATGGAATCGGAAGATAGCCTAGGGCTTGCCGGCGAGGAAGCTGAACGGACGATGGCTTTACTGAAGCAAAGCATATCCGACGCGGAGGCCGAAAGAGATATCGCTCAAAAAGAAGCCAAGGAGTACCGGCTGAAAGCCCGAGCTTTGCAAAAGTCGGAAATCGAACATCTAGGAAAGGAACAAAGCTTGTCTTCCGAGCTTTACGCTGCCGCCACTCGTATGGACGAGCTTTCAGCCAAGGTTCAGGCGCAGCTTCAATCGAACAAAGCTCTTCGCAAGCGCTTAGCTGACGCAATATCTCGAGGCGAGCTCGAACAGGCAAAGTCTACATCGACGATTGTGGAGCTTGAGCGCAAGCTTAAAGCAGCCGAGGAAAAGGTCATGAGCGCCCAACAGTCGTCGGAAGAGTCAATCGCGAAGCATGAGGAAGAAGTAAAGTCTTTGAAAGAGAGCCAAGGCGAGCAGCTACGACGAGCCAAGTCTGGCTTACTGAGCCCAGCTAGATTCTCGCCGACTGCTCCCGTGTCGCCTATGTTCGCACTTCGATCGCCAAAGCTAGATAAGACAACGAGTGGGCTCGGCATGACAATGGCAGAGGCCACGAAGACCCAGCTTCTAGAGACACGTGTTCAAGATCTCGAGAAGGCGCTCTCTGACGCCGATCGAGAGATGGAAGAAGTAGTTGGCAGGATGAACATGGCGCAGATTGAGGTGGCAGAGCTGCAATTTGAAAGGTTAGTTCCTTCGGTTCTGACCCTATTTAACGCAGCACTCGTACTAACGGCATATAACCACAGGGATGAAGCCATGCGACAAACGAGAAACTTGCAAGCCGCGATCCTTGCGGAGCGTGAAAAAGTCAAGGCTCTTATGTAGTAATCATCTGCACCATATTTATTTTGAGCATCTCTCCACGCACCACATGGACCGACACGAAGCTTTCTTACATTCTGCCTGAGATGCCTTTAGGCGTCTGCCCTTTGGGCACGGAGGCTGCGGGCATACGGCGTTTGTTAAAGACGGCATTTACACGGGAGCCGGCCGGCTTGGTGCATTGCGGCGTTCACTTTGCTTGATTAAAAAGGCCACAGGCCCAATCACATTTGATCATCATCATTTGCAGCGCGGATCGACGTTTGGTTTGCTTTGAGGCAAGGCAGTTCAGAATCTCTGCATCGGGACTGTGTCCACCTAGCGATATACCCTTCTCGTCCGGAGAGGTAGCCGACGGCATACTCGATGGACTCCGGGCTGGATGCCCTTTTGTACTGTTTATATAGCTCTGTATTATTATTAATGATCTAATGTTTGGATGTCGACTGCAAGCTTACCCCCCGATCCTTGTCCTGTGTGTGATGGGTGGTGAGAGAATGGTGCTCTTGAAGTTCTCGGGTTCACGTCTACGCAGTGAATGAGTGTTGGCCGTCCCAGAGCCAGAGTTTGGCCTGTCTGCGCGGCGAGTGTTGCTCGGATGTGAGAATAGGGCATGCCGTAGCTGTACACTGATATGCAGCGTGGCATGGTCAGGCCGGTGGTTGAGCATCCCCAGACCGCGTTTGAAACCACGGCCGCCGATGCCTGCTGTTCGACGGCAAAATGCCTACAGTTGCAGCACGCGGCCGACTCTTACGGCCAATGCGACGACCAGCTCCTCGACGGGCGGACGGCGGATCCATCAATGAGACATCGGTGCGATGATGGGCCGTGGTGCAACGGATGGGGGGTGCTTGATGCTCCTCCCGCCCTCAGCCGGCGCTTTGGACACGATGGGCGGGCGTGGTCGTCGCTGTGCTGCGACGTGACGGTGGACTGCTGCGGACAGCCTTCGTGTGGATGCGGACGCGCTGTCGTGCCACCTCGCACGGCGTGGATATACGGGCGTTACTGGGAGCAGGGCCGTGGTTGAGGCGCTGGGCGCGGTGCAGCATGGCAGACGCTCACACGTGTCTTGCAGTTGGACCCATGGGACTCCGGCGGGAGCCCTGGAGAGGCCTGCCAGCGGGAGCTGTTCCGCCGCCCATGGACGGGCTGGATGTGTTTGGGCCCAACTCGGCCTGGTATCGATAGCAGAGGCACGAAACTCAGGAGGCCCTGAGTGCTGCCCGCAAACCCCCCTGGACTGACTGCACCGCTTTTTCTCCATCTTCAGCATGTCCTCAGTCCAGCGCTGAACCCTCCGGCGTCCAATCAACCCCTCCGTGTGCATGGTGCCGAGTCGTCGAGCACCACGCTAGCCATCAACGTCGGCCTCTTCTCCCTTCCTTGAACCAGAGCCACCGCCCTCGACGTCTTGCCCTCGACGTCTTCACCTCCGTGCCACCTCGTCCACGTCCACCGCTCTGCACGCACCAGCACCCATTCCGCCCGCCAACTCTGCTGGCGAGCTGGACACGGCCAGCCACTGACTGCTGCCCCTTCGCCTGCACCACCTCGACTTCCAAAAAGGGCTGTGCTATATCCCCTCCGCCTTCCTCCCGCCTCAATTCCTCCTCCGCCTGCACGCCACCTGCAGGGCACGCGGATCCTCGACACTTGCCTGGCGTCCTCGGGCCAGCAGCCGTCGCCATGAACAACAACAATAACAACCCCCCGAACCGCCTGCAGTTGAACTTCGGCTTCAGTGACCGCAACAACAACAATGCCAACTACGCCGCCGACGCTGGCCGCGCCTATCCCACCACGCCCTCGACCTTCCCCCAGCCTGTCTTCCCCAACCAGGCAGGCCAGCAGGAGGTCTGGGGCACTCAGCAGCCGAACAATGGATACGCCCCAGGCTACTTCGCCCCCCCTACGGCCGCCTACTCGGCCGGCTATCAGCAGCAGCAGGGTAATCTCCAAGCTCCCTCCGCTGCCTACCGCGCACCGCAGTACAACGACGGCACCAATGGCTTAGTCCACCAGTTCTCTCACCAGAACCTGGGTGGTGGCCGTTCGGCGAGCCCTTACAGCCGCCAACCCTCCCCCAGCCAGCGTCCAAGGACCGCTGGAGCTACTGGCCAGCAGTACAGCAGCTATCTCAACTCGCAAATGCCCAATGCCCCTCGACTCCCATCGCTCTACGATGAGGAGCCACCCGCAAAGTCGGCCGAGAAGTACTCGGAGAACGTCCTCCGCCAGGCAAAGGTGTCGGTTGGCCTTGTCAGCACTTTCTTCAAGGACAGCGTCCAACGAGCGCGGGACAGGAACCAGAGGTAAGCTTATAAACCCCGCGAGCAACTTGATACATTCCTAACTCTATATAGGTCTCTCGATTTGGATGGAATCAAGAGCAACCCTTCAATCTCTGAGTCACGCAAGGCACAGCGGGAGCGGGACATGCGTCGGGCAGAGGCTGAGTATCTTCGCTTCCTGAGGACCAAGGAAAAGCCTGAGAATTTCTCGACTCTCAAGATCATTGGAAAGGGTGCATTTGGTGAGGTCAAGCTCGTCCAGCGGAAGAATGACGGCAAGATCTACGCATTGAAGTCTCTGGTCAAGTCTGAGATGGCAAGTATTGTGTTTCTTATGTGCAAGACTTCCCGGACTAACTGATAACGCACAGTTCAAGAAAGACCAACTAGCTCACGTTCGGTCGGAGCGAGACATTCTTGCCGAGTCTGACAGTCCTTGGGTTGTCAAGCTGCATACTACCTTCCAGGACAACACCTTCTTGTACATGCTGATGGAGTTTCTTCCTGGAGGAGATCTCATGACCATGCTGATCAAGTACGAGATCTTCACTGAGGACATCACCCGCTTCTACATGGCTGAAATCACTTTGGCAATCGAGGCCGTCCACAAGCTGGGATTCATACATCGGTATGTACTTGAATCTAGTGAAATGTCCCTCATCCTAGCTAACACGGTGATAGTGATATCAAACCCGACAACATCCTGCTCGACCGAGGCGGTCATATCAAACTTACAGATTTCGGTCTCTCCACCGGATTCCACAAGGAGCATGAAGCAGGATACTACAAGAAGCTTCTCGCTGGTGGCACACACAAATCGAACCGAGACAACCGAAATTCCATGAACCTTGATCAGATCCAGTTAACGGTCAGCAATCGTTCTCAGATCAACACATGGCGAAAGTCCCGTCGACAGCTCGCATATTCTACTGTCGGCACACCAGACTATATCGCACCAGAAATCTTCAGCGGACAAGGCTACGACTACAGCTGTGATTGGTGGTCTGTAGGAACTATCATGTTCGAATGTCTGATCGGTTGGCCACCTTTCTGCGCCGAGGAACCCCATGATACGTATCGGAAAATCGTGGACTGGCCTCGCAACTTGCACTTCCCTCCGGACCAACAGCTCGGCCCTGAAGCGGAAGACTTCGTCAAGAGGTAGGCCAAGGCCGATTTTCTATCTAATCCAGCACAGTCCCCCCGGCAATCCCCCCAGCACAGCTCTTCGACAGTTACTTCTCCATTCCTTCATTGCCATTTGGCTTAGCCATTTGGCACTTCGTTTTGAAAGCTTACCAGTCTTAGACTCATCTGTGACGCCGACAATCGCTTGGGTCGTATGGGTGGAGCTCACGAGATCAAACAACACCCCTTCTTCCGAGGCGTCCAGTGGGACGGTCTTCGCCGAATCCGTGCTCCGTTCGAGCCAAAGCTGTCATCGAACGTCGACACGCAATATTTCCCGATCGACGAAATCGACCAGAACGACAACAGCGCTGCCCTGCGCGCTCAGACCGCGCAGGCAGGCGACGACCTTGCTGCCGAGATGAGCCTTCCCTTCATCGGCTATACGTACAAGCGATTCGACGCATTCCGAGGTTCTTAGAGCGCTCCCGCACCTGTTGCATCAACAGCCTGGAAAGACTTTTATAACGAAACGAAGCGGATACACGGTTCGACACGACAAAGAACAAGCACTTCATTTGAGCAGGGAGCTCATAACGGTGTAGCCTCCTTACTATTGCACGGAAACGTTCAGCTCTTGAACGATATACAACTCGTAAGGTACGTATCCGATACCATCGGAGCTACGGGCTTGCATCTTCTTTTGGCTGGCAAAGCATTTTGAAATGGATTCCCCAGCATACTCTTGTTTTATCTGCCTTCTTTCTCCTGCCCTGGTTAAGCCCCACATCGTTTTGAAGCTTCGATTCCGTGTCTACTATCCATCTAATTTCCCCCCTATTGGCCCCTCTATTTTCCCATAATTGGCGTACGGATGGCTATAGGCTTCTTTGGCTGGTTAGGCTGTGATGTGCAGTGGTCCATGGCAGGCACCGAGGGCGGATGGTTACTCTGGAAACGAACGACACGGCAAGTGGTTGTTTTTGGGGCTTGCGGGCATGAATGGAATGGAGGGTGGGTTTAGACGTCTAAGTAGCGGGGTTGATTTCGGGCCATCGGTCAACTGACAAGCCCATTCAAATATGAAACTTTGTCCCAGCTTGATTGAAGGGTTTTGTGTGAATTTGTCTTAACCATCATGCTGATCCTCCCAGAATCGCCCCTCCCTCCGTATGCTCATGTATCTGTCTCTCGCAAAAGTTTTCGCGAATAGCCTCCCTCCACTTCCTAAAAGATCAGAACCCTAAGAGGGGGCCGAATCTGAATGCCGTGTAGTAGGGGAATCGCATGCAAATGCAAAACACCGTGAAACTCCTAGCCCATCCCCGCCCGAAAATCCCGCAAAAAAGGAAACCCTCCCTCATATCATCTCATCGCATCCACCAACCGTCGTTCGTTCTCGTAGAAGGGCAAGTTTATAGCAGTTCCACCGCCCACTCGCCGTCGTCGTATCGTAGCGCCGCCTCCTCGCCTTCTCCCTCCCCCTCTGCCTCTCCCTCACGATTCCATCCCACGCGGGCTCACCGCGCCTCAAACTGCACCATCCTGCAAATCCCGGGTTAGCTTAATTCGCCCTCCCCAAACAAAGCTCTCTCCGCTCTATTCCCTCCTCCTCCTCCCCCAATACATCATCCCCCAGCCCCCAGCCCCCACTACCTCCCTACCATCTCCTCCCCCTCCTCCTCCTCCTCCTCCAGAGAGGTATGAAACAGCACAGAACTCACCGGTTCGTCCGCTGCTTGTACAGCACGCGGTGGCCGCAGCTGCGGCAGCGGATCGGCTCGCCGCGCTTCAGGCTGACGGCGGCGTTGCAGTCGCCGCAGGTGTAGTCGACGGAGCGGCCTTCGCCGGTCGAGGCGGCGGTGGTGGTTGTCGTGGCGGCGGCGGTGGTGGTGGGGGGGACGTAGGTGGACATTTTGG